GAGGAGGAGGAAGAGGAGGAAGAGGAGGAAGAGGAGGAAGAGGAGGAAGAGGAGGAAGAGGAGGAAGAGGAGGAAGAGGAGGAAGAGGAGGAGGAGGAGGAGGAGGAATTGAGATGGAAAGGATATGGTCTTGCCCTAGGCCTTGTCCTCAGGATACTAGACAGCTCACCAACCCTGTCGAGCAAGACATTCAACAAGAATGTCGGTCGTATCGGGGGTTTGGCTTCTTGCTTCGCCGCCAGAAGATACTGAGATCAATTTTCATGAAACCGAAAATCATTCAGCCAGTCCTGTATAGACCCAGGTCGGACTTGCTTTTGTTCGTATGTCTCCCTTCTTTCGGGATTCAAGATGTATTGCATTGCAATGGTCATAATCTGCGTGGTACAGAGAAGAGAAAAGCCACCACTCGCTCATCACTACGCTTGCTCCCTCTTCAGCGACTCCCTCCTCTGGATTTGGCTGCTCCAATCCATTTCCAACTCCGATCCCAATTCCACCTCTAGTTAGCCACAGAAGTCCAGAGTCCAGGCATGATCGCGATCAGTTTCAGTCTGTGCACATCTGGGGCTACGTGCTTTTGATCCACCCTCTAATCTCAGATAGAAGACCAAGGCCGTCAGTCGTGGTTTCCAAGACCTATATCAATGTGACCATACAAGACGAAGTCGTATCCGGTCAAACATAAAGTCCCGTTCACACACTTCAAAGGCAATTGACTCCATTGAGGGATTGCTTGCTTGCTCGGTAGCATAACATTCAACATTGACAAGCGTTACAAATGCAGGCGCCAAAATTGAGCGAGGTACAATTCCGCATACTGCACTACCGCGCCTGCGACCGCTGATAAAACACAATGTATGCCTCGGCATTCTGTAACCGATCGCGAGGACTCAGCTTGTTGGGGTCAAGATCGACATGTCGCTCGTCGTCGAATTTCCTCCAGCAACCTCGACCTTGATCCTTGACGATGCTGATGTAGTGGCCGCCATCGCCAGTGTTCCCTAGATGTCTTAGCACGCCATACGCGTCGTAACTGTAAGGTGGTGTGGTTGCCATGTCAATCGGGCCATCCTGGTCTGGCCCGGGCGGAGGACGAGGGATGACAAAATCATCCATCGCCAGACCGTATAACGGGAACTCGATCGGAGTGTGGATCTTCTTGGCCTTTTCGTGTTTTGATGCCGCAAAACGCTTAAAATGGATGACAAGGAATTGTGGGAGACGGGTCAGGATGATTTGTTTCGTGGCCTCACGCTCACACTTGCAATATGGGCACCTCCACAACTCGGAAAGTTTCTCTTCCCGACAGTATGAATTCAAACAGTCGTAGACGTGACCGGTGCCCGTCCTTGGGATTTCAATAGATATGCTGTAGAATGCTTCATACGTTGTCGAGGTTCGTCGACACGTCAGACACCGCAACCGCGAGGCATGTTGCCCAGCAAACAACGACGACAAAAAACTGCGGTCTCGGTGTTCGTAGCGGTTCCACTCGATTGGACTGGCCCGCGCAATCTCCATCCTTTCCCTTTGCATTTCCTCGGCCGTCGTCAGTGGTCGAAGTGGATGCCGCTCCCAGTTGATATTCAAGTCTTCATGTAAGCAGTCCACCAGGAAATCGAAGAATTCTTTGGCGTCTTGCTGCCGGTCTATGGCCCACTCTCGATTCATGCGACCACAAAAGCTTCTGAACGTGGATGGTTTGATGACTTCAGTGTCTCCTTGCCAGACTGCCTGGATCAGGTTGGCGTACAGCTTGGGCATGATGCCATTGCTCCCTTTCCAATTCCTTTGCACGTATCCCTCATATACCCGGTCGTTGAAGAAGTTGGACAAGGGAATGGTCGCCGACAAGCACTGTAAGGTCGAGTTCATGTAACAGGTGACTCCAAAATTGGTCAGACCAGTTTTAGGTAGCTTGCTGTTGCGCATAGACGTGGTTGAAGAATATAGAGGAGGACGACTGGCAGAAGTGACCCTTGCCAGCGCCGGTTGAGGTGCATTGATATCCGCCTGGCCCGAATAGCTAGGTCTGGGTATGGCCGGAGTGGGTCTCGTGGGGACCGCTGGCAATGCCGGAGGGACATGAGCAGCGTGAGGTAAGTAAGTAGCCGGATGTGAGGGCAGAGGCCTCCGTGGGGCCATGGTCATGGATTCCTGCTGCTTTATAGAGGGAAATCGGCGCAAGAATGTCTCATAGTCAGGGATGAAGGGCGACTGAGGAACCTGCTCGCTTTCAGCACCAGAGTATTCTTCATCGCTGACGACCTCGGGTCTGTCCGTTGGTGCCACCTCCTCCTGCAAAGCTTGTTGCCGCCATGCCTCCTGCTCGCTTTCGTCCAGGAATTTGTGATCACGCAGGCGCCTGTTGCGGACCTCATATCGCGAGTTCGCAGACACCATACGCTGTCGTGCGATAGGTCTCCCTGGTCCGACAGCGAGGCGTTGACGTGTAGTTCCAAGTGTTGCGGCTGTCCTTGACCGAGCAAGAGACTGAGCCCCCATATAATCGACCCAAGCATCAATGCCGCCGGCCAATAATGCAGGGGGTCGACCATCCTTGAGAGGCTTTGTGTCGTTGAATTCGTACAGAGTGTCGTAGAGAGCCCTAAGCGCCGGAGCTTTCGTCATACTCGGCGGCCCTTGCAAGTAAGAGTTGTCATTTGTGCCCTGGTCATAGTACACAACAAGGTCGAATTCGTTTCGGCGGGAGAAATGTGCTTGTTCCGTATCAGGGGCAAGCACAAGTCGGTCTTCTAGCTCTTCAGCCGAGACGCCTTCTTTCAAGGAGATGGGTTCGATACAGATGATCGAACTGGACATGATGTGGCCGTCATCGAAAAGAACCCTCTCGCGAACATCGATCAGGAGAATGTTGTATTTCCGCATGTATTCGTGTAGTATGGGCGCGTCTATGGACGTATTGTGCGGAAGCTCACTGGAACTGCTTTTAGGGACAATGGCAGTGTTTACTCCGTTTGGAGTGGTGGGACGGTAGGGAGAGAGGATTTCGTCGCGGGTTCTCTGGAGATGCAAAGAAGTAGACGATGAATTTTGTGAGTGATTGTAATAAGTTTGCCTCTTCTCTGAAGGTGGACGGCTGCCTTCTGCGGAATGTCGATTGCTGTTTGCATAGGACCCGGCGGATGTGGTAGTTATGGGACTGTACGCCGGACTAGGTGGTTTAGGCAGAGCAATAGATGTCGCGAGAGGGAGCTTGGGTGGTAAATCAGGGCCAGCATGGGAAGAGTCAGGCATAACCCTTGGCCCGTTGAGTCGTGGACTTGAGGTATATCCATTGCCTTCCGAATACGCCTGCGGGGTGTATGATTGTGGTCTTGGACCACGTCCTGCGCCAGTCTGGTAATCACTTGGTTTGGGCATTGATATTAAAGGAGGCTCCTCCGACGTCGTTCCTAAACCTCTGAGGCGGGCAAACCTCTGACTAAGGTCATTAGAGGTGTCGGTGAGTGGTCGACCGAGAAGGCCCTCCGGTTTCGGCTTGCTTGACGGACGGGCGCGGTCTATCCGAAGGGGCGAAGGAAGCTGAGAGGATTGGTGAGAGTGTGTCTGTTGAGCGGTTGTGGGATCGCTGCCTCTGGAAATGGGTGGCCGTCCGGCACCAGAAGTCAGAGAGTCTGGTGGCACGCCAAACCCGGTAGAGTACACTGGCTTTCTTGACATAGTTCGAGGTCGTGTCCCGTATCGTACGTTATTTTCCTCAACAAGCGCCTTGACCCGAGTCATTTGACTTTCCATCTCGTTCAGCTTCCTCCGCGCCGCCTTGTACTTCACTGCCCAAGCATGGTTGTTGTCCCAGAATCCATACTCCTTATGCTTGGGGATGTAGTTGACGGCTATTTCGTAAGCGAGAACATAATTCTTGTAGGCCAGGTCGGGCCGTCGGAGGAAATCCAGAGAGTTCCTAGCAGTCGCAATACATGTCTCGACCTCGTTTAAGTATTGTGTAAGCGAGCCATCTGCTCTGAAAGAGGTTGTGGCATCTTGGATGATGTCTTTAATGTGAGGATAGACCCTTTCGGAACCAGATCCGGCCTTCAGATCCTTTGGATCGGTCCAGCTCTCTCTTGAGGAAGGTAAAGTGGCCGCGGAGGTAGAGGTAGAGGTAGTGTGGTTTGACGAGGGCGATGCGGAGGCCGCCATGGCGGACTGGGACGGTATTACCGAAAGACCATTGCGCAATAGACTCTCACTGAGGCCATTGGTAATTGTGTTTCTTGAGCTTGATCCCTCAATTGCGTGCGGCCGTGATCTTCAAGCGGAACTCATATGCGTCGGGGCTCTAGACGATGGGTGGTAACCGAGGAGCGACTATCGGAAAGGAGCAAAGGTGTGAAATAATGGCAGGTGACACCGGAAGACAGTTCGATGAACGCTTGAGCTGGTGACAGAGTTTCACCTTAGGTACCCAGGCAGTCAGTGGTAAGAATGGGAAGAGCGTCAAGGTGGTTCCATGTTGCTGATCAACACGTCGGCGCCACAGAAGGTACGTAGTACTCAACTGCAGCGACTTTCCCAAGGGTACGGCGGAGTATGACGGGTGGACCGATCCTGTCAACGGCGTTGCCTGTTCAAGTTGCGGGCTGTGGGCGAGAAGGCTCCGGGACTAGATCGGGGGCTCTAAGGCCCAAGGGCACCGGGAGACAGGCAACGTGCAGGGGCTCAAGGCTTATTACGGGGCGTTATCAAACAAACGGGTACGCTACGGGCAACCTTAGGAACCCTAAGCCTATGCGAAAATCACCTATTGACACTGTTGCGGGGGAGCACCTCGTAGCTTGCGGTGAGTGCGGACTATCACTAGCTGCCTGACCGACCGTGGCAAGGCAGCCCTGATGGATGATTACACCATACCGTGAGTCTCGCTTCCTCGAAACCGCTATGATACAACAATAGCCACCTCCAAACCATAACATCTGTCCATACGCGATTGGGACTTTTTGAAATTGTCTTCACCCTCTCGACCTGGCGTATCCGTCTTCCTCTTCAGTACCTGACCGTCCCGTGAATCGTCATACTATACCATCCTCCGCCGCAATCCTGTCCCCTGCGCCTGCGGGATATACCAACACATCATGTCTGGATGGTTCTCCTCTGGAACATCTGCTCTCGACGAGCAGATCGAGAAGGCAACTTCCTCCAGCCTGGAAGACATCGCCACCAGCCTCGAAATCTCCGACTTGATCAGATCCAAGACAGTGCAGCCTAAAGATGCCATGCGGTCGTTGAAGAGGCGGATAGACAACAAAAATCCCAACGTCCAACTTTCAGCCTTGAGGCTAACAGACACATGTGTTAAAAATGGCGGATCCCATTTCCTGACCGAGATTGCCTCGCGCGAGTTCATGGACAACCTTGTCTCTCTGCTGAAAGCATACGGAGCGGCTGCCGTCAACGAGGACGTCAAGCAACGGATTCTTGGGCTGATCCAGACCTGGGCTAGTGCTACACAAGGCCGACACGACCTGTCCTATATCAGCGAGGTCTACAAGAGTCTGCAGAGCGAAGGCTTCAAGTTCCCGCCCAAGGTTGAGATATCCAGTAGCATGCTAGACAGCAGTGCACCGCCCGAGTGGACAGACAGTGATGTATGCATGCGTTGCAGAACAGCATTCACTTTCACAAACAGGAAACACCACTGCAGGAACTGTGGCAACGTCTTTGACCAGCAATGCTCCTCCAAATCCATTCCTCTCCCGCACTTGGGAATCATGCAGCCGGTTCGGGTCGACGATGGGTGTTACGACAAGCTGACCAAGAAGCCTGGCGGTTCCGAGCGTCGAGTCTCCTTTGCCCCTAAACCTACTACCATGCAACCGCGAAGTGCAAGGATTGAAACAAGTAGTTTCGATGAAGACCTGAAGAAGGCGCTGGAAATGAGCTTGGAGGAGGTCAAGGGCATATCAAGCTCGGGTTATGTCTCTCAGACACAGCCCAAGACAGAACCAACAAAGCCAAATGGCGTGTCCATTGAAGAAGAGGACGATCCTGACCTCAAAGCCGCAATAGCTTTGTCTCTTAAGGAGGCAGAAGAGCAGGCCAAGAAACATGCTGCGTCGATGAAGAAGTCAGCCCATGATGGAGCGAGCTCGACTCAACCGTTCGTCATGCCCAAGAACGATTATGAGCTGTCGGTGATGGAAGCTGAAAACATTCATCTGTTCGCCACGCTGGTTGACCGGTTGCAGCATCAGCCTCCAGGAACGATACTCAGAGAGCCGCAAATCCAAGAACTCTATGAAAGCATTGGAAAGCTTCGGCCCAAACTGGCCAGGACTTTGGGCGAGACAATGTCGAAGAATGATGCGCTGCTCGATCTACATGCTAAGCTGTCCACTGTCGTACGATATTATGATCGGATGCTTGAGGAGAGACTAAACAATACATACAACCAGCGGAATCCCGGTTATGCAGCCTACGGGATGTCCTCGCCTGCTCTACCCCAAGGCCCAGGGATATACCCATCGCTAGCCCCCTCAGGACCACCCCCGATGATGAATCCCGGCCAAGCAGAAGCGGAGAACTATTACTTCAACAGTGCCCCTGTTGAAGCCTACTCTCGAGCTCCACAGCAGGGGTCAATGCCGCAACCGCAACCACAGTTACAACCACAACGATCGTATTCATATTCAAGTCAGCCACAGGAAACGTCAGCTTCGCCATATCAATATGCAACCCAACCGCCGCCGCAACAGCAGCAGCAGCAGCAGCAGCCTGCTCAATTCGGCCAACCCCCCTCACCGGAGGCGTTTCAACATCAACTCACGCAGCCATATCCACCTCAATCGTCGCAACCCCCGTCGATATATCCCCAGATATCATCTCCGGATCCCCAGCAGACTCCTACACCGTATTCTCAGATGCCACAATTGGCTCCCGAGGCTCCGACTACGGCGCCACAATACCAACTTCCGCCCCAGCAGACTCCACAACCGTTCCAACAACCGCCTCCTCAGGCTCAACCTCAATCTCAGACTGTAGCGTACCCGCAACAACAACAATACCCACCGCAGCAGCAGCCGCAACAGGCCCAACAGAAACAGCAGCCACAACCCATGCCCTCTTATAGCCCATACCCGACCTACACGCCAGACCAATTCCCCCAGGCCCCGCAACATGCACCGACCTACGATCAACCACAGGCTCAGCCTCAACCAGTCGCTGTCGAGGAGAGTCTGATCGAGCTGTAGCGATCAATCACCAATTGGGCGTCTCTTACAGAATATTCCCCTACGAAGGCCTTGGGAGTTTGCTCATCTTAGACAAGCATGGGGAAGGCGGAATTGGCTCAATGTGCTGCGCGGGTACGTAGACGACCATAAAGACGATTCAACCTGGCGTGAGTGCACGTCCATTCATGCTTTTCAGGGGGTAGGTTTCAGTCGGTCACTTGGATCAGGATCAGAGGGATAGGGGACCGAGGAAGCCTCTGAGGGGGACACCAAGGGAGAGACTCTGTATTTTCTGGTCACTACTGAGTATGTAGAAAAGACGAATCTCTGGTGCAAATACCTCGACTCATTTTTTTCAATTTGGGTCTCGACCACCTGTGGAAGCCATGTTTGATTCATTATGTCTCCCACTGCGTCTGTACTTGCGCTCAGCGTTCTCCATCACCCCAGACGTGCGTGCGATAGGTACCTTGATCTTTCTTTTCTCTATATAGGTAGGTACCTAGGTACCTTGATACTTTCGGGGAATACCATCCCATACATATCCTTACCTTCGAATTCAGGTGAGCAGGCGCTCGACGTCTGAGGAATTTCGGACACATGTGGTGTCCTCGCTATAGTGAAGATCTTGCTCGATCTCATACGTTTATAGGTATCAACTCCCGCCAGCGGATAGGGCAGTCTACTCTGTAGGACCCGCTGGCACCGGGCGGACAGATACTATACAGTCCATGGTACAAGCTGCTTTTGTCTTGAGTCCCAAAAGGAACGTCATTAATTAATTAATAATTGGGTGCTAACTAGGTGGATGGCAACACCTCCTAACCCTCGTCCTCCCTCCAACGGGCGGAGTCGCGAGCGGATCACGGAGTACTCCTCTGGGCTTGTCTGAAGGACATGGACATGTCCGCTCGCGTTACGGATCTCTCGTAACTCTTTTCATTCCACCATGCAATGCAAACAGGGCTTCCCCGATGAAGGGCCCAGCAGGCTTGGTCCCGAGGGTCTCTGGGCTATAAAGCGCCCGAGATGGCCGCTGGCCGGAGGGAGCGCGACTCTACTGGCCATCCGACTCAAAAAACCAGAAACCCCTCGACCCTACATACTTCGAGTGTCAATCCACCGGCGACTGACGACGGCGACGGCGACGGCAATAGAGGTGAAGGTTTCCTGGCTTCGACCACGGCCACGGGGTAGAAGCACATATTCGTAGCGATCCTGATGGTCGCCATGGCTCGAGGAGGGTGCTTAGCCCTGGCTGCGCTGGCGTTGTCGGTCATGACGGGCAGTTCCGCGCACTCGGACTCGCACTCGCATCAGTCGACCGTGTCGTCGATCGAAGTTGAAGTTGGACCCAACTATGACTTCCCACTCGAGGACCTGGACAAGGACCTCCCATTCTCGCAGCCGGTGACGTTCGCCCACCTCCCGTGGCAGCGGTGCTTCTCGGCGGCGCACCGGACGGCGATGGACATTGCGATCGTGGGGTTCCCCTACGACACATCGACGTCGTACCGGCCCGGAGCACGGTTTGGGCCACGCGGGATCCGGGCGGCCAGTTCGCGCGAGAAGAAAGGCCGGAGCTACAACACGGTGTGGGGGGTGGATCCGCTGACGAGCGCGGACGAGGGCGGGCTTCACATCGTGGACTGCGGCGACATCCCGATCACGCCGTTCGACGCGGCGCACGCCTTTCGCCAGATGGAGCAGGGCTACCGGCAGGTGCTGTGGCACAACACCACGCCCGCCGCCGGGCGCGACTGGCCGCGGCCGCGCGTGGTCAGCCTGGGCGGCGACCACAGCATCGTGCTGCCGGTGCTGCGCAGCCTGAAGGACGTGTACGGGCCGATCAGCGTGATCCATCTGGACTCGCACCTCGACACCTGGGACCCGTACGCCGGCTACACGGGCATCGCGTCCGACCAGAGCGCCATTACGCACGGCACCTTCTTCTGGCACGCCGCGCGTGAGGGCTGCATCGCCAAGGGCTCGTCCGTCCACGGCGGCCTGCGCACCAAGCTGTTCAGCCCGCACGACTACGAGATCGACCGCGATGTCGTCGGCTTCCATCTGATCGAGGCCCACGAGATCGACGAGCCCGGCGGCGGCGGCATGCCCGCCATCATCGAGCGCGTGCGGAAGATCGTCGCTGACACCCCCGTCTACCTGTCCATCGACATCGACGTGCTCGACCCTAGCATCGCCCCGGCCACCGGCACCCCCGAGTCCGGCGGCTGGACCACCCGCGAGGTCAAGCGCTTCATCAAGGGCCTGGAAGGTATTCGTCTGGTCGGCGCCGACGTCGTCGAGGTCAGCCCGCCCTACGATACCGCCGCCGAGGTCACCAGCGTGGCCGCCAGCGACTTGCTCGTCGACATCCTGGCCTTGATGGTCAAGGATTCCTTGGCCATGACTCAAGGGAAAGGGAACAGTCCTGTCAAGGATGAATTGTAGCACGGTAAATCCGCGGCCGCGGCGGGACATCTGATCCTTGAGGGCTTTACTTTGGGGGACATTATTCGACAGCAGGTCACTTAGAGAATGGAGATAGGACACATCAATCTAGATTCAATGTCAATGCCTTGACGGTCTTCTTTTTGCTTGCATCTGATCCAGAGTATGTACGCCAGCCCGTCCTTTTAGTCTGCCTATGTAACGTGGTCCCCGAACATGCAAGCCGTGAATACATATCCCTCCAGGAAAACCGACCGGGCCCATGTCAACATCTTCCAAACCGTCAGAGAGGGCGGCCAACGATGCGAGAAAGCAGGGTGGCAGGGACCACTCAGTTGAAGACGACCGTCTTGTGGCCGTTGATGAAGACGCGCTTCTCCGACCACCATTTGACGGCGGCCGCTAAGACCTGGCTTTCGACGTTGCTGCCTTCATCGACCAGTTCTTTGGGCGTCAGGTTATGGTCGACGCGCGCCACCCTCTGCTCGATGATGGGGCCCTCGTCCAGGTCGGCGGTGACGAAGTGGGCGGTGGCGCCGATGATCTTGACGCCGCGGTCATACGCCTGGTGGTAGGGCTTTGCGCCCTTGAAGGAGGGCAGGAAGCTGTGGTGGATGTTGATAATCTTGCCAGACATGGCCTCGCATAGCGTGGGCGAGAGAACCTGCATGTAGCGGGCGAGGACGACGAGTTCGATGTCGTGTTCGCGGATCAGATCGAGGATGCGCTGCTCCTGGTCGGCCTTGGTTTCCTTGGTGACGGGAAGGTGGTGGAAGGCCACGTCGTAGCTACGGGCCAGGGGCTCGAAGTCGGCGTGGTTGGACACAATCACCGGCACCTCGATGCTCAGCTGGCCCGTCTTCTGGCGAAACAGCAGGTCGTTGAGGCAGTGGCCGATCTTCGACACCATGATCAACACCTTGGGCTTCTGCGCCACCGGCCGCAGCTGGTAGTCCATCTGCATCTCGGCGGCGAGCGCGTCAAACGAGGTCGTCAGCGACGCCGTGTCCTCGGCCGGCCCGAAGTGCACGCGCATGAAAAACCTTTCCGACGTCCGGTCGGAGAACTGCTGCAGGTCCAGGATGTTGAGGCTGTTCTTCGCGAAGATCCCCGTCACCGCGTGCACGATCCCCGGCTTGTCCGGGCACGACAGTGTCAGGATGTGGTCGTGCGTCATCTTGATCAGGAGGGCTGAAGACTCCGAGGCCTTGAAGTGGCGCCGAGATGAAAGTCCCGCCTGGAAGATCTTGGGTTCTATGTGTAGTCGTGAGCGGCCGGCGCGACGTGGGCGGACCAGGAGCTTGCAGACCGGGGCGGTGTGTCTTGCTGCTGCTGCTGCTGCTGCTGCTAATGCTGGTGCCCTCAGGACCAGAACCATCTAGATGTCTGGCCTGGTAAGATAGTCGTTCAGTGGATGGCCGTTGGTGCTGTGGTGCGTGTGATACAGCACTGCATTGGAGTCATCGACGAAAAATTTACCCACATTTTGTGCTATTGTTGTTGGATGCCATTCTTCGAGGGCGCAGTTGGTGCACAGGGGCTTATCGATAAAGGCCTCTCCATCATCTTATCCTATCAGATGAAAGCCCAGGTGACATCTTATCATATCTTATCACATCTCATCTCTTTTGCTACCCTCGCAGTTGGACACATGCCACCCACCTAGCCACCTACATGCAGGCATCTCCTGTAGCCCCTTAGCCAGGCAGCTACTGTTATCTCATGTTTGTCCAGCCACTCACACCTACCTATATCCTGCCTGCGTATCCGTACTCCTTGCTATGATTCTCACGCCGCCAATCTCAACCGATGTCGGCCATAAAATCTGAAAACGGGGCTCTCAGTAGCCTCGTTGGCAGCCTTCGGAATTATGTTATCATTAGGCTACCACAGGCATCAATCCCCACTCGGGCCTTAGGAGCAGTCCTTAGCCTCAGGCCACCCGCGAACCCCTGGGTCGGAAAACAGGAAACCGTCACAACCCCCGGTCTGTAGAGGAGACCGGCAAGAGTCTGAACAAAGAGAGGTCTTGATCAAGTGTCCCTGATGCCTTCCAAAAGGTGGAACAGCGAGAGTTCCTCCCCAGGCTGCTGTGGCTGCCTGCCCATGGATACAAGTCCTGCTCACACAGAATGAAGCTCAGGACCTTATTTAAAGGCTGGTTGAGGCCGCCGTGGCCAAGCATTGATGCCGAGAGGAGCTTGTCGACGCGTTTCCCGAACACCAGAGGATATTGTCAATCTCAATTGCTCCTGTGCTTCACTCCTAGTACTCTTTTGAATTTGCCTCGTTCTCGTCCCGGGCGGCTCACATCCACCTATTCCAGCGCTCTTTACAGACTCATCGAGGCCCAGACATGTCCACCATGGAGCTGCCTCCTCTGCCCGTTCCCATCACTGACTTCGTCGGATACGCTAACAAGCAACCCAGCACTCAGGCAGGCGTCACTGAGGCAGTCCGGCCCTTCCGAGACTTTGAGAGCAAGTTGCGGGAGATCTACGCTCAATATCCCGGTCACGCGGCTGCCACCTCCAATCACTTAGTTCCAGTGTTCAACAGCGCCCCTGTCACTGTCCGAGCCAGAGATCTGCCCAATGAGCCTCCGGCTGAGAAGGATAGATATCTGCTTTCTCTTCCAGACAGTCTTCGCAGGAGCCATGGCTCTCCTGCGCTCGTGGATTCCTTGACAAAGTTCAGGAGAAATTTCAACATCTTCTCCGAATCATCACTCGCTGACCTTGACTGGAGCAATGTGTGTGTTGCCGGCAGTGCAGTGGTTACATCGTTGTTACCTGTGGACGAGCCTTACAATGAATCCAAGGTAATGCTTCTACCTAAACCATGGCCTCGGCGTTGACACACCCACAGCGAACCCATCGAACGTACTACCACGACAAGCTTGCCCCGGCATCTGACGTCGACCTTTTTCTTTATGGTCTTGATGAGACGCAAGCTCTTGAAAAGATCAGACAAATTGAAGCAAGAGTCCGTGACAGCATCTTGGACGAGACCACCACCGTCCGTACCAAAAACGCCATCACCATTGTCTCGAAGTATCCCACTCGTCACGTCCAAATTGTCCTCCGCTTGTATAAAAGCATTTCGGAGATCCTGACTGGATTTGATGTGGATTGTTCATGTGTTGCATATGACGGCCGCCAGGTTTGGGCTTCCCCACGAGCTCTAGCTGCCTACATGACCCAGGTCAACTCCATTGATCTTACCCGCAGATCCCCATCCTATGAAAACAGACTCTCCAAGTACTCTCGCCGCGGCTTCGAGGCATACTGGCCAGGACTGGATCGTAGCAGGGTTGATCCCACAATCTATGAGAGGTCTTTCTCTAGGGTGCAAGGCCTCGCAAGACTCCTTGTTCTCGAGAAGCTCCCCTACCCCAAAGACCGAGATGTCTATCTTGCACAGCGCCGAGAAGAAAGAGGCAGGCCGCGATTACCTTGGAATGCAAGGAACCGCCATTTACTATCAGGGAACCTCAAGGATGATCAGCCGGACGACGTCGCTGAATGGATTGAAGAAGACGACGTATCGAATTATCACACCATCAGTATTCCGTACGGTCCAAAATACAATGCCAAAAAGGTTGAGAAGCTTCTTTTCACCAAGGACTTGTTGCTCAACGCCGAGTGGAATAAGCCCAAGGATAGAGAGGCCAGGCTTCATCGCCACCCAGCCTTTTTCGGATCCTTTGACGATGTGATTCATGATTGCTGCGGATCTTGTCCAGAGCCGACTAGTGATGAAGATCTTGCAGCTCTTGAAGGAGAGAGCAAGATCTACATCTCAGGAGATCTCACGTTTCTCAAGGACAATCCAGGAAGACAAGAAATTGGCAGCTTCAATCCAATCACCGACAATGACTGGACAGAGATGGCCTACATCGGCAATACAACGAGACTATGCCAGGCAATCATCGACCAAGATATTGAAGCCGTCCGCCACTGCTTCTCCTCCATTGACGTTGTGGACGTCAATCGACGTGATCACACTGGCCGGACTCCTCTACATCTGGCGGTGATGTGTTCAACGCCCGAGATCGTTCAGTGCCTAATTGACCACGGTGCCCGACTAGTCTCCAGACTCTACAACGGGATGACAGCACTACACCTTGCAGCTTATCGAGGTGAGCCACGAATGGTGGAGGCCCTGCTGGAAACTAGCGGCGCCAATGAGCGACAGGAACAGCTCAAAGAAGATGCGAAACGAGAGGCACGCAGAGCCGCTGCAGGCCATGGTGCCGAGAAAGCGGATCTCACGTCTGAGCAGATCGCCGACACCGACTCGTGGGACTCGGATGAAGATATGGGTGACGACGAGGGTGAGAAGGATAACATGACTGAAAATTCCTTCGTGAAGATCAGATCGCCCACTGACGCCAGTGACGCATTCGCTGAAGACAAGAGCGAGCCAGATGTCTACGATGTCAACGTGCTTGCTTGGGACAGCCCACTTTCGCCCCTACACCTTGCGATCCTCGGTGGCCACCTGGATGTTATTGACCTGCTCATTGAAGGCTACGGTGCCGCTGTGCTCCTACCCGTCAAGATCTTGGACCAATACAATCCGACGAGCGCCAAAGCTGCCATTCTGACCATCGCACTCGCTCTTGAGCTTCCCCTGCAAGAGGCGAATCAGACTGTAAAAAGGTTGCTGGCGAACGGGGCCACATTGGCCCAAGCCGACCTGAATCACATCTCGGCCCTCCATTACGCAGTCAGTAATGCAAAGGCACTTATCTTGGAGACACTCAACTCTTCTGATCCCATTGCATTCAAAAAGGCTTGCAACATCGTCACGGTGACTGGGATGTGGTGGAGTGATCCGACGGTTGATACACCACTGATCACTGCTATCCGTACCGGCCGCGCGGATGTGGCCGACATGCTTCTCGCAAGCGGTGCGAAGACTCGTGTTGATTTGGAGTCTTTTGCTCAAGCTCTAAAGCGCCAGCGGCCTGACACCTCTACCTCTAGCCCTGAGTATGTCGAGAAAGTCTACCAGCGCTCAGTCGACCAACCGATTGTTCTGGCCTTCCGGATGGAGATGTTGGACCTTGTCAACAAATTGATCGACGGTGGAGAAGACGTGAATACACTGCCCAAAGAAGCTTACAATTTCCTTGACCGACGGGGATTGAAAGACGCGAACCGTTCGCTATTGGACCTGGCTCGAGCACGCATTAAATCTCTCGACAGGTTTTTGGATCCCTTGAAATATAAGGAGTTGGACCAGCTAGAGCCTTTGCGCAATGACGAAGACTACCTGTCATTTGACCACGGATCATACCAATACTGGACGGCATATCATGACCTGCTCGATGCAAAGGTTGTTCGTCAGTACCAGGTTGAGCATTATGAGAAAGAAATTGGAGGTCTCAGGCCTGATCAGCAGGAGGGGCTGGAAGAGAAAAAGGCTGCAGCCCAGGCTACACTCATCCAACTTCAAGAACTGGAGAGAAAGCTTGTCGAGAAGGGTGCGAAAACATTTGAAGAAATGTACCCAGACGCGAAGCCTCGAGAGACGCCCCTTCTTTACCCGTCGTCGAGTAACCGCGATGACAGTCCCTACACGACAAACATATCTTTCAAGTTGTCTGACCTGACACCCAAAAACAGGGACAACTATGTCAAGCTGTTCGAAGCCGCCTGGGAGGGAGACGCAGATACAGTGAGGAGGCTCTGTCTGTCTCGGGTTCGCCCGCTTCGGATTGCGGTGGAAGACCGTCGCGGATTCAGCCCCTTTTCCATTGCAACTCTCCGCGGTCACTACGAACTAGCTGAACTCATCGTCGAGATTGCCACTGTGCAATACCAGCCTGACGACAAATCCGAAAGGTATCGTTATACGATCCAAACCGAGAGGGACTGCGATGACTACAGTGATTACAGTGGGGATAGCGAAGCCACGGGGCAAAACGACGACGTGCAAGTGCTGGCACAAATCGTCAATGACACATTTACTATCGATGATGTCGCAGCACTTGCAGACAACGTCCAATCCAAAGTCTCTCCGGCGTCAATGATATCCTGGCCTTGTCAACTCGCTCGTGCTATCGATGATGTTGTTGATGAGCAGGAGGCTAGCAAAGCATTCGGAGGCGATGTGACTCCAGATGCTCACCTGTACGACCGTTCCAACGAGTCCTGGGCTTGGTTCCATGCCGCCCTGGAGAACTCGGGTCGCTCTAGACGGGGGTCTCTGGTGCGCTACGCCATTTTCACGAACAACCTGCGACTTTTGAAGTTCCTCATCAAGATCGGCAATGGCCTTGCCAGCCAGAAGGAAGACGATGACTCGTTAAAGGTGGCTCACATCGACAAAAGCGATTTCGAAGTGGCCATTGGGCTGGGGAGAGTTGAGCTGATTGGAGAAATGATCAAGTCGACTGGTGTGGGTCTTCCGCTTCGCAAAATGTTCCAGAAGTCGGGAATCGAGCTTGCTGGGAAGCCCAAATACTACCAAGGTCTCACCGTGCACGGCAAGAAGCGTCAAGACTGGGCAGAAGCAGGAAGACTGGGCTCTCACCGCAAGCCACAGGACACAGAAGAGCAGATCCCACTACTCACGGCCATCATCGAAGGCGATCTAGAGGCGACCGAATACTTCCTGTCCGATGCACCACTGCGTCGGTATCTTGAGTTTACCGAGACATTCAAGACCGATAAACACGTTCAAGCGCTGGCACAAGCAGAAGGGGGAGTTGAAGCAGCCCTAAACACTTGGATGTCGACTCGCAACAATCTCGCTCTGCATATGGCGGTGTTGTCGCCTCCTAGGAGGGATGGCAGCCAGCCAACCTTTGACTTCTTGTTGAAGAAGATGCCCGAGTCTCTCGAAACTCGATCAGCTGACGGCAAGACGCCGCTCTGGTTGGCTTTCAGAGTCGGCAGATTCTACGCAGCCAAGAAACTGATTGAAGCCGGCGCCAGGGTGATGACCAAGGATGACGCCGGTCGAAATGTTCTACACGCACTCCTCGACGAGATCGACCATCGCGAACATGCGCTTCTTCGGTCTGTCCTCAGTATGCTCGACCGAGAAGTCGTTACCCGATTGCTTCTGGAACGCTGTGGCGGGACCCAGCCTACTGGTATGACTCCGCTGGCGATGTTCCTCAATCGCATCGACATCGACGCGAAGACTGGCTGGGAAGAAAGTCTCAAGCTGATCCTTTCGTACTCTGACGGGAAAGACCTGGAGAAGATGGACGGTGCCGGAGATTACCCTCTTCATTCACTAGTCCGGCGAGGTCACCTAGAACTGGTCAAATTCATTGTCGCATACAGGCCGAGTCTCTTGCACTATGAGAATGCCACGGGTATGACACCATCTGAGGTGGTGACTGTCAGCTACCTGCGGCGTTTGATCGATCATCCGCCCGAACTCGTCCAGACCGGAAAATGGAGTATCGTGGACAAGCCGGCCGAAGAGTTTGTGAACCAGACTGGTTCGACCACGCGCGAGGCAGCAGCAGCCGAGGCCGATGAGGCCGAAGAGTCATCTACCTGCCACCGAAGAAGCGCGGAATGGAAAATGAATCGACTCATGCATTACCTTTTGGCCGAGCATCCGGCCAAACGGAAGCTCGTGGCGCTGCAGGACGCGAACGAAGTAGCCAAACGGCTCGCATTGCAGCAGCAGAAGAAGAGTCTCGAAGAAGCCAAACTGCGTGAGAGAGTCGCTCTAGGGCATCCTAGACGAGGACCAGATTCCGAGAATAGGGACGAGGTGCTGATGTATCTGGATCGAGCGAAGAAATTCACGCCCTGGGACCGGCTGGGTTGGAGAAGGAAGGAGGCTGGCGAGAATGTGGAAGAGGTGGAGAAGAAGTACGAGGAAGAGAATCGGTCCAGATGGAGGCTGAAGTTGTTGGGTAATGGAAGTGCGAGCGAAAGTGGGTAGAAGTTACGATGATTTCTTCTTCTTCCTGATGTCTACTGGGACATGCCAGTAGTCTATATACCAGAAAGGTGCAGCTTCATAGTAGTCTATATACCCAGAAAGTTGAAGCTTCATGTAATGAAAGAAGACGGACTACCCAGAAAGGTGCAGCTTCATGTAATATGTAACGAAAGAAGACGGACTACCCAGAAAGAGTGCTTGACAAGAGAGCATCCTCCCTGTGTCTTCCCTCTGGAGTCTGTACCCGTAGTACTCGGCATGTATACCTAGCTATAGAGAGAAGAGAAAGATCAAGGTACCTATTTAGAGAATAGAGAGAAGAAAAATCAAGGTACCTATCCACCTACTACCTATATTGAGAAAAGAAAGTGAAAGCCAACCGCATCACCGGTCTAGACCGCCTTGTTTCCAAGCGGCACCGACAGATAGCCGCCAAACTCCTTTGCAAAGTCGACGGACACGCGCGCATGGACACGACCCTGTCGGTCCAGAAAGCGGCTGTGATCCTCCAACGGCACGACCGCGCCATGCCAGATATTTGGATGGATATAAAGACCTTGGCCACCGTCGCAACGGAAGGTGGTGAACTTGTCGGGAGTCACGTCGTCGCCGGGGAGAGCCAAAGGAATCATGAAACTCTGGCCATTCAGCGGATAGAACAACTGGCCCCCGTCGGGATGATAGTTGGCGCGCCAGATGAGTGCTCTTTGTCTTTGTCTTTCTCTTTTGCTCTTGTTCCCGCTCTTGTTTCCGCTCTTGTTCCCACTCTCGTTCCCACTCTCGCTCTCGCTCTCCGTCGCCTTCTCTGGGAATTCGCTCCAGGCGAACAGATAACTATCTCCCACGGCGTTGTTGCGTGCGTACAGCATGTCGCCCTTCCACCAGAACTCGAACAGCCCTTCGGTGACGCCGCCTTGGTCGCCCGAGTTCTTGTCGACCGGGCGCGAACCCTGAGCAGGCCACCGAACAATCTCGATGGGGAAGTTGTCGGGCGAGTCGACGACGTGGCCGTAGCCCTGCAAGCTTTCGGCGCTGGCCTGCACCACTGGAGTCTCGAAGACCTTGCTTACTCCCGTCGTGGGAACGTAGGCGATCTCGTCGGTGGAAAAGTCTCTGGACGTCTCGGCCGGCCGGGATGGTGTTTGTGTTTGTGTTTGTGTAATGGTTGCCATAGTGGACGTCCTTAGGTGCCCTGAGACGTTCCGAATTTGTCTCTATCTGAAAGGGAAAGGCTGTGCTGTTGCTGTTGTGGTGTCTCTCTTGGTCAAGGACAACTGCTGAGGCGCAGACTCTGAAGTAGAGTCCAATCCGATTCAAGGCTCGAGATTATTCTGCTCTCCAGAGACCTCGATAAAGGGAGGACTTATCGAGGGAGGACATTCAATAGTAATAATAATAGTAATGGTACTGGTGGTAGTAGTCAAGGCCCCGACATGTCGGTCTTCGTGCCGGCAAATCGTCACTTCATCCTCGAGTTCGAGTTCTGTCGGTCAAAGCCTGAGGCCCGAGATGTCGTTGTTCGTGCCGACAAGTCCAAGTCCAAGTCCACATGGATTCAATGTTCATTCATACTCGGTTCTGAATGCCTGCTTTATAGGTAGACATGGTCGAAAAGTCGCTGTTCATGCCGATGGATTCCCAACCGACTTCATACTAGAAGGAGAAGGACCGCTTTGCACTGATGGACTCCAACCGACTTCATACTAGAAGGAGAAGGAGAAGGACCGCTTCAGACACTTCCACTTCCACTTGACTTTCCCCAGACAGCATGAGAGGCGTGGTCACTTTGGCGCCATAGACGATCTGTGGAACGACGTGGAGTTTATCAAAGGATTGTTCGCCAAAGACAACTCGATGGGGAAATGGGAAATGAGGTTGGCCAGTAAAGTGAAGCAGCCTCGTAGGTTTGGTTTGGCCAGTAAAGTGAATCCCAAGTATACTGCCTCACCCACGAGGCTGCCCTACAATATAGATCAAAGTCGCCGATTTCTCCCCAACAATCGCAGCCTGTACATATAGGCTCTGACCTGATGTATGGCAGCCCCATCTTCACGTCTTAGCTTGTACTCTGCATTACATGGATATAGTGCCGTTTACGGTGCTAGAAACCCATAACTACAAAACCCAGCCTACGACACTAACGGTTCTTACCGACTATGAGGCCAGGTTAACTCCACTGCGCGAGATTTTTTGCTGCTTCAGTCGGAGTCGGGGCTGCTGTTCGATTCAGTCTGTTGTCTTTAAGACGCAAGACTTTACGGCTCGAGTGTGTGTGTGTGTGAATCCGATCTTGGTGGGCAGAATGTGGGTGATTCTGCCGCACCCGCACCTCCGCGTGACTACCTGACCTATAGGGCTATCAGGGAAATGGTCTCCAGTGACGGTGACATTCACTGAGGATCATGCTCATATGACACTCGGGAACTATATAACGCTTACGCTTACGCCTACGCTTACTTGGTCACCGATGGCTCGTGGTGGTGGTGGCATAGTGATAGATCCTCCTCTTCGATTTACCGTAGAAGAGCTGGAGGTAAATCACTCACAACTAGGTGTACCTGCTCCGTACATGTAGGGATAGCAACTACAATACGTACAGGACTCCCTCTGTGGTAGGAGTGGCCGAGGCTGGACGTTCGTTCGGGACAGACGCAGACACAGACGCAGACGGGACACAGCATTGGAAATACCAGTGGCAAGTCGAATTACAGTAGAACAACAGCGATCTTTCGATCCTTCAAGATGGTGGCGTCCATCAAAAACGCATACGGAGTCCTGCAGCAAGACTTCAAGAGACCTCATTGCCCGTTCCGGGCCCGTCATACTCAATCAGCCTTCAAGTTTGTGGCGGCGTCTCGAGCATCTTATCTGCATCTTCCTTCCTCGCGTCTCTCCGCTTTCGACTGCTCGCGTCTCACTGCTTTCGACTCAAATACTCCTACATCAACAATCCTCTGGTGGTATCAATCGAAGGGTATCATGAACCTTTTCCTTCTTCCAGTGCGTCCGTCCTGCCAAAACGCCATACATGGCCTTCCTGTGCCATCCGGTTTGGTTTGGTTTGGTTTCGTTTGTTCAAACCCCTCGATCAAGTATCCAACTGAACCTCGTCCAGCTGGTCGGTCGTCTCTCTGGCATCGAGTGCTGGAAACGACATGGGGTTTCCCCCCTGATATCTTGTCATTAATCACCGCGCATGTGCACACTACACACGGATGGCCAGACAATCTGCCAGAACAGACTCCAGGCCTGACCGATCTTGTGCGCCCGCGCCTTCCCAGCCAAAATTGTCGTTGTTTTCCATGTCCAGATTCCCGCTGGCCGTATCGGCGACTCCATTGCTGGTGGCATGTTCTTGACTTGCCCGCCAATCCTCATAATCATAACCTGCTGACGCATTGGCCACAGTCGCTCCGAGCAAGGGCATTGCGTTCCAGGGCGAAGGTCCAACTTGAGATGTGAGTTGGAGGTCTGGCATGCCTATCGGTCTCATGGAATATGCCGATTCGGCTTCCGTGGGTAGGAGATCATCGTCACGGATCCTCCGAAGTCTCCCCCTCTTCACATCGGCCTCCTCCCGAGCGACCTTCTTCTTGTAGGAGCTCGTTAAGATGCCACCCCAAGGATTATTTTCATATTCCGGCCCGTTCGATCGAGTGCGACTGATGACCTCTCCGAGGAGGCCTTTCAGGTAGGTTTCCGCTGCGATGGCCACAAGTTCGGCGCACTGGATCGAGCAACCCGAGGAAACGGATTCTTCGTAGCAAATAGGGACAATCCGGGCATGAATGGTCGGCGTATCTGGAAACTCCAGAGTTTCGCTGAACAATGGCTGTAGATATCTCTTCCTGATCTCCAGGTCCCAGTTCGTCTTCGTCAGTCCTGCTGCGCTCCCACTGACAGGCTCGGGGGCTTTGATCCGGAGAGCATTATAGTATTCCTCGTACGGATTTTTCCGAGCTGCCGCCTCTTCTTCCAGCTTATCATTTGCAATTGCTTTCAACCGTCTCCTGTCCCGTGGTGGCAGTGCCATCACCTCTACCTTGAGACGCTGTTCTGCCGCATCGCTCGTGATAGCCGGTTTCGAGGACGCGGCCATGGCAGCCTTGTCGGTTGTCGAACTGACCCATGCTGCCAGGCCCGGTTCAGGAGGGTCTCGGCCGGTATTGCACAGGATTGCAAGGACCAAAGTGTTGTGGGCATGTTCGGTCTGTGGGGACGTGTAGATGAAGGCATCGCAGAGGTCGCCGAACTCTCTTGCATTGAGTTCGCCTGTTGTGCTTTGGTTAGAGACGGCGACCGCCATCGCGAGGGTAGAGAGGAGATATCTAGACTGACCTCGAATGAATCTCGTTATTGCATCGTAATAGACTTCCCAGTTGTGTCCGATCAATGACTTGAGTTCGGTGTAGAGCGGTTCCAGGTCGATTCGGGGGTAATTCTGCGTGGCCTTGGTCGTCTTCGAAGAGGATCCAGGAGGGACTTTGGCAGCGCTGGGTATCGAAGTCGCAGTATCCGATCTCGTGAGTGCTGCTGGGTTGAATGTCTCGTCCAACGTCGCCATATTGAACAGGAGGGGGTCGGTAGAGTCAGGGTGCGCGCACCTGCAGCGCAGCACAGACGAAGACGCTGCTCATCCAGTAGTAACAGTGCCGGTCTTGCTTCTATCGGCACATGGTGCTTTGGGGATCTTTCGTGGCTGGCTCGAACAATGTGGTGTTGAAGAGGTGTGGCCTGCGGCGCGATGATGGCACAGACCAGTCTGCAAATCAGATGAAGTCAGAACAAATGGAATGGCCCACACTGGCAAAGCAGTCCGCCTCCTAAGCCCTCGACGCAGCCCTGAGTTCGATGAGCGTTATTATTTAGTACTGATGTTCACTCCTTCGCATGAAAACGAAGATTCGACGCCCGGATTCTACGCCGCCTAAAACAAAGAGATGAAGCACAAAGAACGCGGTTCCACTGTCCTCCCTCAAGACGGAACGACAACTCGGGTTTCATTGTTAGCCTGGTCTATGACCCTCTCTGTATCGTCTTCGCCCACACGAGAGCATTGCAAGCCCCGTCTCCATCTAGGCTATCTGGACCCTCCATTTCTTGACCGTAGCATCTGCCCCGGTGCTGTAGACAATGTCTCCCAACCAAACAACGCCATTGACCCCTTCCTTGTGAGCATTGGTCTCTTTCACTCTTTTCCCAGGTTCTCTCAAACTCCACGCGAACAAACTGGTGTCTAGACTGCCAGAGACTGCCCCTGTGCCTTCTGAATTCCAAGCGATACTGGTGATTTTGGCAGAGTGGGCGTTCCATCGGTCAGTCACAAGTTCAAGGGAGGAAGTGCCCGTGAGAAGCCCGGTGACCCCGGTATTGATCTTATAGACATAGATCTTGCCGGCGGCTGTCCCAACCGCCACCATGTTGCCATCTTGAGAGAAGGCTATCGCAGTCAAGGGAGTCGCCGAGACTTGTTCGACAACCGCCGTCTGCTTGGGTGCTTTTCCTGGTACCACAGAGAATAAACGGAGACTCGAATCTTGGGAGCCAATAGCGACTATGCTGCCCGAAGAAGCCAGAGATGTCGGAGTTGCTTTCAGCGGGAGCTCACCATCCTCTTCGCCGTCTCTGTAGACGATGACACTCTCCAGCTGGGCGACAACAACAAGTGAATCGGACGTGCATGTCAAAGCTTTTGGTTGTGACGATAGCTGCGTCGGCTTTCCTGTAAATGTCCGCGCACCAATGTCAACTGTTCGCAAGGAGTCATCCCAGCCCACTGAAAATACTTGAGGGTGATTGCTGGAGGAAGATGCTGCAAGGCCCGAGATGATGTTGGTGTGTCCGTCGCCTTCGATTGTCTCGGCATTACCGCTGGCCACATCCCACGAGCATAGACGGCCCTCGTAACTTCCAGTCCATAGGGTAGCGCTTCCAACCTCTCCCGATGAGGCGAGGGCGGTAATATTCTTTTGGTGTCCGGAGATGATTTTGGTCGGCTTGCTAGAGCTGGTGTTCAAGTAGTTGAGATCACCACTGAGCGAAAGGGAGATTATTAACCCGTCTGACCTGCCTGCTGGCCACACGACGCCGACCTGTTGATCCGAAACAGCGACAGCATCGCCAAAGGACCAGGAATTGGTCACCTTCCCGGCCTCCACGTCCCATGTTTTGACCGTGCGGTCGGCGGAGCAGGTCACAATGCTCCTTGAGTCGCTGGACCAGGAGACGCCGAAGATGCTGCCGTGATGGCCCTCCGTGGTGTCCACGATCTCGGCCTTTGCGTCTCCGGTCTTTCCATCGTAGAGATAGATTTTCTTGTCACCGCCGACACTGACCAGGTGGTTTCCGTTCGGGGAGAAAGCCACCCCGTATATGAAATTGGTATGCTGTCCCCGACCAGGAATACCGTTGAATTTGAAGGGAGCCCCATGGTAGAAGACCAGATTCTTGTCGTCACCTCCCGTTGCCGCTCTTAATGGTCGTTGTTGTCGTATGCTCACCGCATTGACTTGCGCCGAATGGCCACTTATTTCTCCAACAGTGTTGCCAGAATCCGCCGTGATGCAATGTCCAAAGCGTTGTTTTCCGTCTCCCACGGCTATTATACGTTGGCTGTCACCGTCCCAAGCGATATCATTGATCCGGCCTGAAATGATTGCGTATTCGCCTTTGGTAACCCCTGATCCATTAGGCGAACAGTCCCAAACTCTCACAATCCCCGAGACATCGCCCGACGCACAATAGAAACCGGAGGGTGCAAACCTCGCTACCGTAGTGGACGCTGTGTGTTGGGTGTACTGGGTGGATATGGCAGGATTGTCGATCGACCGAAGAAATATGGATTTGTTTGAAGCGTAGGCTATGCGCTCTCCCTTGGAATCGGCGGATAGAGGGGTAGGCTGACCTCTTGTGCTGGTCGGCAGAGCGGCGTAGATGCCATCTGGACCGGGTTAGCATTGTTTACCAGGTTCATGAAGTTCGGACGGACCAGGCTTTATAGACATTGTTATGCAATTGTGTGTGCCAAAGCAGAGTGCATAGTTGTTGCAAGGTTGTTGGGTGTGGGATGAAGATTAATAGTTGACACATGAAAGCGTGCCCGACCCCGGCTGACGAGGCTGCGGGCCAAATGCTCAGACGGCCATAACTCCCCATTGGGGGTTGACTCGTTATGTACGTGTATCTTCGACGGATCGTTCAGTTCATCACTCGATTCTTGCTTGATTCACCATTCCGAATTTCATTGAGGACTACGCGGCACAAGGGGATTAGGCTGCTACAATAAAGGGCCCTCTCGATCTCGATACCGACCCCGAAGATTGATTAAGTATTGTTACACTCACAGAGCCCTGTCCCTCTAAACCCGGTCATTACTGGACATGAAATTGATTCGCAGAACAAGCGTCTCTGGCTCAAATGTGCAAGAACCTTGTAGAAGGGCGCTCCCTTACCGACCGACCAAAGGACCAATCCACCCCTCAGATGTACATCTTGTGAAGTATGCTTTTGTACCTCGCTGTGGAATCAGAACTGCCTACATCGAGACTTCGGGCAGGTCTTCTTCGATGGCCATCATGATGTTCTTCCGCCGCGTCAAATCTTGCTATGAGGCGAACACCCTGCCACTGCTTGTTCTCTTCCCTTCCATTTCGCTCTTGATGTATTCCGGGTGTCTATGGACGCTAGGCATCAGGCCTAACGCAATTGCCCTTCGAATGGCCTTCGCAACCTTGCGTTGGTTAACAGGCCGCAGGCCGGTAGAGCTGGAATGCCGGATACGGCCCATCTCCGTCATGTATTCGGACATCACAGAGAAATTCTATGCCAGTGTATTAGCGATCATAACAGTGGCGGAGCGAAGAGGCATACAAACCTTGTACAAGCTCAGGGGGTTGATCGATAGTGCATCGAAAGCATCGGTCCTAGGTCGGTTTCTCTTTCTCCATTTTCGAGCCTCGGCAGCACTTAAGTCGTGAGGAGCGTAGACATCGCCAACTTTCCACTGCCGCGTTAACTGTCGTGAAATGGCATAGTTCTCTTGTTCTATTAGTTCCTCCCGCTTGAGGCTCATCAGAGTTGTAGCCGCTGTCCGTTTGAATGTCTCTGCGCCCGTGTTAGAATATAGACCAAAGTACATGCGATGTGGGATACATACGTGAGACGGGTGATGGCTGCAGAGATTTGGTCGTCAGTTTCAGCTGAAGCCCTAGGCCTGGGGCTAGCCGAGTAGACATTGTTGACAGTCCAGGAGTCAACCTAACTGGCAGTAGACAACTTCCTTGAGCGATCGGGGGACAACTTGACGGACAATTGGGAACAAGATCAAAGTTGCAAACCTGCCAAGTGAATTCGCAGCCCGCCGATTCGGATGAGGCGGACGCTGCTCTAGTGCTACGGAGTAAGTACCCCTACCCCCCAGGCCACCTAAGCGGAGAGCATCGACCTATCTGTACGGAGCGTCCTGGTTCATTTTGCCATCAACGACTGAATGCGCTACCTACATGTAGGTAGGTACTCTACACCACCTTCCTACGTCGTCATCACACCACACCTAGTGTAGACCTCTCTACACTCCGTATCTGCCCCCTTCTCTTCGCTAGATCATGGGTCATTTGCCTTGGTTTTGATTATCGACTTCAGTACCCGAAGCTGCGGAAAACCTTCGCCATGAAGTCCTCAAACCTGACCCGAAGCGTATTCCGCGCAATCCTCAGTAACAAACCATACCTAGCTCGGGACTGTCAAAGACGCCTTGGGAGCAGGCTGCCACAACATTTCCCCGCATACAGATATACTGTACACCAGAGACGTGGGTTTTTGGGCCTAAATCTCGGAGGCGCCGACAAAGGCCTTCGTGGCGCCAGGAGTACCCCGACAAACGTTGAGCTTGCGTTGAGCAAGTTTGTTGATGTTGTCAGAGCGAGGAGAACAAGCTCCCGATTTCCTCCTGACGAAGAAATTGTCGACGCCTTCAGGTTCCTGTTCGCCACGAGAATTGAATCACCACGACCGTTGACAAGAAATGAAGTCTTCCTTGCCAATGAGGCATTCAGACATTTGCAAGAGCGTGGCCATATATTGTCCGGGGACGAAAAGACAAGCCTCACTGAAGAAGATCTTGAAAATGTCCTGCTAGCCTTGGCCTCGTCCAGTGGCAGAGATCGGTTTCGGACTGATGCACGGATACTTGCGACTCATGTCTTCGACTCGCTCAAGGAAAGGTTTACGGCTGCTGAAGAGCTCCGCGTTTCTTCAGAGCATGGGAAACACCCGACTCGAGGTTCGTTACTGGCCTCCTACATTACCGTCTTGGCCACAACTGGTTCCTCTCATGATGCTCTCGAGCTCCTGCGGCAATCACCAGAGAGATCAGAGGACCACAGCCTATCGCTGTGGATGGCTATTTTGAAGGGTCTAGCCAAGGAGGGGAGAATGCAAGAATTCTGGCAGGTGGTAGAAGAAGTACAAAGTACTTTCGGGCCACTTGATGCCATGTCGCAAGAGACATTAGTAACCTTGTTCGCCGATCACGGCGAAATTCACCCTTTGAAGAAGATTCTCAACCTGCCTCTGGAAGATGGTCAGGTCCCGACATCTACTTCACTCGTCAAAGCCGTTGACTGCGCCATAACAAACGGTGAATTAGAATGGGCATCTGGACCGGTCAAATTGTTGCGGGAAAGGGTCGACTCAGGAGACATGGCCGGGACACTGCTTTTGTGGCACTTTGTCCGCGATTCTGATGTAGCTCACATTCGCGGTAAGATCGAGCAATTGGCAGATTCTGGTGTTACGGACGCTCTCAGCATGAAAGCCTTGAATCGTTTGATCGAATATGCATACTCACAGAACAAAGCTGACGACGCTTCCAAGTTGATACAACTGGCTGGAAGTTTGGGACTGAGACCTGACGCCAAAACACGATCATTTCAATTGGCATATCAGCTCAAACAGGGCGACCGTACTGCAGCTGCTCAGACCTTCGAGCTTCTCTTGAGGGAAGATGTTCCCATTGATCGTTCTGACGTCCCGGTACTCAACCATTATATTTCGGCCCTATCGTTCTCTGGGGACCACGAGTACACAAGACTCATGCAAGTGGTCGACCATTTGTTGGAGAGTGGGGGCGATCTCGAAGCCGAAGCAATTGCCGGATTGTGCCATGTCTTCCTTGAAAAGGACGAACTGGACGAGGCCACTGGGTTACTCAGACATCGAGTGGACTCGTATCCTATGGACGACCGAGCACGCATCGCTGCAGTTTTCCGTCAATTCATTGTAAGTCCAGCTGTCAAAGATCAGCGCGCTTTCAATGCCTATGAGCTTTTCCGTCATGCTTTCCCTGAAAGCACAGTCGAGGAGCGCCTGCCGCTTATGCAATCGTTTTTCGACCGCGATCGTCCCGACCTGGCCTGCCTGATTTTTGGACATATGCGGCAGCAAGACGATCTTCAAGCCCGTCCAACTGCTCAGGCTTATGCCAGATGTTTCGAAGCTATTGCCAAGTGTAAAGACATTGATGGTCTACAAATGATCTATAACATGCTAAAGCTTGATCTGGAAGTCGAGCAAACGACACGCATCCACAATGCCCTGATGGCGGCGTATACAGAATGTCAGCAGCCCTTCGTGGCCATCATCGACCACTTCTGGAAAATCATGGACTCGCGTGAAGGCCCTACCTTGAGTTCTTTCATGCTAGCTCTGCGCGCCTGTGAGAAGTGGATTCCTCAGGGCGGCCACCAAGCCAGACATATTATGGCACTCATGCAAAGCTTCGACTTGATCATCACCAAGGAGGTGTATGAATGCTATATTGGGGCCCTGGCCGGGCAATCCGAATTCGAAAATGTGGTGGAGTTGATCGATCAAATGGAAAATGACATAGGCGAGCCTCCTGACGCCATCACCATTGGGACTTTCTACAATGCTATCCCGTGGCAATTTCGGAAAGACGAGGTGGAGAAATGGGCCAAGAAGGCCTATCCAGAGTTATGGGCCGAGCTAGAGTCGTATGGAGACGAAATTGATGAAGAGTGGGAGATCAGGTACTTCAAGCTTGACCGGAGTATTGACATTGATGACGAGCTGTTATTTGGGCCCGGTGACTATCATCCGGTGATTGCACAGGAAACGCAAATCATGTTGGAAACGCCAGTCACAACGAACTGAGTCGCAGGCTTGAAACATGGCCCAAGAAGAGTCGTTATATATGAGCAAGGATAGGACACCTCTACTACCCTAGATCATCCGAGGATTTCTCGCTGGCTTCAATGTGAAGACTCCGCGGCGCCTAACTTGATTTTGATCCGCTCGCTCAGTTTCGTCCCTCTCAGCCTATTTTTATTTTTGCCGCTGTATCACCGACGCCGACCGTCCTCTTCGTCCTCTCGATTTAGCAAAGCAGGAAGGCACAAGAGCGGGTGCTGGATGTAGACACCCAGTGCGGAGTAGGAGGGAAACGGGCCCATTTTATCCCGTCACGGTTCTATGTGGAATCCATGTCGAGGTCAGGGGTTTGACTATTGCTTCGTGTATCTATTGGTTGACAGCACCGAGTCAAGTGTACCTAGGTACTAGTAGTGAAGTTGGCGGAACAGCGAATGCGACAAGCTGTCGTTGCAGCACGCCCTTTCACGGGGCGCGGCGCAGTCTGTCAGTGTCGAGGTCGGAGAGCACTGAAGAGCGTCATTTTCCCCGCTCGAGGACAAGCTGGCCAGTCTGACAAAAACAAGGCCACTTTGGGCTCTTGCGAACTGACCGTCAGACAGCGTGAATTCTTCGGCTGCTGGCAGGCTTCCACCATCACTATTGTCACCTCGTCTATTTTATATCTCCAGGACCTTTGACCCTTGACCCATTCGAATCTCAGCTTGTCCGCCATGCGAGGTGCGGCCAATGCACGACCTCTGAGTCCGGATAGCCATGTTTTCATCCTTCCTCAACATCTCGGTTCCGAAGTTCGGGTTCCGAAGGGCGCCGGCCTCCCAGCCCATCGACATCCCTAGTGTCGAGGTCCACGATGTCGAAGTCTCGAGCGAGAAACGCGGCCGGCGGCTCAAACATCTACTGAAACTCAACCATGCCACCTTTGCCATTTTATATAACCATCTTCGCTTCCACAACCATACTCCTCATGTACGCATTCATGACTCTTGTCTCCCCTCCTGGCTCTCTGGCGGAGCATGATCCCTCCTCTGATTTCTTTCCACTGATCGACCTTCAGATTCTGGGATCGGCCTACCTATTCGGCGGCACGCCCGAACATTTGAATGCCATCTACGAAGACGCTGCTGCCAATGAAGGCCACGAACACTGGGTCGAGTCGCCCTCTGAGATTGCTCTGCACGACTACCGCGACTACCTAGGCAAGCGGGAATACCAGCGGGCGTTTGTCGACTTCTTCGAGGACCAGCTTGTCCTTCACGGCTACGACTGGAAAGAAATTGTGGAAAATTTCCTTTTCGAACGCGGCCCTGGGAAGTCGGATAACCCTGAGCCCATCTTTAACTGCCTGACCGCTGGATTGGGCCATCCCCTGATCCATCTTGGCTATGCGTACGAGCTGAACAGTCGTGAAGTAGCCATGGAGGCTCTTGGGCTGGCGGCGACGTGCTACGACGCCAAGCTCGCTAGCCTCCTCGAGACAGCCTGCCACTCGCAGGCATCCACCCGCAATCCTCTCACATACTCCACAAACGACCTCTTTGAAGTCTTCGCCCGCGTCCAAGGTGACAAGCGCCTCGACTCTGCCTTCGACCATTACGGCGGCGACAACCTCTCACAGCTGCTGGCCGACCCTGTGCTCACCTCTATCCTGTTGGAGCACTGGCACACATGGAAGATCGACCATCCGACTGCCGACTTTGCTCAGTCTCAAGCCCTGGCATCCGCACTGCTGATTTCCTGTGCCACCAGCGTCGAGGGTCACGGTTATGACTTCTTCCTCGTCCACCTGTTGACAACCTCACATGCCGTGCGGATCCTGATCCCTTTCCTCGACGGACAGCACCATCTCCCCCTTGTCCGCGAATGGCTACTGATCACCCTGGCCATTTACATCGCACAGCTGAGACCGCTGATCAAGCGTGAGTACATCACAGGTTATGATCTGCAGGGACGAGACTGGGCCTTTGTCGTGCAAGCGGCGCTCGAAGGCCAGTATAAACTCGACGCGCATTTCGTCAAGGCGTGCCGAGCTTTGAGGGAAGCTGACCGGGTATGGGGTGATGACAGCGGTGAGAAATACTACCTCAAGGCTGCAGTCAAGTTTGCCAGTGAGTTTGACGGATGGGGTGGGTTTGGAGCTGTGGATGAAGAAGAAGAGCGGGAGCTGCAGGAGTCCAAAGCCAAGGCCAAGGCCATAGACATGTGACATGACATTGAAACGGGAAAAGGAAGCTTGGTCCGCCTGCACTGGACGTTGGACGGTCTTGGCCTGGCGAAGTGAGATGACGGCCCATGATAGCTCCTGGAAGCTTAACGCATTTCATGCTATTCTAATCTGCGCACACCTGCGTCCCACATAATGGAAATAACACTTCACTCCCACTATTACACTACTTTGGGTGGCACATGGACCCTGTGGGGGAGGATTGGAACAGACTCCCGCTGTCACTTAGCTGCCAGACCACGACGAGGCTGAGGACTAGAGCAAGGCTGAGCTGTCAGATATCGCGGGGTCAGGCGCCGGCGTCACGTGGCAGTGCGCTGGCCCCACCAGTCCTATTTAGGTCTGGTTAAACATGGGATTTCGCCAGTTGGGTTGCCAGCCAGCCTCACGGAGCTCAACCTCACTCCTCCAGCCCACAACGAGCAGATCTGGTCTGTATCGACTCCCAGTCCTTGAGTGCGACATCGGTATGTCGGATTTCTGGACTTGCAGTCGCTTTGACCAGTTTTGACGGCGTGCGTCTTCTCTCGGCACTCTGCTATGCCACCAGTTCATATGCTTAATCCGTCGCCACCGCTGACTGATTCGACGCCCGCTCCCCAGAGCCACGACCTGGACGACGACGACTCTTCCACCATCTCTGTGATGTCTGCAACTCCGGCTTCGGCTTCGGCTTCGGCTTCGGCTTCGCAGAGCGCCCCGCCTGCTTGGGCCCGCGGCAAGACATGCCGCAGGCCCAAGCACCCCCGGCCATTAGATACCAGTGGCGTTGAACTCTGTTGCATGGAAGGCCATCGCCACAGATGGCCTGGCACGGGTAGACTCTACATTTCGAAGTGTCAGAAGAGGTGTGGTTATTGCGGCGACATGGTGAAGACATCGGCAGGCCTTCGTAAGGTGAGCTCGCCTTCTTCCTTTCCCCCTACTCGCCCGCTGCGGGCGCACATCATTGGATCCGAGCTCATGTCCGACGACGTACACAGCATGTGGAAGTCCATATACGGAAAGATGGGCTTCTTGCGAGAATTGCGCCAACTAACACTGTAGATGATTCAGCCTGGGAGTATTCCATTGTCCAAAGGAACGACGACGGAGCAGGACATCCATGGGACGAAAACAGAATGGAAGTGGATGATGAGTCCCTTCCGTCTGGCGCCCCAACGGCCCCAATGGAGACTCAGATCTCACTTGAACACACAGTACCAACAATAGAAGATCCACTACTTCGCTCTCTACCTCACTCTATATCACCAAGGGAAACACCGCCGTCGGCTAGGAGCCCAAACTCAACAGAATTTCAGCTGTGGGTGGAGACTACCACGCCAGTCGAGTCTGCGGAAACTGGAGAAACGCAGCCATCCATTGAGAGCGCAGCCCCAGCAGTGATCGAGCTGCCGGCGGAGCCCACAATGCCAATGGAGCTTACACCGCCTATGTCTGCCGATGGATCGGCAGAGACACAGGCGGATTCTACTGATGATGGAAGGAGTCCAAGAACTCCTTTAGGGGGGTCGCCGATACTTGGCTCCCTGGCAGGTCCAAGTTCAGCACCATCTCCTCCGGCTGGGCTTGATGCAGATGCAGGGCCGACAGCAAGCCTTCAATCAACGATCGAGGCGGAAATGAGGGCAGAACTTGCCGCCTGCTTCGATGAAGTAGTCAAAGTAGAGGTGTGCCGTCGGCTCCAGATGAGACAATCTGAGGCTTCCAGAGCGCCCGAGCCAGATTGGGCGCGCTCACCGACCTTCGGGATTCGCTTCCTTAACGACCAGGCATCGCCGTGGTCGAGAATGATAACGTCCAGCACCGCTCGAAAACATCTCTTACGGAGCGACCAGACGTACGATTACCTATCGGACTTTGTGAGCCAAGGCAATCCCGAGGGTGTGCGCATACTGCTTGAAGAAGGCTGCAATCCCGGCCACTTCGACATGCCACGTATGAAGCCGATGCTGAATGCGATCAAGGGCCGGACGGAGAACCACCAAAAGTGCCTGAAGCTGTTGCTCGAAAGGGGCACCGACGTCAATGCCACGAGCATGTCGACCGGCATGACGTACCTCCACTATGCGATTGCGCAGGAATTTTGGCCCGGATATGCGACCACCGTGAAGATGTTGCTCGAAGCCAATGCAGATCCCAGCATCGTGGACAACGCGGGCCACACCCCGCTTGCGATGCTCATCAAGGGCCAAAGCCCGGGCCAAGTCAGGCCACTGGGTCAGGAAGAACGGGAGGCCTTAACGGTCCTCCTCAACCGAAACCCCATCCACCAGATCAACGTGAGAAATCCACACAGCCGCGAAAACCTGCTGCACATGGCCGTACGAAGACAGGATGCATACACGCTCGAAGCGGTGCTCGGCCGCTGCACCTACTCGGAAGTAAGGGGACGATTAGTCAGTGAACGCACGCCGCAGGGACACACCCCGCTTCTACTCATTATGAATATCTGCCACTTCACCACCAGCAAGGCGGCCGGCGTGGCTCTACGAATGCTGGAGGTTCTGCTCGAGCACGGCGCTGATGCGGATGATGCCGACACCAGACGAGGCGATACGGCGCTGCACTTTATCATAGGCGTGCATCGGAGCTTTGAGGCCCTGGAACTACTTCTAAGGCACAAAGCCAACGCCCTCAAGAGAAATACTCGGCATGTCTGTCCGTGCGCTCTGCTGAGGGACAAGGCCCACGATTACCCTTACGATCCCTGGTACGCCCGTGCGATCATGCGGCTGTGTGAACTTGATGAGGCGAGTACGCCGGGGCCAGGCTCAGGCCAAGTAGCTGCGATACTCAAGGCTCCGCGACGTGCATCCCCTGAGATGACACCGCCACAGTCGCCAACAAGGTCGTCCTGACGCAGATGACCTGGTGCCTGAACCATGATGCCAATTCTGCTGGTGGGGACAAGATATGCAAGTACGCTTTGCGACAGCGTGCTTCCTCCCACCGTCCAAAGGCTGCGTCGGCGGCAGTGGTGGCATCATGATGTTGGACGAATGCACGGCGACCCTGATTTTGAACTCTGATCTGATCTGACCTATTTTCTTTGTTTTTTTTTTGGCCTTACTACCCTCCGTGCTGGTTGCTCGTTTTTCTGGTGCGATATCTATTCATCACTCCTTGAATGTTTTCGGAGGCCCCTTGGAGCATCCATCTGATCAACACGGCAAAGACGCCCCCTATCTCTATTGGAAGGCAGAGACACACAGCCGCAAAACATCCAACACCTCTGTTAGGAGGCAGATGCAACTTTAGCGATAGTTTCCATAATGACAATGACCATCTCAGTGGCCCAGGTGGAACTTAACGACGAAGGAATGAACAAACGAACGAACGCGAATGAACGAACGAACACGAACGAACGAACCATCACCTCTTGTGGACTGGACGAAGCGAGATTTGGCGAGCACATCACTGGACTTGGAGTCAGTCTCGCAGCACAGCAGGGAATGATTGACGGAACCACGCTCATTAAGCTTTTGCTTTACGTTGTCTGGTTTTGTTTTTTCTTTTAAAATATCTCTTATCAGATTGAACTGGGAACGAATCGAACCGAATCGAAGCAAACGAACCGAAACGGAAATGGAAATGGAAATGATCTCGGGATGGACTGGAGGAATTGGAGGAATCAAAGGACAAGAGGAGGAATTGGAGGACAAAAATCAGGAAAGGAACAACTCAAGGACAGCTCATGACATAACCACATTCCTTACCTCAGGCACCGGCCCCTATTTTCTCTCACTTCTCTTGCCTCAGGCCACAGCCTCCTGCAGTACAGGTACAGCGCAGTGTTGCATATGCGTTACACATGTGCACTCTGTTCTGTACATGTATGTCAACATCACCAAAGGTCAAGGTCAAGGTCCTCTTCCTCTTCCTCGCTAGGAACGCCAAAGTCAAAGTCATACACGGAGGAAATCAGGCTCGGCACAACAGCGCAGGCGGGGGACAGGAGGGAGGGAGGAGGGAGCTAATTAGGGGGACGATGAGATGATTTCCGGTATGGCTATCGAATACGACTACAGCCATGATTTTTCTTTTCCATAGTTTAGTTTAGTTTTGCTTATGCTTATCTATCTTACCATTCTTCACCTATGTTCGCTCCTTTCTTCTTTCTTTGCCTCCTCGTCAAATAAGTAAGTGCCTTCCTTGTCCTGCGAATTCGTATGTATGTACCGATACTATCCGCGCACCGTATACAACAGACTAGACGTGTAAGTGCTATTACTATGGATGCACGGATACCTATAAACAAGTACTGGTGACTAACTACACATACATACACATAGTATATACCTAATAGTACATATAGTAGCACATTGTATACATAGTACTCCGTACATACAGTAGTCGGGTCTCGGAATACCAAACCCCACGATCAAATCAACATGGCCTAAAGTCAAACTCCACGATCAAATCAACATGACCTAAAGACAGGACCAGGCCTGTACCAGTACCAGTAGTAGTCGCCGAGAAGGTAATAAGTGACTGCAGCAATCACCATCCAAATCAAAGTAATTGCAGCGATCACCATCCAAATCAGGTCCCGACTCCGACTCGTTTCGAAACGCCCGGTCAGGCTGACGATTACAATCGGTCGCAGATTGAGATTGGCAGCCAATCTTGTCCTGGCTACCTAGGTAGTGATAAGAGTTTGTTTCTGCTGCTTCTTCTTCTTCTTCTGCTGCCTCACTTCGATCTTGATCACACTTTTTTCTTCTCCCAGACTATATGTCGCTTGGCACCAGAGGGGTTGGTTGAGGTCGGCTCAACAGGTGACCTACACGATGCAACGGAGATCCGAACACCTCCGTTTCGAACAGGGCAACGAATATGACTTGACGTATCATGACATGTGGATGCCAAGTGCCCATCATCGTCGTAGCATCTTAAGATATCTCCACGGAATCTTTCCTGCCAGCCATGCCCTGCCGCCTTCTCTTCTCCCTGCGTAGAGCTTGGCAAGCACAAGAAAATCCCTCGAGGCAGGCGACTTTTGGAGCTCATCACCTCTGCACAAGAGAAGATCCCGAATGTCATCCTGTATTCCTGGTCTTTTGCTCGCAGCGCGCTCGGCAGCTCAGCTCTACTGTGTGCCAAGCATGTTCTTCACTTTGACCCAGTAATCCGGATGCACGGCCTTCTCGATCTCGTCCTTGCTCAACCATCGAAAGTCTTCAATGTCTTTTGCTTGGTTCGCCTGCAGATCGGCCTGCCCGGCTAGGATGCGGGCTTTCATGAAAAACGTCTTTTCGCCGTCCACCAGCGTGGGATGTTGCTCCGGTGCCTGCGCCATTTCTTGTTTGCGCAATGTCGACTCGGACTCTATTGACTTTTGCGTCGGAGTCGGTGGTATGGGGCCGGGTTTTGGCGAAGCGAACCGCGCTACGTAGTGGCCGACGGGGTGGTTACCGACGAAGAAGGTGTTCATGTTTTCGCCGAGTGAGGTAAACAGGATGCGTTGTGCAGCCTGCCATATAAATTGTCAGTCTCCCAGGTCTCTGGTTTCGTTCAGGGCTTAGTCTTCCGATTTGTCTACTCACCTGTTTCAATCCTTCGTGCCCGAGAAGAGTGCCACTGGGAAATTTCCACAACTCGCTCTCCTCCTGACTTTGGCCCGGCACTTTCTTGTGCTTGACCAGCAAGTACAAAGTCCGGCTTAGACTGCGTTCCAGGCTTCGTTGGTCGTTCTGCTCGTCTGCGTCGGTTCTTCGTTTCAACCCTGCAAACTTAGGATCGCCATTACCGGTGAACTCGTCCGCCCGGTTCTCCTCCGCGACCAGCTTCTCCACAAGCTTGGCCGGCGAGCCAGTCTCATCGCCCACCAGCACCTCGTCATTCCACGCATCCGGTGTGTAGGCGTTGTATTTCCCAATGTCCCGGGCGGCCGCGCCTCCTCGTTCCTGTCGGTTCTTCCGCCACTGCTCAAACGCCGGCGTGCCGCGCTTGTAGTAGAAATACTGGGTGAAGGGCAAGGCGAGGCGCTCGTTCAGCCGGCGTTGATACAGGTAGTACGCCGTCTCAAACGGATGCGGGTCGGGGGTGATCAGCGGAGGTCTCGAGAGCACCACACCTGCTTTGATGGTGAAGCTGGACTTCGGGTGCGGAGAGGCTTCAGGCCCTAGCCCTGCGGACGAGAGCTGGGTGATCGGAGGTGCTTCGACCGTGGATTTGGCTGTCGCGGCGGCTGAGGCGTAGCCCCGTTGAGGTCGGGAGAGAGCCAGAGCTTGTCGACATGAAAGGCAGACGTGGTTGTTCGGAGTCGAAAACCCTGATCTCGGGTGTAAGCTGTCGGCCGACGGAAGTGCGTAGACAATACATACCCAGGGCATCAGCGATGCGCTTTGCGCCTCTTGAGCGAGGAGCCATTGTAAACAGGAACAGAAGGTGGCCCTGTGGGAAAGGCCTTGGATGGAACACGCGTGATTCCTCGTTCAATGCTTCGAGCTGGATGCTCGAGGTTCGAAAATGTTTGGGGGCGAGACACCGGCCAGTAACGGCAGGTCTGCCGAGGCCAGCCATATACTATATAGTACTAGCACTCACATATTTTTCCATTCCCTTTTTCCCTCCTGGCCCCCAAGCAGACCAAAATTCATTCTCTGTACGGAGTACCACGTCAACCACCACCAAAGTTAGATATGAGATACATAAATGCAGATTGATCAGCGAAGAATATCTAATGGCCGGTGCGTGCGGTCCAGCAACTTCTCTCTTTTCACTATTCAGCAAAGGATATGGAGGACAGGAAAATTCAAAAATTCAAACATTCACAGAGATGAGAGATAGATAGCATTGGCTCGGATGAGCTCTGCTTCTATCAGGGTCACCTGTACGGAGTAGTGTCACTACACGTACACACAGCCTCGTCAACTCAACCACTCGGCACTAATCCTTATCATCAATTGCTTGCTTTCCATGGCTCTTTGATCATCATGCGGTGCCCAGATCAGGATCATATCAGGGAGTCTTTTTTCGCTAGCAGGGCCATTATCTTCATTTCACGTCGGCGCTGTTAGATAGTTACTCCCTACAATTTCAATTTCAATTCCCATTCCCGTTTCCAACCACGAACGATGGAAACATCTACTAGGGTATCAGTATCAGACACCAGAGTTTCACTACCTTGGCACTTCTTGACGCCGACAAACCCCGAATAGGAGAGTTAACTCGGGAAAGGCTGTAGAGTGAGTATATCTAGTATCTTAGAAAGATAATCATCCGGTAGAGCTGGAGGTTTCCCTAATACTATTGAAGTAGTAGTTGGATAAACCGCGATTAATTCGGGCACTCACCCTAAGGCCTTATAGTAAACAATATAGTCTGGGGGCGATTGCAGTTTAAACTGCAATACGGGACCTGCAACCCTCCGGGGGCCATGTCGGCTTCCTCACTCCGTATAGGTAAACGTGACTAGAGGAATGCCAGGACAGCTCCATCGCCGTCGCCATCACCATCGCCATCTCCGTCTCTCACCTTGATAACAATTGCCGATGTTAGTCGCTTAAACATGATTGGGGCATCCAGCGGAGTCACTCATTGGCCTTCAAGGCAGCTCAAGCGCTGGTCCGTGTCGGATCATCTATTCTGTACCTAGATGGTATGGTCTGATAAGAGCGGCTGTTGACTTGCTCATAGTGGTGCCGCAGCTAGTAGTACCGTTACTTCCAGGTCACCAGAACAGTCCCCGAAAATGCGATACTCTGCTGGTAGTACTAGGCTGGAAGGATTGCCAACATCTTTCAGGGAGAGGGAGTAGGGAGTAGGGAGCAGGAAGTAGGGAGCAGGAAGTAGGGGAAAAATTCTAGATTTTGCTCCGCATGGACTTTCCGCTCCGGATCTCGTTGGGGACGCAACATCGAGCTGTGTGCTGTATCGACAGTGGGAGCCTTACATTGCCATTGCCAACGTTCCCGGCAGCTTCGCTTGCGGGATACCCAATCCAGCAAGGACCCAAGCGACAGTCATACCAGATCACCCTTTGGTCAATTGGAGGGTGCCAGGTTGTCAGTATTACAAGGATGTCTGAGGACAGTTTGGTTGACAAGCCAGCCCGTTTGTCAAGACGGTTTCTGTCGGGAACATTCGGATACACATCAGGAGACAGCCGTATGTTCCCGATAAAGTGCAAAGGCTTCCAGGAGCAGGCTCGACACCTCCTCATTATGAATGTCATGAGATCTTTTGTTTCGAGTGCAGAGCCAAGTTTCATGTTCCTTGCATGTGCCATGACCCGACGAATCCAAACCGGACATGGTCTAGAGACAGTCGCGGCCCGGTATGAGATGCACCGTCTATAACCCAGCACGGTTCTGATTGGACCCCGGGCTAGAGGATGAGCTGGTGTTTCTGCCAGGAACAGGACTTTCGAGGCAGGTTGCGGCCGGCAGTTGTGGCCCCCGGTCTGTGTCTTCGGCTTGCCGCTTTCAGATGATCTGGCTACTAAAAGCTGACCGCAAAACCACGCTATTGAGGACCAGAGCTTGAGCTGAAATCTTCCGTATCAACACAGACAAAATAGCGAATGTTACCAAAAACCAGAGCCGTAACTGCCGGTCGTTGACGGGCTGGACCCAGCATTGGCGCATGCAGTTGAGCATCTGCATATGCACCTTGACCACCATCATGATTTCAAGGACTTTCATCTGCGGAATATCAAAGGCCAACCATCAGATCAGGCAGCAATGGTCACCGCGGGCCCCTCATTTGAAAGCTCCTCAGGTTCAGCGGTGCGGCCTGGTCTGCACAGGGTGGATTCGTCTTAGCCATCGCAAATCTGTCCCTCCAAACGCAACTCATAGAGTAAAAGGGGCAGCTGACATTCTGAGTCAGTACAGGCCAACCGACGAATCGTAAGACTTATCTCGTCGTGTCGCAGTCGCCAAGGGTGTGGGTGCCCATATATCCGTGTGGTGTGCGAGCCAGACTGAACACAGGTCCTTGTACGCTGCTGCCCGATCTCCCATAGCCCGACAGCGTAAGTTTTCTGTGTTGGTGTTTTGTTTGGCATTTGGTTTCAGACATGGCACGATTGTGGCATTTGCAGAACCTGAATCAAGAAAGGTCGCATCCCAAAGGTTACCGCTCCTACTAACACCAGGCAGGAGACTATTGATCTTCACATCAATTGAGCGTAGGGACTCACTCGACGGTGAGGGTGCTTTGATGAACGGCTAGGTGCGGCAAGACCGGTCCATGATTGCTCCACCGAGGGAGTTGTTGGTGGTGGCAACAGCGACGCTAATACTCTCCTTGTTCTCGACCATTGATACTGTCTTTGGGCCCCAGCCAGGAATATGATAAGATAGTGGCGGTCATATTACTTCAAGCAATGAAGCCCATGACAGGCTCGAACGTCCGTGCCAACGCACAGTGGTGGAGTATTCTTCGATACTGTTTGGGATGCCAGCGATGCAGGTACGCATTCTGAATGCTCCAGAAGGTGCGAGTCTGTCCAAGCTGCCAGAGAACAGCTGCAAAACAACCGAACGAGTCGCGCCTAGAGTTGATGATCGCGGGCTCATGGTGGCAACCATTGCCACTCTGCCCCGGCTTTGCAGTTCCACCACCACAAACACGTATGTGGCCGGTGAACAACTCAGGTTACACGTACCCCTCACTGCAACTGTTGAGGAGTTATGACCGGATAGGTAGGAAACAAGCGGCGATTGGGCGAGTCGAGTTTCTGGTTGAAAGTGTCGATGCATGAACTGAGATCAACGGAAGCAGAGAGTTCACGGAATTCCTCTTTGGGGTTCCATCTATTGGTTGGATTTAAACGTACAACCCCAAGGTGCCCAAGCCTTCTCACCTACAGAATACATCGGCATAGATGGGGGATAGAAGAGAACTTGGTCAGATAAAGGGGCCAGTCCTTTAGGGATCGGACGCGTCCAGAAGATGAAGGTGGCTGTCCTTCTGTATCAGTCTGGTGAGAGCCAGCTTCGGTTTCGGCCAGAGACCAGGAAAAAGGAAGAGTTAGCGTACCTCTTAGTGCCATCTTGGGGGGATTGAAGGCTGTGGAGTGCGCATCTGTAGTGGGAATCTTCCCGGGTGCGCATCTCATGTGGATGGGTACCCATTCTATAAGTCAGTGCAAAGAGTTCCTACCTGGTAAGCCTCCACGCACCAAACATCCTGCAAGCACTTTCCCCAGTAAGATATCTTCCACTGGAATTATACCTTGACCACCTGCGATTGCTCCTAGACAAGAGGCGGAACCAGATCCGACGCGCATTAGTCAGTACTGAGCTGTTGCGATCACACCTACCTTGGCAAGTGCAACCTCACGGATTAGGCATCTGACGAGAGAAGCTTGACCTGGGACGGGAGAGGTAGCTATGACAAGCAGCAAGACCTGAGACGGGTTGTTGCATTGGCAGTGTCTGGTCCGTCCGGAACATTGCTCTGGTCAGGTCCAGGAATCGGCGTCGACCGTGAAGTGGCACCATCATGTAATGTGTATAGCCCGAGGTTGTGCAGCAGAGGGTACATGCAGTTCGGGTAGCAATAAGCCTATTTACGCAACGTCAGGACTTCTTTCGAACTTTGAACCTCGAGAGTCGGTGCAAGATTGCCCGTGAGCTTTGCAGCTCGGCGTCGACATGGGGTCTCTAAAAGTTGTTTTCCGGCCATTCTCTTCCGGGTGTTCCAACCTTTAGGTACGCTGACGGCTCATACTGCTTGTGTATCCCAATAAGCCTGTCAAGGTTTGCGTGTAATGGGTGGTGTCGGCCTGTCCTGATACGCACCTAGAGACATAGGAGAGAAATAGGCGAAGGTACCTAGGTATGTACCTAGTATCTACGAGTCTGCGACGGCACTCGTTCGGATAAACTCAGACAGTACCCGGCGCTAGAGGGTTTAGAACCAGCCTAACTAGATGTGGGCCCTGATCATCCACTAGGTTGATCCCCCGCTTCAAACTGACAATCGTCACCACATCGTGTGTAAAAGCCAGTCCTAGACGCCGTCTTCCGGAACGTCCGCTTGCAACGTTATTGCTGAAATCATTCCAACCAGGGCTCAGATATGCGGGTAGAGTCAACCATGGTGTTGTTACACAATGCTAAGTTACATGATGAACGGCTGACCCCATTACACTCTCGCAGCACCAACAGATGCAGCCACGTGTGTCCCCGCTTCCAGGCCGTTCGATTGACCAGGTGGGTTGCCGGCATGTGACAATGCAAGATCGCTAATTTCAGCGCCAGGGAACTTCCCACCAGGCCAACGAAGGGCCAAGGGGCCTGTTGAAGCCATCGGAGGATCCTCCGCGCTGTCCTGTCGATCCATACATGTACGGAAGGATAATGGTCCCCAGGACTTGGTCATCCTGCAACCGCCCTTGGCTGACTTGAGCCTCCTCAATTGTGCATTATTGGAATTCTCATTTATCCATTGACCCAGTATGGTCGAGACAGTCGTAACGTTGTAATACAAAGCTTGAAGTCGTAAAAGATAAACTATCGTCAGACACGTCTCCGCAGACCATACGTCAGGCCACACCCAAGACTCCGAGCTAAAGAGCCTCCAGTGCTTTCGCCATCTGGAATCCTAGGCCCAACCCTTCTGGATCGACCGGTCTTCTTCCGGTGGGCACCGGAAGTCCAATCAGGTCTTCGCTTGCATCTGATGTCTCGCTGGTTGGGGTTGACGACAGCGACCGGTATTCCAAGACAGTAGACTCAAATTCCGGAAGCTCCGTTTGTGCCGCTTCTTGGATCCATAAGGTCTCTGCTGCTTTCAGCTGGGAGAACCACTCGCCCACTGTCATTTCTTTGCCCCGGAAAGTGATGGCTAGGTCGCTATATCTGTGTAACCCCGCGCGAGAAGCCTTGTGCTTCCAGTCCGGGTGCGCGTCTTCAAGCAGATACCGACGCTCGGCTGTTACATGGTTGACGTAGTTAAAAAACGCGCCTTCGGAATCTTTTCAAGTCAGCTACTTGCATGAACACCTGTTCGTCGGGCACCCTTACAGCGAGTCGAGGCTGCCACCGGCTGGGCTGGCAGAGGAACCAGCCGATCGAAACGCTCGTCCACGAGTTCTCGCAGTCGCAGGTAAGACGCATAGACAATGGAGGTCGATTCCTGCAACGTCCAAAGTGCGTCCTGCACAGCTTCAGGAAGTTGTGTCATCATTGAGGGGGGCAATGCGGCAACATGAGATATATCGTCGAGATCGTGTGAGTGCGGTGGTGCGAGGAAAAAGGCATCTGGGGGGCTCTGGGGCTTCATTGCTGAAGTATATGTGATGAGACTGGGAAGCGATGTCTGAAGAATGAGTAGGATTACAAGAAGTGTAGAGCCTGCCTAAAGAGGAGAAGAGACACGAGGTCAGAAGAGGAAGTGGAATACGATTCCTAATAGTAGGACATGGACTACCGCCGGCGGCATGGTGTTTTTATATCCAAAAAAGAAGAATGTAGAATAGTTTGGTAGACCACAATGCCTCATACGATTTAGGCCGGTGCAGGGGCGAGGGATCTCGATGCTGTCCTTCCTGGTTGGGGCGAATTAGGTCATGCTAAAATCCTGTATTGGCCGGGATAGCCCGGCGTCAATGACTACCCAATGATACGAAATGACACGAAATGACAGGATTTTGAGACGCATACGGGACCTGTAGGTCTAGGTGCCAGGTAAGAAACCAGGGTACCAGGTATTCTCGGTAAACGGATGCCCCCATAAGGTAAGGTACCGGAGAACACGAGCAGACTTTCTTTTAGGAGTCGCGACCAGTCGGCTTCGAATCACAATATGTTGGCGACGCGAACCAGTACGGCGAGAAACTTGGTTGAGCATGTTTGTACGGAATTGGTAGCGCCTGACCACCGTGCACTCCCAGACCAATCTCAAGACTTTTGCCCCTCGTGCCACTCTATCCATCTCGATGTGCGAACGTCGAGAGGGTGTAGTGACGCCAACCTGTACATCTTTGCGGATCGAAATGACATATTCCATCAACTGCCAGCTTTCTATCTAGGCTTATTGTTGCGATATGCCTTTCCGTTTCCGTTATCTTCCGTCCCGCGAAGTCGTCTCGTGTAACTCACCCCACAAATCAGCTTCCCAGCAGCACGGAGATTCGTTCCGGACCTGTCCCAAACGTTCACGAAGATCAAAAGGGGGTGGGGCGCCGGTAGCAATCTCCTGTGAGGCTCGAAGATCTACTGAATTCTGTGCTGCTCGTTAGTGATATGATCAGAACGAGCGACTGTGAACTCCATCCTACCGTTGGATGAGATGGACACCAGAGGCTGTCTCAACAATGCCGCTCATTTCACCGGGCTGCAGAGCGAAAGCAGCGTCCTCGAATTCCTTCTGCATCTGACCCTTGCCGAAGAACCCCAGATCACCTCGTCTTCGAGCACTGCTGTCATCGGACTCGGAGACGGCAAGGTCACCCAACTGTGTCTGACCCGACCGGATTTGTTGTTCGTAGCCCTTCAGAAGCTCAATGGCCTCCTCCTTGGTGCGGGTGATGTTGGTTTCTCTCCAGCTTGTAGGTCGACGACTGTCTTTGTGCTTGACGAGGAGGTGGGCTGCACGGATCTTGCCCTCAGGACCCGCCCCATCAATGCGCGTGTTCGTCGAGCTGTGGTGTTGGGCCATGTAGACCTTCAGTTTCTCTGTATCGGCGTCTTCCGGCGGTTCCCATCTTGACTCTTGAAGTTTGGAGTTGAAGTAGTAAGGGAGGTTCTTGGAGTTCGAATGCCGTACTTCCCAGTCTGGGGGCAACCCGGTCTCAGTCTGCGATGCCGTGGTCAGTCTCGGAACGCAAATCTCTGAGTAGTTGTCACGTACCATGGTGTTAGAAAGATGATAGATGTGACGGATAGCTTTGGTCCCCGGATGCTGATGAAACTTTCAGACGGGTCTCACTTCAACAAATGCTGAATGATCGGTGCAGGCGTGTGTCGGCGCTGTATCACTCGCGCAACCAGGTGGGGCAGTGAATTTGCGGTTGTCAACAAATCAGCGAGAGGTTAGAGTAACGGTGTCGGTGATTGTCGTTCGATCCTAGTATACCATTCCTATGATGAGATACGTAGTCTGTGATGGAGTGAAAACTTCCACGCAGTCATCAGATCGAAGTGCGAGTCATTCTGTGTGGTGTTGTCAGGCCTCAGCAACCAGCGTGACCGCACTGGCCAGTAGAAGACGACTGCGGGGTGGAAACTTCACTTTAGACGTCGAGGCTCCCTCGCCGAAACGTACATGTCTATTTCTCTCGCCACACTCAACGCGAGGACCTTTTTCTGGACAAAGTACTGGTGTTTTATTCTTCTTACAACATCCAAGCATTGTTGTCGTTCTAGTTCAGTCACTTACCTAGGTACCACAGAAACGTTTTTGTCTGCATCCTCGGCCTTCGAACCTCTCCAGCACCGCCCTCGACAACTCTTTTAGCTCCCTGTCCACCATTACAAACAGCGACCATGTCAGCTGCTGCTTCACCCACCCCTAGCGAGGGTGAGACAAAACGCGGAGAGGTGTCGTATAGATTTTGTCAAGAATGGTAAGTAAGCCCATTGGATCCTCTGAGCGGCTGATCTACACATCTATATTGTATCTGACTCGTTTCCTTGCAGTTCCAACCTTCTCTACCCGAAAGAAGACCGTACGACATCCACACTCCTCTACATTTGCAAAGCCTGCCACGCGACGACCACACACGATTCTGCATGCACGTACCGACACCAACTGGGTTCCACTGTTCAAGAGACGGCTGGAGTCACCACTGATGTCGCAAATGATCCAACCGTGGGTTCTGCTCCTTCCGAGCTGCCCTGCTTCTGTACCCTTTGTGGGAATCAGTTGAAGTGCGGCCAATGTGGTAGACCGGCGATGGAAGATTCTGATCAGTCTGAATATTCGGAGAGTTGATCGAGTCTTTTGTTTGCACGGACCCACGATCTATTTCACAAACTCAGGCTGACGGGTCGCTCTTGTTTTGCAGCTTCCTCGAACGAGTCAACGATGTCCTAAGTGCAAGGAAACGGATGCGGTCTACTTCCAGTCACAACAGCGGGCTGCAGACACGGGAATGGTGAGGATCCTTGCTCATTTGCTCGTTTTCATACCAGTCTGATTGCTCCTAGAAACTTTACTATGTTTGCTCGGCCTGCAATCACGTTTACACCGTTGTTTGAGCAAGGCGCCGGGGGATTCTGGGCACACAACCATACATGGTCAGGCGTTGACATATGAGGATTCTAGCACGCGTTCATGAGGGACTGGTGGTGCAGTATGACACTGCTAGGCGTCGAGGATTCCGCTTTACGGGTTAATCCCATCATGATGTATGCATGCTAAGGTAGCTCTTTCAAGACGTTGGCACTTCTTGACGCCGACAAGCCCCGTCGTCCTGCCTCCGTTGTACTTCTGCCTTCCAGTTGCCCAGGTTGCACCCACCGCCGAACCTCTACACATCAGAAACTGAGACTCCGACCAGAATGCCACCAACAATCCATTCAATGCCGGAGAAGAGAAAGTTCTCCTTCGACGTTGGGGACGCGGCATTACCAGCCAGCAACGAGGTCTGCCACAGCTCTTCACCGAGGCACTGTTCCCCTCCTACTCCGTCTCTGAAGCGTCCCAAGATTCATATTGAGCGTACCTCTCGAGCGACTAAACGTCAGTGCAAGTCTTGGAATCCATCGGTGCTTAAATGGCTAGAGACAGATCCTTCAAGCATCAGAACCAGAATCATTGATTGGGTTGACATTCAAAAAGCGCCCTTGCCAACCAACCTGTCTCCAGCGACCTAGACGACCTGTCCGTCGAGTACAAAGCACATCGACCAAGTATCGAAGAGGAAGAGCAAAGCCTCAGTGCGAATAGCTTGCACCTATTTCCAGATGACTCGGTCGATTCCGACATGTCGGAGTCCTTGGTCGGGTCCAGTCAGACCGCTCCACTGTGATCAAACCCACTGACGGTGATTTCGAGACCTTACTCAAAGAGCGAGGCATTTACTCCCTATCCCACAATGCACCAGGGCCTAAAAATATCGCTGAGATAAACGGTGCTCTAAGACCCTTCTGGAACAACATACAAAGAAGTCTACCGGGATGCCATGAACGCCGTGGAGTACATGAGGTGAACGACCCTTAGGTGGGTTAGAGCAGACACGTCGCAATGGAGGAGAAGCTTCTGGACTCGTTACGGCAAGGACTAAACCCGATGACGCCTCTGGGCAGGCGTGCCGGAGGGCGCAATAGAAGAGGTGGCAGTACAAGCAACCTTCGACCCCGGTCTCCCTCTACGACACGAACAACCCTTTCCACCGAGCTCGATCCCAACTAGCCTACAGCCTCGGCGATGATGGCTATCCGTGTCTCACGCTGAAAATCTTAGACTTGCTACTGCATCGGGTGTTCTTTTGCATTTTGTACAATTGTTTATGGCAGTGGGTATCTGGTTAATGTTCGAGGGAGTTCCTGAACTCCTGTGAGCAGAGCATGTTGCCCGGCATCCCACGATCGCGAGAAGACGGAGAGATGAACTCGCTCTATAGTAGAACATTGTGTGAAGCTCTTCCTCCGCTGCATGAATCACACATGCATCGGCGCCAGAGACAGAATCTTTGACCACTTCTTATCTCGTAACTCAGAGCCAACGACACCTATATGGTGTCAGAAGATGGGAGATGGAGGGATTCGGGAGGAAACATACTGGATAACCTTGTGCCGATAGGATCGCCATTTTTATTGATGAGCACACAGGCATTGTCGTCAAACCTGATCAGACTGCCATCTTTTCTCTGAACTTCCTTCTTCGCCCGCACAACCACAGCATGCCGTATGTCTCCTCTTCGCACTTTGTTCGTAATTCCCAAGCTTGACCCGCCAGGGTTTTCGGGGCCGAAGGATCGCTGCTTCTGGACGACGACGATTATCCTGTCCCCTGCACATAGAGTCAGCCAGGCATCCTAGCACTGAGTTGCTCTGCAGTGGATTTGTTAGGAAGTACCTATTGTTGCATGCTGTATCTTCTTTCTCATGACCGCGACGCACTCGACAACGGCGGCCCCGGAGTTGTCGATGCAATTAAGCATCGTCTGGACAAAAGCGTTAGAACGCACTAAGGGCATCCTGCACAAGGGCCTGCAAAACAGCACTAACCTTGAGTTGTATCATCGTGGTAGCATAATGTGGTTTGTCACTGACACTCCAACATCGACGGAGCAGCAAATAACTGCCTTGGTGTCTGCGAAAAGCGAAACGGTCCCAGGCTGAGTCCAAATAAGGCAGGTCGAGCGGGCACCAGCTTTGCCACGTGACAGCCATTGTCTTTCATCCATCCTCCTGCTGCTTTCGTTCAGGTGTCGAAATGTGCCGAGTACCAACCCATACGGTTTGCATGGGCATGATTTGGTTTCGGGGTCCGGTCGGTCAATGCTATAGAGGATCATAAAAGTGGCCGCTATCTACAATTCAATTGTGACCTATTAGGTGCCTATGACTAAGCCATTGAAATCTGAGATGTGTAGGTGGGAGAGGAGCATTGTTTCCTGCAGCTCCGATTTCATCGCCCTCCTAGGCTAAAGAGACGTTGATCTTTCATCCCTGTGAAGTAGTTTATCGTGGATCATGGTGTAGTAGAATCTATCAAAAATGAAATCCCCTGAGACAGCACGTGAGCTGCTCATTCACGTGATACCACGTGCCCACCCCCGAAGTTTCATGGGATCCCAAGTTCACCTCCTATACGAACGATTGCCCCGTCTTTTCCTTCATTTCAAGAACCTCCTCTCCTATAAACTCCTCGAGAGCTTTATCTCCCAAGGATATCTTATTGCCAATACAGACACGCTCACGAAAGATGTCTGACTGAACCGACGCCGCGTCAGGGGTTTTCAAAGGCGGAGGAGGGCTGAGCCGGGCAGCTGAGTTCGTGATCGAATTTGGACATGCCTATCAGGTATGGGAAAGCTGCTATTGGTCTGGCCCATCTGCTTCTTGTCCTGTCACTTGTGATATTTGCAAAGGGATTCTTCCCACACAAGGCGTTTCTGCCAGGTCTGGCGACATGGCCTCAGGGACTCGACATCGTACCCAGATCAGCTCCGTTTGACCGAGTCATCTTTATGGTCGTCGACGCGCTCCGCAGCGATTTCGTCTATGGCAACGCATCAAGCTTTGCCTTTACCCAAGGTTTGATCCGGTCTGGTGCAGCCCTGCCGTTTACTGGCCATGCAAGTGCGCCGACCATCACCATGCCGCGGGTCAAGGCTATCACGACAGGGTCCGTACCAAGCTTCGTAGATCTGGTTCTTAACTTTGCCGAGTCAGATACGACCTCGACCTTGAAGGATCAGGACTCATGGCTGGCGCAGCTCAGAGCAAAAGGTGGCAAGCTGGTCATGTATGGGGACGACACGTGGCTGCGGTTGTTCCCTGATTTCTTCGACCGAGCAGATGGGACTACTAGCTTCTTCGTCTCTGATTTCACCGAAGTCGACAACAACGTCACAAGGCATATCCCTTTCGAACTGGCACAGGATGACTGGTCTGCCATGACCATGCATTTCCTTGGCCTCGACCACATAGGGCACAAGACTGGTCCAAGAGGCCCCAATATGCCGGGCAAGCAAGCGGAAATGGATGGGATCGTAAGACAGATATACACGGCCATGGAGAACAGCCACCATCTCCAGTCGTGTCTGCTGGTGTTGCTTGGTGACCACGGGATGAACGAAGGGGGCAACCACGGCGCATCGTCTCCCGGGGAAGTCTCGACTGCACTCACATTCATCTCGCCCAAGTTGAAGTCTGCGTTCGAAGGACAGACAAGTCCGATTGACAGTACAGTCGACTACAAGTACTACGATGTCGTCCAACAGTCAGATATTGTCCCAACCCTCGCGGCACTCTTGGGATTCCCTGTCCCGCAGAACAACCTCGGTATCATCATACCACGCTTGTTGGAGCTTTGGACCGTTCAGCAGGACCAGTACGATCTGCTCTTCGAAAATGCGGAGCAGATATATCGCATCTCACAGGCAACGTTTCCTAGCAACTTCGCAGCCCAAATGGTTGACCAGGGGTGTTCAGCAACGACACAGGATGATGCCGAGATCATTGTGTGCCTCTGGAGACAGGTGCTAGAAGACTATGAGGCCGGCCACGGAGCGTATTCAAGCAGCTCAATGGCCCATCTGAGGTCATTCCTCAGCAAAGCTCAAACACTCCTCAGCGGTACGGCCAGCAACTACGACCTGCGCAGCATGCAAGTCGGCATCGGGCTGGGCGTACTTGCACTGACCCTCTGTCTGCCTAGCTTTACACAGGGGCTACGGGCTGGTGGCTTCGAGGGCGTAGCCTTGGTATCCATAATGGCGCTATACGCCATCACCATGTTCGCCAGCAGCTACGTCGAGGAAGAGCATCAATTCTGGTATTGGGCTCTCGGTGCATACTTGATCATTCTGTACTTCAAAGGCGGCAGATATGCGATCAGCCCCGAAAGCGCTGTGACAGGCTCGACGCAACCGGCCCTCGCGTACATGTTGTTCGGCCTGGTCCGTAGATGGAGACAAACGGGACAGAAATACGCCGGCGATCCCGATATTCTCAGCGAAGTCGTCACGCCGAATCCATCGCTTCTTTGGGTTCTCGTCGTCCTCACCTATGCCCTGTTGTCGACCAATCTCAGTCGAAGGGCTGTAACCTGGACGGGCGCAAGGCAAATGGGCCTTTTGCCCGCCTTGGTGTCCACCTCGGCGTTTCTCTTCAAGATCGCGTTCACGGCCGCCGATGCGCCAGAGCTGCTGCAAGCATTTCCTATCTTCGGCCCGCTCGTGTCATTTGTCTCGCGCTACCCGCTGGTAAACCTGGCCAGGGTCGTGTTCCTAGGGCTGGCTCACCTCCTCGCCTGTGCGGTCTACTACGAAAAGCCATGGAAGAGCGCCCGGCAGCTGCAGTCCTTTCTGACCGCGTTCCAGGATGTGCTCTCGATCTTTCTCATTACGCAGTCCCGCACTGTGTACATCCCGCTGTACTTGTTCTTCAATCTTCAGTTGTACTTATTGCGCCGCGGACGGAGATACTCGGTCGGCGAACTTGGGATTCTAGCTCTGCTCTTTCAATACGCGTCGTTCTTCGCCATGGGCGGCACAAACTCCATTGCGACCATCGATCTCTCCAATGCCTACAACGGTGTCAGCGGGTACAATGTGGTCGCAGTGGGGATTTTGACCTTTGTCAGTAACTGGGCGGCGCCGATCTGGTGGGCCTTTGCAGTGTGCCAGTTATTCAGCGTGGTCGACCTCAGCAATGGGGGGTATTCATTTCTGTTGACTGCTCTGGCGACATTCTCCTGCGTCCATGCACTCGCCGTCATGGTCGCCTGCACCTTTCTTCGCGAACATCTCTTCATCTGGACCGTCTTCTCGCCAAAGTACCTGTATACAGCTGCTTGGGTGGTGGGCCAGCATACCATCATCAACACCATGGGACTCGGAATGCTGTTGTGGCAGGGTGATAGGTAGCCAAGTGATCTCTCACTTCAAGGGTTGCGTGCGCCTTGAGCGGGAGGCTAAGCGCAAATGATTCTTTCCTGCTGGCGGTGCTTCGAGCTCGACAACGGGCGGGGCTCTGACGCTGTCCGTCGCACAGGTCGAGGGAAGGCCTTTTCTCCAGCTTCAAGTCCTGCTCCCACCGGATCACAGAGATCTATTTTGCACTTCCGGCACCATGAACTGGTCAAAGAGCTCTCCGATGCCTAGTGTATCGTCGATGGAGAGAACTTTCGACACATCTATGAAACGCAGAAGCGGTCAGTATGATGTGGCAGCAAATGCAGATGACGATTGCTCTCAGGCTGGTCAGCGGGATCTCGACATACATTGATCTGGTCGTACGATGACAGTGGCCCCGATTTCCGGGTCGATGGCGTACTTTTCATAGGCGTGGCCGTGGCCGGAATTGTAGCTCTCGTCATCAATGAATATCTTATGCAAATCTGGACCCAAGCATGAACGGATCAGCATCGATCAATGGTGTGGTGTCAATCGAATTGCAACGGTCAACGGTATTCTTTCTTACCTCGCATCTTCCACTTTCCTGTGACCGGCCAGAAGAACAGGGGGATGTCCTCCTGCTCGAGTTTGACCCTTTCGCCGGCCAAGACCACGATGGGCTCGAGAAAGCTGTCGACGTCGGAGGACGACGGCGTATACCTCCGCACGGGGCCTGCGGGAGAATCGAGATAGTTGGCCATCTACAGATGTAGGCACGTGTGCGCGTTAGCCGAGATGTACTCTGTACATATACAGGATACAGGATATCCATGGGACTGCCACTGCCCACGGACCAGATCAGATCACGTCGAATGGGATGGGATGGGATGGGATGGGATGGGATGGGATGGGATGGGATGGGATGGGATGGGATTGGATGGGATGCGATGTGAGAGGATATATTATATCTTCTATCTGGATCTGACCCCGGGACAGCTCACCACTCACCTTCTGCAGCCTGGGAAGAGTATGAGGATGCCCAATGGTGCCGGCGAAGAACACCAGGCGCCAACGGCCGTCTGCCCGCAGCGCCTGGACCAGCGGCATGGCTTTGGCGTCACAGAACCGCACGACCTGGGCGCTGGGGAAGCGCATGCCGACCAGGATGTTCTGGGCCAGCTCCTGCTTGCTGGTCGCGCAGGACGTGATGCTGGAATCCTCATACTTGGCCGTCAGCCCGGCAGTGTAGCGGCCAGCTCGGATGAAGTGTTGGCTGAACTGCTCGGGGGTCCAGGCGGTCTCACCATCATGTTCTGGTTCAGTACCTTTGTCCGCGTCAGCATCAGCGTCAGCGACAGTGCGAGTGCCAGTGCGAGTGCCAGTGCCAGTGCCAGCGACATCGTCAGTGACAGCGACAGCGTTAGTGTCAGCGACAGTCCCAGTCCCAGTCCCAGGCTGATGATGGTGATTGCCGACACTGGTCTTCCTGGAAAACAATTTGGTGAACCAGCGGTCGAAGTCGATCAGGTCGGCGGCGGTCCTGCCGCGCTCGAGAGTGTAGGTGGACAACAAGCGATTGGGACGAGCGCGGGCGCGGGCGTGGGCGCGGGAACAGGAGCGGGCTTGGGCTTGGGTTTGGGTTTGGTCTTGGTCTTGATCATTGCCGGCCTTCAACACCATGCCCAGTTTCCAGCCGATGTTATACCCGTCCTGCAGACTGACGTTCATGCCTTGGCCGGCCTTGGGCGAGTGGGTGTGGAAGGCATCGCCGGTCAGGAAGACACGGTTGAGCAGGCTGAAGCGGTCGGCCAGCCGCTGGCCGATGCAGTAGCACGACCACCAGGCCGTTTGGGCAATGTCCAACTCGAACGGCGCGAAGATCTGGCCCGCCTTCGCGTGCACGTCGCTCAGTTGGATCGACTCGACCGTGGTGCCCGCAGGGAATTCGATGTACAGCCGTACCAGGGAACCGCCTTCGCGCGGGATCACCAGCACCGTGCCGGCGTGCGAGTGGATCGTCGCTTTCCGCCGTATGTCGGGGAAGTTGGTTCGAGCGTAGACGTCCATGACTGCCCAGACTGCGTCCGTCGTGTCGCCGACCATTTTGAATCCGAGGGATTTGCGCACCATACTGTGAGCACCGTCGCAGCCCTGGGAGTTAGGAGTTAGCCATCGTTTCTGTAAAACTTGGGCATTCTCAGCCTTGCCCTCTAACCAGAGACGCTGGTTATACTATACTATATAGCATGCGCTGCCCCTGTGACCCATTGATAGAACATCTTAGCCTTCATTTGACAGTCTCACTCACACACACGCACACACACACACACACACACTCTCTCTCTCTCTCTCTCTCACTCACTCACTTACTCTCTGAGTGTGTGTCTCTCTGAGTATGTATCTCTCTCCCTTTGTGTGTTTGTGTGTGCGTATGTCTGTCTCTCTCTTTCTCTCACACTCACATGCCAGCCGCTCAAGATCATGTCATATCTCATATTACCAAACTTGATGAGGAGAAAGTAAATACCGAATAGGACAGACAAGGCCCTACCCCTTGACGGACCAGCAAAGAGTGAGGTCATTGATGAATGGGAATGGGAATGGGAATCTGAATCTACAAGAAACAGGACATCCCTAGGGCCTTTCTACCCAGAGGACCTTGATTGATAAAATAAGAAGTACGTCCGTAGGGTACTCACCAAGACATATTTCGCCCTGAATAGCTCCTCCTGGCCATCTTTCTCCGCGACCACGGAGCAGGGGTAGGCAGTGGGATCCGACTCCGAGGTTGCGAGTGTGTTGTGTGTATCTGTGTCAATGTTTGTGTCTATGTTTGTGTCTATGTTTGTGTCCGCGTCCACATCCACATCCACAGCCACACTCTTGACAGTATATCCGTAGGCGACGTCGTGCCCACCCAGCCCGCGCATCTTGTCGAGCATGAGCCCATTGATGCGGGCCTGGTTGAGAATCACATGGGGCAAATGACTCAGGCCGGGCTGTGTGTCTGCGGCGCGGCTGGTGCGGCGGAGTGTGGTTGTGGTTGTGGTTGTGGTGGTGGTTCTGGTCGGGTCTTGATTGATTCCTTCGTGGGCGGTGTTGGTCGGGTCTTGATTGATTCCTTCGTATGCGGTGTTGGTCCTGGTCCTGGTCGTGTCGTCCGGTGCCGGTCCCGGTGCCCAAAACGCCACTTCCAACACATGATACGCCTCACGCAACACCTCCTCAGCGAGGCCAAACGACTCGAACACCTCGACCGTGCGGCACTGCACACCGTCCGCCTGGCCCATGGTTAAGGGGCCCGCGCGCCGCTCGAGGATCTTGACGCTGCGGATGCCGTAGATGGCGAGCCAGAGGGCCGCGCAGAGCCCGGCACTGCCGGCGCCGCAAATCAATACGTCGACATGTTCGGGTTTCTGTTGCTGTTGCTGTTGCCGTGTACCTTGACCTTCGTGTTCGGGTCGACTTTCACCTTCATCTTCGTGTTCGGCTTCGTGTTCGGCTTGTCGTTCGGGTTGACCTTCAAGCGCCGGCTGACCTTCGCGTTTGCTGTCACGGTCATGGTCGCTCTCACGGTCACTCTCACGGCCGAACTCTTGTTCCGCCATCCCAAATACCCAGGGGTGCCCGGTGGGCGGGATGGGATGGGATGGGATGTTTGCCAACCCCAAGCAAGGTCCACTGTGGTAGTGGTAGTGGTAGTGGTAGTGGTTTCCAGGATGGGATGGGGATGGGGGATGAGGTCAATGAATACCTAAGGAAGAAAAGTAATCGACGAGAATGGAGAAATGAAGTCTGGCCTGATACCACCCCGGCGACTTGGATGTACAGTACAGCACTGATCAGTAGATATCACTGTGAACGGCACGGGAAACAGGGTTCAGGGTGCTCTGCTGGTCTAAGACTGGACCCAAGGCGTCTTCGGAGTTCCGCTTCAAACAAACAAAACGACCAATTTATATTTAACCCAAGAGTCAACAGTCAGTCTACTTGGTATCACAACAAACCACAAACAGGAGTTACACGGCTACACGGCATCAGCTGAACCAGGACTCCCACTGCCTCTGGTTTGGTTAGGAACATCAATTCATTATCATTGTTCCCGCTCCTTGACCAGCCCGTGGGATCCAAGTCCGAAGTGGTCGCCCCTCGCCTCTGGTGACCCCGTTTGTTTGTCTTCCCCGCGCTTCGCTATGTGGTTGACTCTGGGGTTCCCCACTGCTGCCTCCAAGCTGGTTCCCCCCAACTTAAGAGGTTCTCTGTCTGAGATCGGTCTTAGTGTGGCTGTGGCACTTCGCTCGGCCGCGTCCTTCCTGAGCCTATGGCCGGGAAAGCACTAGAGTAGTCAGGAGTACCCGTGCGAAGCTGTCAAGTATCTCATTCGACACCCCTCTGACGGAGACGAGCCTGCCATTGTCTGAGACGTTCACGGCGTTACTCAACACCTTGGTGCTTCCTGCAACGTTGAAATGACTGCTGGAAGGCTTCTGCATGGTTATGGGCTGAACCCGGCTGTTGACCTCGGCCTCTTTTCCCACGCCGAGTGTCAACCTGTACGGGGAGCGGTGTTGGCCTGCCTCACAAGTACCCATCAACGTCCGCAGAAGGGACAGCTAGCCGCAGAAGGGACAGCTAGTTAGCTGGTTGGTAGCCCCCCGAGGAGGGCTACGGTGTAAAACCCGGTATCCTTTTCTCCCTTGGTTGCACTTCTATACCTCCCATTCGCTCAAGTCCGTTCTGTGATGAACACCATATATTTTTAATTCGGCCATGACGAGATGGAACGAGTCTTTGGGACCAACGATGATGCATGGTTCAGGTGGCCTCAAAAATGGACCAGAATGGCGTCGATCATTGCGCCTAGAATCAAGGCAGTGTTCGTGGCTCGCCAAACATTCCATCTGCAGGGAAGCGTGTGTCGAGGGAGGGCGAGATCACGATAGTGGGTGAAGTCTGCCCCTCAGGCATATTCGCGCTCGAGGGGCCGGAATAGGTCTCCCGCGTAGGACTGTGAAAGCTCGTCGGTGGCACCTGAAGCGTGTCCCGTCGCTGATGGGGCCTAGTTACGGTCGACTCGGACAAAGTTCGTCCCGTCGACACTGTCCCAGGTTCCGTTGTTGGAGATGTCGTAGGCGATAAGATAGGTAGCACCCCGTCCGGAGATTGTGGCGATTGAGGCGAGGCTCCTCTGGGCGTCGTCGAGCTACCTTCAAGACCATTTCTGGAAGTCATGCTGCCGTTCAAGCTCCGTGGGCTCGGAGACTGCGCGCGATGCATGGGAGAAACGCTCCCGTCGGCTCTCCGGCCCTGACTGTCGTGCTTTATGATTTTCCGAACTCTTCCGGCATCTAAAAACTCTTCCCCTGGAGTGAGGGGGTAGCCTCCCGCGAGTCCATTCCTCCACTCCCAGACATCTGATCGGTCGTGTGAGGCTGTGCCGATGTAACGGACAATCTTGTTCAAAGCGTTGGCTACTTTCAGTCTGTTCCCCGCATCCTGTCCTTCCAGAACGTCGTTTTGCGGATCTTGGTCCAAAGGAGGCTCATCAGCGCTACGCACAGGCTGCGCCAAGGCACTCCCATCACCATCTGAAGGACCGCGGTGTAGGACTGGGGCGTTCCCAGCGGCGGTCGTAATGGAGAGACTTGGAAACAGGCCAAGGCCGTGTCCTTCGGTCCCGCATGTGCATTGTTTCACGGGAGCTTTTGGGTCCGCTTCACACTTGACAGCCTGCCATTTTACGGCCAGAACGACGTACAGCGAGCCCAAAACGGCGAGTGCGGTGCCGGCAATCGGGGCCCACTGGCCTGAACCCAGCAGGGGATTGGTCAGCCAGCTACGGCAACGAGGAACAATGGCAATCACTTACCGATACTGGCGATAGGCTCGGTCTGGTACAGGACCTGAGGACTAAAGAAGTTCCTCTCACCCGTAATGACGATAGCTAGTACTGCAGCACCCGTCATGGGGATCTGCACGGCCTCCAGAAACCGGCTGATTGCGCTGTTGATTGCCCTCATCTTCTTCAGAGTGGCACCGTTGGTGCCAGAGATCGGCTCGTCAAGCTCATCTTCCTTGTTTCGATCACTGAAGCGATTCTTCCCATTGATCTCCAAGACCTTGTTCCACATGGAGATCAGCGAAAGGATGGCGGGGATGCAGCAGGCAGATGCGAGGAGAACGGCCGTGCCAAAGGTGAGCCTGTCTGGAGCAGGTATCACATAGATGTTATTAGCCGAGCCCCCTCGCAGCGGGGAGTGCGGGCCTAGTTCGATCGTGCAGGTGAGGCCGCACTGGCTGTTGTACTGGAATTTGCTAGCGCTGGGGGAGATTGGGCCGCCAGAATCATCGTGCAGACAGTCGGAGGCATCAGTGCGGAAGAACTCGACCGTCAAGCTCAATAGTCCTGGCGACGCAGTGTATCAGAACTGGTCATAGACCAAGAGGGCCGCGCTCACCTGCAAGAATGAGGCCGGTCCAAAAGAAGATGATATTTGAACCGGTAGCATGGGAGTACGTATGAGACATCCTGGCTGTCACTGGTGCGGCCAGGACACCGACCGAACATAGCTGGAATGCTCCGTAGACGTCCATATCGAGGGCGCCTGGGGTAGAGAGGTGTCAGTAGGGAGGGTCTCTGCGGAATCGGCGGTTGGGACTTGCCATCGACATGTACGGCCGCGAGTACGATGCCGTGTATGGCGGCGACAGCTGGAAAAAGCAACGCAGCTGCCACGCATGCATCCCTGAGCCAGTCCACCGTTTGAGCGAACACGCAGGCTGTAATGAGGGCGTAATATCTACCGATATAGAGGGGCATGTCAGCAGTGTGTTCTTCCGTTTCCGCGTAACGCTTTCGCGGGGACGTCTTTCGAGATGAAGGGCAGGACTCACAGGGCCCTCGAGCCTGGTCCATACTGACCAGACAGTGGCCATGCACATACAACATGGAGAGCTTCGTTGGTAGTGTTCGCGGTGGTGGCCATGGCCTCTCGGCCAGCTAGAGTGGCCCCCAGCAAGGCTGGAGAAAGTGCGGGCATGACCTCTTTCCAAAACGGGGTGTGGGAGGAGGGTGGAGGGTGGGCTCAATGATGGAGAAGAAAAGGATCTAAGGTTGCGACTTGGCTAGATGTATAGCTGGGTACGGAGTACATGTACATGACACCCGTACTTGGCCAGAGTCAGGCATGGTCTGGGGAGCTAGGGACGGGAAGCACCTCGGAATGTGGGCTTGCTGAGTGAGGCTGAAGTACTGCAACGACCAGCATGGCAGCATGGCACCGGATATCCGTGGTGGTTGGTGGTTGGTGGTGGTGCAACCATCTGCGGCTCATGTTCAGGCGTGCCAGGGCGTGGGAGCATGATTGCAACATTCGCAGGGGTGGTGACAGGTTGTGGTGTGTGGTGTGCGCACCCGAGGATGCCTGAGGATGCCTGTTGATGCCTGCCACCTACCAGAAGCAACACAATGCAGGAGCAGGAGCAGGAGCAGATGCTACGGTGCAGCGGTGCAGCGGTACTTGCGACGTCACTGGCAGTCAGGTCCCGATAAACTACTGCGCTAGCCTCGTCCTGGCTAAGTCTGCCTTGGCGCCGCTGACCGGTTTCTGTGATTGGCGGTTAAAGTTGACGGTTGCAGCCTGAGTTGCAGTTTAGTTGGCGGTTGCCTGGCCCAAACCCAATTGGGATTTTGGAGGGACGGCGGCAGAAGGCAGACTGCGGACTGGCAGACAGAGCTGTACCACCGCACCGCAGCCAGCACCGCATCTTCGCAGTGTGCTGCCTCTGCCTCTACTATCTGTGTCTGTGCTTGTATTCTGTCTTCCACCCCGCCACAATCTTGGTCCTCTATCCCTGCGTCCAGGCCGGTCGTCAAAAGTACCCGGCAGCTCTCCCTTCAACAGGCGGTGAAGGCGACTTCCCGTGGTCAAGGTTGACCTAGCGCAGCCTGCTAGTGCTAGACTGCGCCCACGCATGCGGGCGGCGGGGTATTCTTCTTGCAAGGCGAGGGCATATTCTCCATTGGCCGCATGGCCGCAAATGATTGATGGGACATGATGCCTGCCCAGTCGCTGTCCCGTTACCAGTTGCGTTTGCCTGATCGTTTTCCACCTTGTCTGGTCCAGATCATGCTGACAGTGAACGCATGTGCATCACCACTACGGGGTTCATGGGGCACACGGCCCCTCAGCCCGCCCTGCGCCAGGGGCCGGGACGAGCTTGCGACCGGGCAGCTTACCCACACCCAGTCTGCCTTGTCAACTTCCTTCGATTCCTTTTCGCCACTGACCTGGGCCTTATCGTCGGGCTCAGGTTGGCTTCTTTTCCAGCCGATTTCCTGACAAGAGCCGGCTTCAGCTTTACCTTTCCTTCCACATCTCCCGTTGGCCTCCTCAAATAGTTGTCGAGCAGTCATGTCTGAATCGGGCCGGCTTCCTTCGACGTCCAGATAATCCACGTTCTGCGCCCCTTCGAGCTTACAAAGTCCCCCTCCTGAGACACGCACCAAGCAAGCAGATTTGGGTGTGTCGAGCGTCTGTCGCGACGCTGCATGTGATCAAAATGCTACAGGATCTCGATACCGGTCAGATCAAAACATGGCGTTCCATCGTCACGCTCGTCGTTTTTGTCCTCACCAGTAAGTGGTTGATGAAAGATGCAGTTCATGCGATTGACCTTCTCGACCTGTGCAGATTTGACGGTTCTTTTCCCCTATCACATCCCGATATGTGTGCCTCGATGGCTTGCAAACGCTGTTCTTGATATCCTCAGTACCTGGCGTGTGATATCGCCGAGACAGGAGAAACTTCTCCACGGTGACGAGGATGACGAGGCCGGCAAAGTGGGTTATTTCGTCTGGCTGAAGTTCCACATGAACTTTGTAACGGCGCCTTTGGTAGCCGACCTCTTCCTGCTTTCCATTTCCGCCATAGGTCGAGCAGAGGTGCATGACGGCACAATCGGAGCCAACAACATCTCACCGGTGGACATCATGCTGTTTTTCCTCACATTGGCCTACATCGCTATTTCGATTGACGCCTCCGGTTTGATCAGGTACTTGGCTTTCAAGGTGGCCCAGAAATACGGTGGCCAGAAAAGCGGCAATTACGGGCACGAGCTCTTCGGTTACCTGTATGCCTTCTTTTTCGGCCTGGGAACCTGCATCGGCAACGACCCCATCATCCTATCGGGCACGGCCTTTCTCGCTTACTTGACGCGGGTCTCCGGTAACATTATGCACCCAAGGGCGTGGATAGTCAGTCAGTTCGCCGTGGCAAACACTGCCTCCGCCATCCTCGTTTCCTCCAATCCGACCAACCTTGTACTGGCTGGAGCATTCAAGATTAAATTCATCACCTACAGCGCCAACATGATTGTGCCCGTCGTTGTCACGGCCATCGTGGTATTTCCATTCCTGCTGTACGTCGTCTTCGCCGATGAACGCCTTATCCCGCTGTCGATTGAGATCCGCGAGTTCCGCGAGCTTCCTGCTCAGTGCAGAGGCCAGCCCCGTAACCCCAACATGCCTCGCACTAGGGGCAACTCGGAGGAAGAAGAGTATTCGGCCATGGATGCTGAACAAAGCAGGATTTACATGATCGCCCAGATCATGAACCCTAACCTAGACAAAGAAGGCGCGTGGTTCGGAGCTGTCATCATGGCCGTCACCCTAGTCACCCTTCTGGTGCTTAATGCTGTTGACCAGAGCCAGGGCCAGCATCCTGTCTTCTGGGTGACATTGCCAGCCGCGTTTATCATGCTCTGCCATGACTTTATCTCTGATTTCTTCAAACGTAAGAAGCGCAGGGAATCTCGCGAGGAACCTCCGGAGGCTGAACCTACTTCCGCCGAGCCGCCGCTTAGTGATGAGCACGAGCTGGCGAAGGAAGCGAATGTCAGGCAAGAGGAGTGGGTTGAAGCACCTACCCAAGGCGAGCCACCAAGCCATTCATCCAAAACTGGAACATCTAGCGAGATTCATGCCATCAATGGTGGCCATGATCGCGGCCGCGATCATGGCCAGAAGATTGCGCTTGCGGCCAACAATGGCGCCAGTTCAACATCACCATTTCTCGACCACCTTACAATTTTATCACCCGAACATGGTATCTCGGAGAATGGCAGCAGTCTAGTCTCTGCGTCCTCGTCTCTACACGACTCTTCGACACCGAAGCTCGTCCCAGGCGATGAAAAGTCACAGCGTATCCGACCAGTGCTCAGCCCGATCGACACCGCGGGTGAGGTGGTTAAGCTCATGTGTGGAGATTCGTCGAGCACGGTGCCCCCCACCCACATGAGCATCTCTGAGCCTCAGGTGGCGGGCAGACCAACGCATCCAACGCATCCCCGGGCGACTCTTGTCTCGGTTGTCAAGGATGCGTATCATTGGTCACATGAGACATTCCCCACGGTTGTAACGGTGATGACACACCTGCCATTCATGCTGGTGCCTTTCGCTTTGTCCATGTTTGTCCTCGTGCAGGGGTTGGTCACCAAGGGATGGGTGCCCGTATTCGCCCACGGCTGGGATCATTGGGTCACCAAGACGGGCACGATCGGCAGCATCGGTGGCATGGGCTTTCTCTCAGTCATCCTTTGCAATGTGAGTTTGAAGCTTGCTGGATTTGACTCTCTGTGAGATAAACTGGACCAGCTAACGCGTGATTTGCGTGACCAGTTTGCAGGCACGAACATTGGTAGCACCATCCTGTTGTCGCGCATCATCCAGGCATGGCAAGACATCCACCGCGTGAACGGCACCTACATTTCCGACCGGACGTTCTGGGCCACGGTGTACAGCATGGCGCTGGGGGTCAACTACGGCGCATACAGCATGGCCTTTAGCGCCTCGCTGGCTGGTCTATTGTGGAGAGACATCCTTGAGAGAAAGCACATCCACGTCGGCCGTCTCGAATTTGCCGGCTCGAATCTGCCCATCATCGGCATCGCCATGGCGGTTGGGTGTGCCGTCCTGGCAGCTGAGGTGTATATTGTCAGACACGATTCCCCTTACGACCCACGGTGAGAACCGATGACATTGGATGAGCGTATTGGAAGAAGGAAGAAGGAACAGGCTGCTAGAGATACATATATATTTCGTATCATTCAGGCTGGTTCATCCTAGACTCGGTTTTCTTTTTCTTTTCCGACCACTACCAATGCCTAGAGCGGCCTTCCAGGAGTGCTTGCGAGGCTATACATGGTAGATATGTTAGACGCGCAGAGACGTGGTGACTTGCAGTGTTATACAAGGAGGGTGGACTATGTGTCTGGCTGTCAACATCTCACCCGGCAGGTCCGTAACTCCGTAACTCCGTCCGCCGTAGGGTTAGGGTTAGGGTTAGGGTTAGGGTTAGTGCTCTATCCTGCGTACCTCAACAGCCTCCTAAGCCACTCCCTCGCTCCTATTACTACTTGACTGCCACGCTCAATACTAAGAAATATTCCCACTGTCCATCTTCGGTCCATCCCGGCCTCACTTCATATCCCCTCCTCGACCATCGACATGTCTGCATCCCCAGCTGCCGGAGCCCGAGCCCATTCCGGCCCGTCGTCGGATTTCATTGAGAAGCATCGGGTACGTACTGGACAAGCTACATGTACATCTTACACCTGCTGTACACCACATCTACGGATACGATACACTTCCTGTTGGACCGTAACCGTACATGTTCGGTCAACGATTGTACCTCTTCTGACTTTGATGCAATGATGCTTCTTCCGTTTCTGACCTTGATGCCATGTGCTTCTTCCATTTCTGACTTGACGCCATGTCCTTCTTCCATCTCTAGGCGCAAAACCCGTCGTCGCGCACCATCCTCGTCACCGGCGCCACCGCCGGCATCGGCCTAGCCGTCGCCAACCATCTGCTCGCCTCGCCCGCCCAGCACCTGCTCATCCTGGCGGGGCGCAAGGTCGACGTGCTGAACGAGCTGGCGGCCAACAATCCCGACCGCGTCATCACCCGGCCCGGGGACATGGCTGATTTGGAATACGTCGAGCACGTTCTGCGCGACATCGACTTGGTCGGACGGCTGGACGCGCTGGTTCTCAACCATGGCACGCTGGGCGCGAGTTTGCGCATCGTGGACACGGCGGTCGACGAGTGGGAGCGCACGTTTAGGATCAATGTGTCGAGTTATGTGGCGTTGGTGAGTTTGATCTTTGTTTCTATCTCCATCTCCTGTCCGTCTCTGTCTCCGTCTCCTCGCTTCATCTTCATCTTGGTCTTGGTCTTGGTCTTGGTCTTGGTTTAATTCTATTCTACTGTCCCTTTACTTTCCGCCTTGTCATGACGGCCACGGCCGACGGCGGCCTGCTGTTGGTGCTGTGGGTGCTGTCGGTACTGTACATATCGGGGCGTCAGCGCGTCGTCACAGTTTGCAAGAGTTGTTCCGGGCTGATCACTTCATATGAATCCATCTACACAGGTCCGATCGGCTCTGCCCTTACTTCGCACCACCAAAGGTCGCATCGTCTTCACATCCTCGGGAGCCGCGTCGAACGCCTATTCGTCCTGGGGCGCCTACGGCGCGTCCAAAGCGGCCATCAACCACTTGGCCATGACGCTGAAGAACGAAGAACCGGATGTGATTGCCGTCTCCGTCCGGCCGGGCGTGGTCGACACTGCAATGCAAGTCGATATTCGAGAGAAATATCTCCAGAACATGGACGAACAGGACCAAGCCAAATTCATCGGTGCCAAAAGGGACGGCAAGTTGTTGCCGCCGGAAAAGCCGGGCCATGTCATTGCAGAGCTGGCCGTCAGGGCTGGCAACGAACTGTCCGGCTTGTTTCTCAGGTGAGAGCTGCCCTTTCTTTCTCGCGATGACGTAGTCGTCGTCGTCTAGACAGATACTGATGAGCCCGACAGTTGGGACGATGCCAAGTTGGCGGAATATCAATCTCAATCTCAATCTCAATCGTGATGCGTCCAGAAAGTCCGCTAGTTATGTATGTACCTATGGATGTACCTGAGTTGGCTCGATGCAATGGGAAGTATCGAATCGTGCACAGTGCAGGAGTTGACTTGACTCGACGCAGGGGAATTTTCAGCATCACTTTATTGAATCCACTCGATGGCAAGATAGAATATCATTGATGAATGCACTCGATGGCGAGATGGACTATCGTTTATGAATGCACTCGATGCAAGATAGAATATCAATTATGAATCCACTAGATGGCAAGATAGAACATCATTTATGAATCCACAGATGGTAAGATAGAATATTATTTTTGGAATTTCACTAGATGGAAACGAAGACACACAACATAGATTGGAAATCATAGACGATTCTAGTTCCTAGCTACAAGACACCTGGGGATAAACGAAATCTGTCACTCATACAGACTGTCAGCGACCATTCCATCACAAGACAGTCGGGTTCATTCGAGATATTGCTGAACTCAGTCGAAAGATGAAAAATGAATACACAGACTTAAGCATTAGACCCAGAGGACCTTCATACTTAGCATGGAAGAGTGGTGTGTTCATCATGGTAACGTGGAAACAAGATGAGCAGACTTACCGACGTGGAAGCGAAGCGGGAAGGCCGGAAGAACGACCAGAAACGAAACGAACGGCCGGGCACTGTGGTCGAGGCACTGTGGTCGAAGCACTGTAGTCGAGGTGGAAATTAGACAGGATCCAAGCACACGTCTCGAGGGTAAAATGGTCATGCTGCGTGGCGTTCAGGTAATCGAACCATGATATTCCTCATTTTTGGATCGGAATTTGATAGTACAATATGTGTTGCTCATCATGTGAGGGAGGGGAGGGATCGGGTTGATCTGATGGGTGGATTGGGCCAAAGACTTGCCTTGGCTTGAAAGGACTGTGCTCTGCTGCAGTGCGGCGGAGGCACTGTTGGTGTTGGTGTTGGTGTTGGCGTTGGTGTTGCCTCACTACTACCTAGGTTCGGGAATATCTACTGCTTCTGAGGCAGGTTATCGTTAGCAACTGCTGCAACCTTGGTTCATAGGATGCGGGTGCGGATGTATGCAAATGCCGAGTTGTTCTTGTCAATCAGAAAGTCACTTTGGCTTGGACAGGTAATCACCACAGAATTGTATGATAGGGGCGACACGAATGTTCATCATAGAAGGCAAGAATCGGGACAGACGAAGGATGGGAAGCTGAGCCGACTTACACGCTGGGTTCCGCCTCCAGTCCATTCCATTGCACTGCTTGGCTAGAGAAGCCCGTCGCATGGCTGCCTTTGAAAAATATGTATCGACATTCACGCCAGAGACATTGCCCTTGGTGAGGCGGGCACCAGGAGACGTCTAAGGCAGGGCAGCAGAGTCCCGTCCCATCCTATCCAACCCCGCCGCCATCATCAAGGCGTCGTGATGACCGACTAAGCCAGCCGCGGGAGAGCCATGTCGAGATGGAAAGATGGAAGGGAGGAAAGGAACCAAAACTTGAGTTGAGGAACAAACAACAACAAACAATCAAGGACGAAAAACGAAGCTTCGCTTTAAGTTGAAGTTTGGAGATGAAAGGAGCGCCAAGAAATGGAAAATCTCCCCCCTAGTACTAGTTGTTTGCTATCCCCGATTAGGAAGAGGGTGATGCCGCCCTGTGCACGCCTCGGCTGACTTGCCTCGTTGCGGAGGCTAACTAGATCCAGCTCTCTAAGAAAGACCGTTGAGATTTGAGATTCATCTGCCATAGTCTAGGAGGCACCGAGAGGCTGCTGGCTAAGAGGGTGAGTGACAGCACAACAAATGGAAGAGGAGCATGCGGCAGTAGCGGTGGTGTCTCAAGGCTCTCATCATCTATTTACTCGTCGACAAAAGGAATGGTGTTCTTTGCTACACCCCACGGTTGTTCAAGAAAGATGACAGGTACATCCAGACTTTTCAGGAAGTACGCCTCGGTTTCAAACATGAAAGCCCACCCAAGTTCTTCCAAACTGGTCACGTCAATTTCACCTCAGGAGCGCCCAGATTACATAGTGCCGGTAATTCCGCCGCTGACGGAGATGAACTGTGCAGTGATCCAGCGGCTCTTTTCCGATACTAGCAGAAGCGTAGCATCAGCCAGATCCTCCGGGGACCCGAGGCGATTCGCAGCTCGCGTCTGTTGGTACATGGCAATCTGAAGCGCAGTGGGAGACCCGTCAGGGGCCACTAGTATGTCTTTCGACAGATCTGTCGGAACGGGACCGGGTGCGAGGGTATTGACGGTAATTCCATGGCTCTTGCCAAGCTATGCGACATTGCATTTCGTTAGATGGTTCTGGTTCGGGTTTGGGTTCTGGTTGTCGAGCGCAGAGATTCTTGAATGCAGAGTGGAGAGTGGAAGAATCAGAAACACAAAGACAGTTGAAGCTTACCTCGCCAGCCCAGAGCGTCGTCAGGGCATCCACTGCGGCTTTCGTGGCGCCATATACCGGGGGAGGGACCAAGACTTTGGAGGCAATGGAGCCGATGTTGACGATCCGGCCACCTTGCGGCATTCGACCTACGCCCACCACCGCTTGGGTCAAGTAAATGACACCGAAGACGTTGACGGCGAATTCGTATTCGAGCTGGTCCTGTCCAACCTCCAAAAGAGGTAGGTTGCATGAAGCTGCTGCGTTGTTGACTAGAATCAGACCAGATGGCCACCAGCGTCAGTCCGTGTTGTCTATAAAAACAACTGACTACCGTACTGTCCCAGTACCTGGCAAGAAAGAAAGAAAGAAAGAAACATGACCATGATGAATCATTCATGCCAGCCACTGCATCGTGACAGACCAGATAGACCACATATCAAGCAGACCACAGGCCAGACATACCGAGAATATCAATGTGATCGACGCCGAAGTCTTTCAGGATTTGCTCGACCATGTTCTGAGCAGTCTCGAACTTTTCCACCCCTCCTTGCACGACGGTGGTTTTGGTGCCGAACTCTTTGTGGATGTCGGCGGCGACCTTGGACGCCCGAGCCTTGGACGCCTCCGATACATGATGGATGGCGACAGACGCGCCGTTCCGGGCCAAAGCCCTGGCAATGGCAGCTCCGATGCCGTTCTCTCGACCAGATCCTGTAACCAATGCAGTCTTTCCTGCGAGTGAGAGGGTGTCGGCCGGCATATTGAATAGATTGAAGCTTCGAGGCAAAGGGATCACAAAGCTATTGATATCGATGTAAATGGATCACAAAGCTAGTAATAGTAGTTGAGTTGTCGTTCCGAATTGACTTTAGTGGCAGTTGAGGTAGTTATATTTTAGATATTCGACAGGATTGACTACATACATGGACCTGATCTTATATATGCTATCATGAATCGATGGATGGATGCTATTATAAATCATCATGTTGTAAAGGCCGGGAAACCAAATATTGGTCGCATCAAACCGCACCAGCTGGAGGTACATATGTACCATACTAGGACGCACCAAATCGTACCGGACCCGAATCGCACCAGCCATCGCATCAGTATAAGCTTAGTATGGAGTACAGAGTATAGAGTCTAGTATGAGATCGCATCAAACCGCACCAGCCCGTACCGTACCAGACGGACAACCCAAAAGGCGATAAAGCCGCTTACAAACTCCACCGGTTTAGGTCGCACGCACCAAACCGCACCAGCGACCGTATCCGCACAGACCAGTTAAAAGGCGACAATGGCTTACAAACACAACCAGTTCAGGAGACGAGGCTCCATGACCACATCCGTCACTATCAATTCATCTATAGAGTACAGAGTAGATCATACAGTATGTAGTATATATAAGTCATGGCACCTCTGTTACTGTTGCCGTGATCAACATCTGTCTACTTCATCTCTTACCTATACCTATACCTATACCTGTACCTGTACCTACCTATATTGGTATTTGCTCCCGAATACTCTGATCTCTGCCTACACTCACAATCATGCCCGGCACATCCCCCGTCATCCTCATCCTCGGAGCAGGACCAAATATCGGCCACGCAGTGGCTCGGACCTTTGCTTCGAGAGGCTACAAGGTTGCCCTGGCCGCGCGATCCCTGAACGAGGCAGACAGCACCGACAACCAACTGAACATCCCGAGTGACTTTTCCAACTCGGACGATGTGGTCAAGGCATTCGACAAGGTTAAAAAAGTGTTTGGTATCCCCAGTGTGGTGGTTTATAACGGTAGGCTCTGCCCTGCTCTGACCTGCCGCCGCCTACCTACACCCACAGTACCTACAGTACCTACAGAACTTAAGGGTGGATGCCGTTGAGATCCTATCTGTATTCAGCAGAAGTATATCCGTACTGATGACCCTTGGCATTACAGTCAGCGCCTCAACCCTCACCCCTCCCAAGGACCCCTTCGCCCTTCCACTGGCGGCTTTCAATCGAGATGTCGCCATCAATATCACCAGTGCGTTTGTCGCCGCGCAACAAGCCGCCTCGGGCTTTGCCCAGCTGCCTTCTTCTGCTTCGAGGACCTTCATCTACACGGGAAACATCCTGAATGTTGCCATCCTCCCGTCCTTTCTCTCCCAAGGCATGGGCAAGTCCGCCGGCGCCCATATGATCTGGGCAGCTTCAGCGGCATATCAAGACCGTGGATACAAGTAAGTCATTTGCAGCCCAACCCTAACCATAACCCTAACCCTGATCCATCTTCATTCATTTCATGTATGGAATCCAACATATATTCCTATTGGCTATTACCTGTTGCCTACTGTCTATTTCCTGTTGCCTGTTGCCTATTGCCCTACTTTAGTACTTTGACCTTGGCTTGTGGAGTGGTGAAAAAAAAGAAGGAAGAGAGAACCAAACCATTGATCAGAAATAAATACTAATGATTTATAGGTGGTATTACGGTGACGAACGCAAGGCAGACGGCACCGCCATCTACAGGGTCAACGGAGACGAACATGCAAAGCTCTACTGGAAGCTGGCCGAGGACAAGACTCAGGGTCCGTGGCTGCAGACTTTCGTCAAGGGAGTGGGATACACCGACTTTGACAGTCAACATGCGTCTTCTAGCAAAGTCTAAGCCTAGCCTAAGCCATTGCTTGAGTGTGGCGTCGGGCGTCTATATCGCAGGTACAGGCCTACGTATACGTATATAGGTATCAAACTGTCAAAGGTGCGGGAACCACTCCCCAAGTACAGAACATACACTTCAAAATCTACTATTAGAATATATAGCTACTATCTTCGCTCTAATTTAGAATTACTTATTAGCCTATTCTATATATTTTAATACCTATTACGAGTAAGTTAACTTATCGCGATAGTATAGGATAGCGAGTAAAGAGAGATTGGGGCCTCGTCAGACTATATAGGAGTCCATAAAATGTAGGTTGGGAGTGGCGTTTTGTCGAGCCCGCAATATCCACAGGGAGATTCGATCCGGCGTAATTGTCCGATGTATTCCCTTAATTGAGTGGTAATCACTATGTTCTGCTGATCATCTAATGTGTCCCATATAACTTTGAGGGTCTGACCATGGATTCTTTCCATGACGATGTAGCTCGTCTCCTCCTCATCGTCTCGGTAGAGGGCGAAGACACGGAGAACCGGAACCTGGGAGTGCTGTTGAACAAAGATCATCATGCGACCTTCCTCGAGATTGAGCCTTCCGTATTTGGCCACGAAGTGAGAACCGACCGTGACCACCTTGGCGGTTGATCGCTGAGATAGAACTTCCACAGACCTTTTGATCTCGGCGGTGGTGGGCAACGCCGCCGGTAACGCAGCTGCCGGCGCGTAGTAAGGGATGGAGACGGCAAACTTGGGGGATATTACGGCTGCTACATCGGCGGTCGCAGGGACGCTCTGGCGCCGCTGCATAGGAGGCATCGTTGAGCAGGCATATGCGGAAGTACGAAGAGCATCCTGCATGGAGGTCCATCCTATATATCATAAAGGCGGTCTGGGAAAACCGCCAAACAACCCCAAGAATCGCCCGGACTCGTCGTGCCCGAACCCTAACCCTAACCCTAACCCTAACCCTAAGTACGTCAACCACTTCTAAACACTGTCCGGACTATTATTAATCCGAAAACCCCTTAGCCACTCTTGGGGGAAGGTCTAGCGATCCAACCATTGCGCCAACATGTGACTGACGATGGGCGATTCCCGAGAACTCGGGCAGATCTGAGATCTGAGCCGTCTTGCCGAGCGCAGATAAGACACTTCCGTCTACTCTTTCACTATCTACCTTGTTTGCATCGTTCGCTCTTCTTCTGGCGAGCGAGCCCACATCAGGCGGTTCTTAGGTTTAGTCCTGGGCTTGAGATTCCTTGCCCATTCCCTCCAAATTACACGGGGCGCGGAGATTGAGGTGCCCATATCCAGGCAGATTCCCGAAAGGCAGAGCAGGATGGACCAATCCGACATCCAACCAGACCTGTGGTCATCATTCCCTACACTGGACTTTCCTACTCTCACAATCTCCTCAGAGGACCCGACCATTGCTATCTGGGACTTTCCATCTGGTCTTGACCCTCTTTGTACCCCAGTAGGGACCAGGACATCAGGCTCAAGACGCGCGGCTCCAAAGAGTTACAGGGTATGAAACCAAGATTACTTGCTCCCCTTCAGGTCAGCTTGCTAACGCCTTTTCTTTCTAGGGGTGCATCACATGCCGCCAACGCAAGATTAAGGTAGTAGAACTTCTCCTTCGGTTGATATTTGGAGCTGACATGGTTGCAAGTGCGATGAAAGACGGCCCCAGTGCGGCAATTGCGAGCGTGCTCGGCATTATCAGTGTGAAGGCTATCTGCAGGATCACGGAGCCAACAATGAATCTGACAGTCGAGCACGGACTGGTCCCAGGAAGAGGGTCAGGCTGACACACGCCCCTGCTGCGACCATGACTGCCGCCCCAGAAAACGTTCAGCCAAGCAGATGCACCAGTCCAGCCTCATCCCAGGATCAGGACATCCGTGAAGGACGATTATCAGACCCTACTCCTCGGCCGGATCATGGGTGCAACAGGCCTAGTTATGCCGAAGCTGGTGAATCAACGCTTGGCTCACTTAGAGCATCATTGAACGCGGATGGCGCGAATAATAAGAACTCCTTGCACAGTTCCGCCCCTCCAACCCGGCCCGATGAGCAGTTTAGTGACATCGACACTGATCTTCTCGCTTACTTCCAAAATACAGTATGTCCCATCATGCTCCCATCACTGGACGACGTCAGAAATCCGTGGTTGCAGATATATATCCCAATGGCGTTGCATAACGAACGGAGTCAGGGCCGGACTGCGCTACGGCATGCGTTGATGTCTGTGGCAGCATCGCACTTGACACAGAGAGATGACAGCAACCGCGCACGATACCACGAAAGGGCCAATTTCCACCAAGACAGAGCAACCGACATTCTCACGAGCATACTATCACACGACGCAGTGAGCATGGGGGCGATTGAGAAGTGTACGATCCTGGCTGCAGCTTTGACACTCATCACCGCCCATATCTGGGGCCATGGCCGGACCGACTGCAACACCTTTCTCAACCTAGCCAAGCGCCTTGCGCATGCAACAGGGGGTGATATGTTCTGGAAGTCGAGTGTCCTCACTTGTATTCTTTTTCAACTGTTGCGAGCCTACGACCTTGTCGCAGCCACAGCCCAGCTCCAAGCCGAGACCTTTGACCCTGACCAAGACTGGGGGGCCAGTAGTACTACTGAGGGCGTGCGAACGGCTCCCTCGGCGGATGCTCTGGACAGCGGCGGTGTCAGCCCTCTTGCGGCCGAGGAAAGTCAATCCACCAGCAGCACCAGTCCTGACCGTGTAGTAAGAGACAAGGCCGCTTTCCTGCACATGCCTTACATCCTGGACACGTCGTTTGGAATTTCCTCGCAGACAATGTCTCTCTTGCACGAGCTGGTCCGGCTTCGGTCCTCGTACGAGCCACACCTTCAATCATCTCGTCCTCTACCAGAGTCACTGTTGCATGCCACCGACTTGCTGGCAGAGGGTCTGTATTCGGTCGGTCAAGACAAGTCCGCTTTTGGGGGCGCGGATGGGTCTGTGACCTCCTCTCTACTTCCATCCCTGGCGGCAGAGTCAACGCTGTTCGAGATGCCCAGTGGAATTGGCAACGGCCACGAACACCTCCCCAAGCCGATCATGGAAGAAGTCATGGATAATTATCAGTGGGCTTTCCACCATGCCGTGGTCCTCTACTTCCATCGAGTGGTGCCACCATCGTATTTTTCCAGCATCGTCAATGGGAAGACCATTCGAAGTCAACAGATGAAGTCGACCCCAGCCGCGAAAGAGGACTGTCAAAGTCTGGTTAGGAAGATATTCGATCGCCTCGAAAACATCGATTGCCTCACAGAAGGGACTAAGGTTCGGCCCTCGGTTGCTCTGTGGCCGGCATTCATCGCCGCCGTAGAAGCTATGGACGTAGAGTCACGGCACCGGGCACTCATTTGGTTTTCCAAAGCAGCCAAGAGGGGAATCGGCAACATCCCTAGAGCCAAGGACATTGTCATGGCCACCTGGAGGGCCACAGACCGGCGGACCTACGGAGAGACTAGTTCGATCAAGAGAGGCCTAGGTCCTATTGACTGGAGGCTGATTATGAAGGATAGCGGCTCGGTTATCATGCTGGCCTAGATGACAAACAGACACCGTGCCAGGACGAATTCCGCTGTATGTTCGCCGAGGAAGGACTCTCGCTCCTCGCGCCATTGCAGAGTTGCATGATTAACACCGTCGGCATCAAGTACTTCAGATTTAGCCCTAAGACCATCAGATCATACGACGCGTCCAGATTGAGGCCCTGTAAGCAAGTCCAGACAGTATTTCGACTCCCTCCATATCGATATAGGCCTTAAAAGGCGCCGTTTATAGCCCTAACCCTAACCCTAAACCCCTTTCAGATCGATAATCTCAGAGACCCTTAGACTCAGTCAAAGATCCTATCCATGACTCTATCCAACCAAAACCTGATCGGAAAAAGTAAAAGTCAGCTTTGTGACAGAAAGTGTGACAAGCTTCAACAAACATCAAATCAAACGACAAGCGACTTACGTTGATCTGCGAGGGACGTAGGAGGCTTCGTATGCCTCGATTTCTGCCACGTCGAGCATCAAATCCACTTGGTCAGACGGGATGATCTTGGTTCTCTTGATGACTTTCCAGGCTACGTAGACCACTGGAAATACGCCGACCATGGTGTAAGAAAAAAAGAAAGATGGTGTGTCCCAGTTGCCGTTAAGAAAGACTAAGGTTTTGACAATTGATTAGCATAGCATCTCAACACAAAGAGACCGGTCAGGATTATGGTTACCTGTCCATCCGTTGAGCAAGATCATGACTGTGCACCAGAAAATCCCATAGTAGGCCATATACCTGGGAGGCGCAGCGAATGTTAGCATCTGCATGTCAGCGGGTGAGGAAAAGGACGTCTTACGGCTGAAGATAGCCTACATATGGCAATTTCTCTCGAGGCAGCCCTTGCACGAGGCATGCCTTTCTGAATTTCAGATACGTGTAACAGTTGGCAGCGTAGTTGATCAACATGCCACCAGTGACCTATATTATGTCAGTCTAAAAGAGGACAATTGTTTCGACGGGAATGAACTTCATGGTGATAGCAGGAAGGGAAAGGAAAGGAAATTGCAGTGATTGGCTTACCAATGACACAATCCACGAAAACACTTTGGCGGATGAGTTTGAAACCTGCATGAAAGCCAGGGTCCCGATGGCCAGCACCGCGGCGACCGAGTAGATGGGACTCCCATTCTTTGTGGTCTTGCTGAATATCCTAGGTGCCTTGCCGCGGAGAGACAGGCCGTACAGGGTTCGGGTGGCGGCGAAGAAGTAGCCGTTCCCGGCCGAGAAGGCGGACGTGACGAGGACGGCGTTGACAATGTGGGGGAGGACGGGGATGCCAAAGTTACGCATGGAGACAACGTACGGGCTGGACGAGGCGTTGGAGCCGGACGTCGCGTACGCCTCGGCCAGCTCGACCGAGTTGGCGGGGAGCACGATGCCGACGCAGAGCGCGCCGAGAACGAAGAACAGACCGAGGCGCCAGAAGACAGCCTTGTATGCCCGGGGCATCACCTTGCGCGGGTTTTCTGCTTCGCCGGCTGCCATGGACACCAATTCCGGTCCGGTCACGGTCACGGTGGCCAGGACCAGGGTCTGCAGGAATCCCAGAAATCGACCCGTTGCCCCGGTGGTGTAGTATTCGACGAATGATCCACCGATCGACCAATTTCTATCATCCCCGATCAGTTTTTCTGTAAAGGGACATTGTTGTGGGAAGCGGGAGATAAGCCCACTCACTGAAAGCCATAAGCGTGATGGGTCGGATTACCTCCGCTCATCGTCACCAGGGTGTACATGGTCAGTCCAACAACCAAAAGGATCTTGAGCATCGAAAGGTAGAATTCCGTGGTGCCGAAGTATTTGACCCCGAAAACATTGATGAGGCTACACATACACCACGAGCTCTTTGTCAGCAAAGTCACCGTGAGAGTGAGTCGGCCAAAGCGAAAAAGATGGTGATGGTAGATGAGACCACCTACGCGTAAAGGACGAGGCCGATGGCCACCACGGCCGCGACCGGGATCTTGTCGGTCCAAAAGTGGATGACGATGTTGATGGCGGTGAGCTCGAACGGAACCAAAAACGCCTCGAGGAGGAAGAAATTGAAGCCCGTGGCCACGCCGAAAGCATCGTCCACGAATCGACCGGCCAGCGTAATGAATGGTGACGGAATGGGTAAATAGGAAATCATTTCTGAGAGACCTGTTGATTGAGCGAATATCACGCGGTGGTCAGCAGCTGGCTTCTGTCATGTCATGGTCTCCCTCCTCGAAAAGTGGTGGGGTGGAAAGATCACGCTTCATAGGCTCCAGTGGAGTGGACTTACAATTTGTCACCGCCAATATGGTCGTACACCAAAAGGTGAAGGAGATCAAGAGAGAAGCCGGGCCTCCATTGATCAAACCTCGACCAATCCCAACAAACTAGCCAAAGCACAGGAGGTCAGCTCTGCAAACTTCCAACAATGCACCTCATATCAACACCTCGATGCATCTGGAATGATGACATACTAGAACCGTTCCAATAGTACCGCCAATACCCAAGAGTTGAATGTGACGGGGTTTGAGGTGTCGCTTGGTGGTGTCATAGGCGAACACCACGCCCTCGGAAGGGATTTCAGCCGTCTCCTGTCCCATTCCGGCCGTCTTGACCTCATTGACCTCAGATCCCATCTTCTCCATCCCCCTTTCTGATAGAGACCAAGATGGACCTGGACAGCTTCAAACACTCACTGCCTTTCTTAGCTAGAGAAAGTGACAGAGGGGGGTGAGCAGTAGTGTGGTAAAAGGTAAAAGGGTGCTGACGATGATGCCGAATGCCTAAATCGGTCACCTCAGGATCAGGACGAGGGAGCAAGGCTTATACTTATCATCAACACCATGTCTGATTGAGAGCCTATGAGAAGGCAGACAGTTGGCCTCTAAGATGGAGCGGGAAGTCATAAGGCTTCGATGACCATATTCTAAGATAATACGGTCTGGGCAGATCTAGATAAGCGGTGCTCCCCACAAATACATGCTGCTAGCCTTTCGGCTGGCTGTCTTCTTATCGCATCAGCCAGAATAAGGTTCGTCGCCAGGCAAAGTCCTTATCTATTCTCGGAGCGAATATTCGGGACAGCATGTCCACACTCAAGTAGCGAGCCAATCCCCACCGCGCGCCTGTTGGTTTCGCTCTGGGTGGGGGTGCGCAGTAACAGCTTCGACGGTTGGAGGGTTTGATACTCTAAGAGATGGTAGTTGTCGCCGTCGTGTCGACAACGACTTCGAGACTCTCTTCAATTCTTGAACTTGGTAACGCACAATCATGATTGCACCGACACTTTCCAGCATACCAGCAACATCTGCAATCTTGCACCGATCGTTCAGCAAAGAGTACCCCACAGCGGCATCCGGGCAAGGAGTATACATCCAAGACCATACCGGCCGTCTGGTGCTTGATGGCAGTTCGGGGGCGGCGGTCTCATGCCTCGGACATGGCCACAAGAAGGTCATCGAGGCCATAGTAGAGCAAGCACAGCAAATGTCGTTTGCGCATACGTCCTTCTTCACCAGCGATCCTGCAGAAAACCTGGCCTCCGTTTTGATCTCCACGTGCCCTGATGTGTTTTCGAAAGTCATGTTTGTGAGCTCCGGTAAGCTGGAAGAAGATGCATGGTGCAGACGAGATCAAAAACATCAACATTGTTGCTGATTTCCTTGGGTTGAAATGTCACTGATTCTGATTGGCATTGGCAGGCTCGGAAGCGGTTGAATCTGCCCTGAAACTCGCTCGACAATATCACCTGTGTAATGGCCAGCCGGACCGCCATATCTTCATATCGCGCCGTTTCGCCTATCATGGCAATACGCTAGGTGCACTCTCAGCAGGTTTCAATCCGCCGCGACGAGACCCATTTCAGCCCATGTTGTCTCAAGCTTTCCGTCATGTTTCACCATGTTTCTTCACTCGCGATGGACTTCCTGGCGAGGACGAAGAGTCATACGTTGATCGTCTGGTCGCGGAATACGAGACGACTATTTCCAGCCTTGGGTCTGAAAAGATTGCTGCAATTATCGTCGAGCCAGTCTCAGGAGCAACGCTGGGAGCTGTGCCCGCCGCCCGTGGATACCTGGGGCGGCTGCGAGAGCTGTGCGACCGGTATGGATGTCTCTTGATCTTCGACGAGGTCATGTGTGGAATGGGACGGGTGGGCACTATGCACGCATGGCAATCGCTAGGCGGGATTGCGCCTGACCTCCAAACCATCGGAAAGGGACTTGGGGCGGGATACCAACCGATTTCGGCCATTCTTATCGCCAACAAGGTCCATGCCGTGCTGGAGAGGAACCACGAGCAGCGTCCCTTTGTCAGTGGTCACACGTATCAGGGGCACTCGATCGGTTGTGCCGCCGCACTTGCAACGCAGCGAGCTATAGCCGAGGACAAGCTTCTGGACAATGTTAGACGCATGGGTGAACGCCTGTCCCGCAGGCTGAAGAAGGAGACCCCCATGCTCAAAGAGGTCCGAGGATTGGGCTTGTTCCAAGCGGTGGAATTTGCAACTGCAACTGCAACTCCGCCTGGCTCGAGTATCGCAGCAGCCGTGGCTTCGACGTGCCTGGAGAATGGGGTTGCCGTCTACCTCTGCTCCAGTGCGGTTGATGCGGTCCTGTTTGCTCCTCCCTTTATCATTAGCGAGTCGGAAATCGACAAGCTGGTCGACGTGTTTGTTCAATCTGTCAAGCAGACGATTGAGAAGGCAAAGGGGTCATAACATAATTAACATTCTATTACGAACGGACTGTAGTACCACATCTGGCTTCAACCGGCAGCGAATGTCCCTGTTCCGCATCTTAAACCCAAAAGTATATCCTCAAGACTTTGGGAAATAGTCAAAGTCCGACAACTTGCGTTACTAAGAATCACAAACACCGTGTGTCAATCAATCCTGTATCAACTGCGCCAACATGCAACATGAACCAGGACCGGAGTGGTCGAGTGAGACGCAGGGGATAATTGCCTAGTTGGATAGTATAGCCGTGGGTTACAATTCCAAGTTTGGCAGAAAGCAGGGTTAGGGTTAGGGTTAGGGTTACTTATCCACTTAGTCCTGTTGAAGAAGTTGTCGATTACGGCCGCCCAGACCCTTTGACCTTTCCGATTGCACTTTTCAGATAAGCCCTCAACGCTCGCCGAATACCGAGTCCCGATGCCGATATCAAAAAGTATCAGACGTCCACTGCCTTTGCTGATAGTAGTTGAACAGGACAATTCTCGCTCGGTAGACTAGCCTGTAATCATGCGATGCGTAACATTCGTTCCTTTCTGCCATGTTTTGACCCTGGAGTGCCCCTTATCTCAGCCGATCCGCCGACTTGTTTCAGACACGAATGCTGGAATAAGTAGAGCGCAGTCGTACACGCTGTCAAACAAGAAGAGACCATAAGCGTGCCGAAGATGGGTTCCATTGACAGTTCAACACAGCCTCTCGAACAGATTCTGCACAAATATGATGTTGAACGCCAACGAAGGCTTCACCCCGAAGGGCTGGACCAGTACGTCGACATTTCCACCACCAAAGGGCTCGAGCATTACGCCGAAGACCCCTGGGTGACCGACGACAACATAGCCAGCTCACTTGATGTGACTGATGGCATGCAATGCAAGGCCGTGCTGGTCGGCACCGGGTTTGGAGCTCTCATATTCGCGGTCCGCTTGATGGAGATTGCCGGGTTCCAACCAGAGGATATCATCTTCGTCGACAATGCCGGCGGCTTTGGCGGGACGTGGTATTGGAACCGCTACCCTGGGTTGATGTGTGATGTGGAGAGCGCTTGCTACATGCCCCTCCTGGAGGAGACCGGGTACACGCCAAAACACCGCTATTCATATGGCCCGGAACTCCGAGCGTACGCTGAGCTCGTGGCCTCCAAATGGCAGCTGCAAAACCGAGCCATGTTCGCCGCCAGAGTCACCGAATCGAGATGGGACGATGATGCCCGCGAATGGACCTCGACAATATCGCAACGGGCGATCAATGGCCGGCCTCCCCGGACCGTCCACGTGCGCTCCGACTTCTTCATCCTCACCGCCGGGCTGCTCACCCGGCCCAAACTGCCGCGATTCCCGGGTCTCCAAGAGTTCAAAGGCCATTCTTTCCACACCTCTCGGTGGGACTATGCGTACACGGGAGGATCTCCCGAGGACCCGGCGCTGGAAGGTCTGAAAGACAAACGAGTGGCAGTGCTCGGCACCGGAGCCACTGCGATCCAGGTGGTGCCCGCTCTCGCCAAATGGGTCAAACAACTGTACGTGATCCAACGGACTCCGTCATCCGTCGACGTGCGCGGTCAGTGCGCCGTGGACCCCGACCACTACAGCAAGAACATCGCGACCGGGCCGGGATGGCAGCGTGCACGAAGAGAAAATATGGCCGCACTGACAAGCAACATACCAGTCAAACAGAATTTGGTTCAGGATGGGTGGACGACCTTCCCCTCCTTCTCCGGACTGGTTGGCGGGCCCAATGCCGGCGGGGTGACCGAGGAGACTGCCGCCGAATACATGGCTTCTCTCTACGTTCTGGACCTGCCTCGGGCAGAACGGATTCGCGCCCGGGTGGAACAGATCGTCAAGGACCCAGCCACGGCCGAGAGCCTGAAACCATGGTATGCGGGTTGGTGCAAGCGGCCGGGCTTCCACGATGACTACCTCGAGGCCTTCAACCGCCCGAATGTGCATTTGATTGACACGGCGGGCAAAGGCGTGGACCGGATGACGGGAGCGGGATTTGTGGCCAACGGGGAAGAGACCGCGGTGGACCTGTTCATCTTCAGCACCGGGTACGAGACCTTCCGCGCCGGAGACCCGTCTTCGCGAGCCCGCATGACCGTCGTCGGCCGTGGCGGGTTGACTCTGGATCGGAAATGGTCCGACGGCGTTGCCACGCTGCACGGAGTATGGACGCACGATTTCCCCAATCTCATCCTTCCGGGAGGATCGCAGGCGGCAGGGACGGTGAATGTGGTCCATACGTTCGATGTCATGGCCACTCATGCCGCCAGCGTCATTGCAGCAGGGGCAAAAAGGAAACCGGCACAGGCGAGCGACCAAGACCCAAAAAACACGAAAACGAAGCTGAAGCTTTGCATCGAGCCCACCACCGAAGCCGAGGACGCATGGTCGAGGAGGATTGCACAGGCGGCAGTGAAACCGTCGCCTCTGGCAAATTGCACTCCAAGCTATTCCAACGGAGAAGGCAAAGTGGCTGATCCCACCTCCCCGGAAGAGAAGCTCAAGGCCGCCAGGTCCGGCGCCTGGGCCAAGGGCCTTTTGGATTTCCAACAGATCATCGAAGCCTGGCGGGCCACAGGCGATTTCGACGGGCTTAGCATGCAGGTTCTCGAATAGATATTAGATACTAATGATCCTAACATATCGCATCACACCGCTATTCACGGAGCGCGGGACTGACTCCGACACTCTCTACAAAGCATATGCGCACTTGACCTGCCCGCCCAGGATGTAGTTACCGGGCAGGTCAAATGCGCACATCAGAACAAGGACACATGATGAAGCATGTCTGCGACTGGTACACGGCAGTGAATACATTGACAGCTGGGCACATGGCACATGGCCTCCTATGTATGCAATATGCAGCCGTCGAATGGGCTGGGCGCATGAATCCTCCGTTAGAACTGTCTATCTATCTCCCTTTTCCCTTTTCGGTACCACACGGATGGAGATCTCGGATGACTTGGCCGATACGTCTAAGTTTTTCACTTATAAGAGTATAATATAGGGCGGGTCGACGCGCCCCAGGCCGCCCCCTGCTTTCACAGATGCCGACGCAGAAGAATTCATCAGAAGTGAACACATCCGTTACCAATTCCTACCATCATGTACCCGACACAACGATGTGCAGACTCGGTAGGTCACTGACCTAATGACCTTATGCTCATGCATCCAGGCACCAGGATCGGGCCTGTTTTGAAGGTTCCTGCCATATGCCATCCATCACCAGCCTAAGGCTTCTTAGGCCCACACCCAGCACTGGTGGATCAGAAAGTTCCCTCGGAGATCAAGATCAGCGCTGAGACAACATGCGGCAGGTGCATGAACATGAGTATATGGGCACAAGACCTTCTCAGGTATGTAGTATCCTGGATGCTTGACCGAAGAATGGGGTGCATCATCGTGTTTCGTGTTTCGTTGCAGGGTTTGCCAACTAAAGCGACCCGATTGAAAAGAGAAGTACAAAAACCTCTTTGGTCTCAGAGATGGAAACTAGTACATTGCAAAATTGCGCACCCAACTGCTGCAATACGGATTTTTAGGGTTCCTTAGTGTGCCAGAGCCGGGCCCACACGACCCCCAGGCAGTCCTTTGAGCTTGAAGCTCCCCGGTTGAAGAGTCTGAAAGACGCCCAGTGGATCATACTTGTCCGCGACGGCCTGCATGACGGCCTGCATCTCGGGTCCATAGCTTGCCACGGGGTCTTGCCACTCACTGGCATAGTTCATGTAGAGAAAGTCACTGGCCTGGCCCAGCCTCCCAGCCTCAGCCCTGACCTTCATCATGACCGTGTTGACGGTTTCGGCGATGAGAGTGTCGTACTCGGCGTCCATCCATTTCGGCGTCGGGTTGTAGAGGAGAAGGGGTTCTTCGGAATGCGAGAGGCCAAGGATGTTGCCACCGTTGCGGCCCATGTTCCGGCGCATGCCCGCCGTGAGCACCTGAACGTTGAAGGTCGGGCGAAAGAAGCGGCCGCGGAATTGAGGCTGGATTTTTTCGAATTCCTCCATCCACGTGTCGACAAAGTACCGCAAGACGGTCCGGTCCAGCTTGGTACTCATGACCCAGTATGCATACCGGCGGCCGGGCACGGTCAGCGCGGCAAGACCCATGGTTTGCGCCGACAGGTTGGACACGACGGTATGATCGGCGAGTGACGGGACGCTCACGAGGTCCCGAAGTCCGTCGGGCATGACCTCGGGCTCGGTGTATTGAATGTCGTTGTACCAAATCCACGTGTCGCCCGTCTGGAAATCCGGTCCAAAGTTGAGGATGGCCGAGGCTTTGGGGTACTTCAGTGAGTTTCGTCCGTACTCGATGAACGCTTTCAACAACGCCGGGGTTTCGCTCAAGGCGTGCATAACCATACCGCCCCAGATGCCCCGGTGGGGGATGGCTTCCATTTTGAATGCCGTGACAATGCCAAAGTTGGCCCCGCCGCCACGCAGTACTTGGTAGAGATCGGGATGACAAGTCGGGCTGGCGGTGACGACGGTCCCGTTGGCGAGCACCACTTCGTATTCTCGTATCGTATCTGCACCCCAGCCATGTTGGGAAGAATGAAAAGAGATTCCACCTGTATCCCAGTACTTTTGTCAGCACGACGGTACTAGATCTTCGTAGTTAAGGGAAGAAGGGGTTAGGGTTAGTTGGGTTAAAAGAATCGGCGTGAGAATTTGGCTTGGGCGATGTGATGGGTGTTTCTGTCTCTCTTTCTCAAACGCACCTCCCAGGAGGAAACCTCCCACTCCGACATCTGCATCTCGGCCGCCGGCCACGACAATACCGAGTGGCTCCAGGGCCGTGTAGACATCGAGCCATCGATTCCCGGGCCCGACAATGACGCTCTGGCCGTCGTCGTCGTCGACCACTTCGATCCGGTTGAGGTGGACCAGGTCCAAGGTGAGGCCACGGTCGATGTTGGACTCGCCCGCAAACTTGCCGTGGCCTCCACTCTTGACGGCAAATGGACATCGAGAGTGACGAGCGACGATCAGACCCAGCGACACGTCGGCCGCGCTCAGAGGCTGGTAAATACAGTGCGGCCGGAGCTCTCGTTGTGCCATGGACCAAAATGCCCCTTTGGCCCGCTCGTAGCCGGCCGTCCCGTCGATCTTCACCTGACCAGGTCGTGCAGAAGCCAAGATGTCACACTGAAGTCGAAAATCAAACATAAAACGCTGGTCAGCAGAGAGTCCTTCAAATGCCGCATAGAAAGGAAAGAAAAACCCCTTCCATCTGAGATCCCAACGTACAGCGATAGGACATGTGGCCAGTGAGGGGATCAACTCGCCGCCCGTGAAGCCATCATGGTCGCTACTCAATGCAGCTTGATCGGCATATGCAATGCTTCCGAACACTGAAGGCCAAATCTCTGGATACAAGCCAAAGCCAGCCTGGCCGAGACGTGGTGTCAATGCGATGGCCGCCAAAGTCCATTTCCAATTCGGCAACAGAAGCATCCCGGCAAGGCTTGTAGATGTTTCACAGTTCCAACTCCGGATGACCCAAATTAGACAGATTCAGAGAAGAAACAAGAACTTTTTGGCTTTTTGGCCCTTGTATCAAAGCCCGACAACTGGTCATAACACCCTTTTGATTATAATGATAATGGAATGAATATTGGTTCGATTGGGCAGTCACTCCACTTGCCGAAAACGTGTGATAACGAGGCCATCAACCCTAAGATAACGCAGTACTGGCCCCGTCAATGATGTGCTATCGTTCGATAAGCGAGTGGCCGGAGATGGTCTGGAGTTCGGCATGGGTAATGCTTGCGAGTATTCGGGGCGAGGTTTTTGTGGGGAACTCGCTCAACAAGTTCTGAACAGAACAGAGCGAGGCATTTGACAGAACAACACAGTCGAGCACCTCAGCCGATAGTGTAATCTAGTCGCCGCCCGGTTACGCAATATAGCCGTCCTACGCTGCGCCCGTCTCCTCGGCATTTTGAGTTTGGCGCTCTGTCATAGTGGTCAATGAGCCTCTAAAACTCCAGTCTGATCTTCTGCCTCTTTAATGGACATGGACAAAAACAGAGACAAAAACAGAGACAAGACCAAGAGAAACGAAGCGAAGGGGAGCGAAGTGGTTGCTCGGTTCAGAACTTGGTTACTTCCAAGTAGTGTATCTTATTGTAGGTACAGTATGCAGATGCTGGTGCAGTCTGTGATTGTACTGTACGCCGGAGGACTTGTCATTTATCGACGGGCCTGGGGCTCGTCAGACCATATAGATAGATACTTGCGTAGTCTGCGTCGTTGAAGCGTCGACGCGCTTCCACGTCTTGACAAGACCTTGACATTAGGGCGCTTGCCGTCACATCATCTTTCCTCTTCATCTACCTTTGGTTTGGGGCTGCTCGACCTTTTTTCATCTAGCTTTGTCTTGCTTCTGCTCGACCTGTCTTCATCTACCTTTGGCATACTGCTGTTCAATTATTCCTTCATTTACCTTTGCCTTGCTTCTGCTCAACCTATCCTCATCTACCTTTCCCTTGCTGCTCAACCATGTCTTCACCTCCCTCGACCTGTTCCACTACCTCGACCTCTTCAGATCTCATCTTGTCCAAATGAATGTCGCGGAAATGAACCTGGGCCGGTTCCCCAAACTGTTCTCCGATCTCCTCCAGCGTCAGGCCGGCCGTTTCGGGAAGGTAGAAATGGATACAAACCACCGTTACCACGGAGATGCAGATGAAGACCAGGTAATACCTCCAGTGGATGGAGGCAAAGGCCTGCGAGGCGGGGGAGTTGTAGGCGATGGCGAAACCGAAGAAGGTGGTCATGGCAATGGTGACGCCCTCGCCGCGGACATGGGTCGGCCAGATTTCCGCCGTGTAGACGAAAGAGCCGGTGTCGAAGAAGGCGTTGTAGAAGACGGCAAACAGAAAGAAGAAGACCACTCCGGCCGTGAGCCCGGACTTGTTGGTCGTGCCGATGTATTTGGCTTGCATGGCAGCCTCGAGAACCAACGACAGTAGGCACCCGGCCGTGCCGATGACTAGAGGTTGGAAGAAGGTTAGTAAGATTTTCTTTTTCCCTTGTGTCTTTTATTTCTTTTCCTTCTGTTACAAATCTTTACGGGACAGGGCGTACATACCGAGGAAATTCCTCCTGCCAACTCTGTCCACGGTGAGACCTCCGAGTGTGGAGCAGGCAATACCGACGCCATACCAGGCGGCCGAGAGGCCAAGTTGGACGGTTTCGTTTACGCCCAGGCCGGCGAAGAGAAGGGGCGTCAGGTTTGAAATGACGAGGACGCCGGTGCTCATGCTGGAGAACCAGACCAAAATCGTACAGAAGGCGCGCTTTCTCAAGCTCGGGGTGCGGAAGATATGGATGAAGCCGCTCGGCATCTCCTTGTCGGCCTCGCACTGGGCGCGGATCTGATACAGCTCGGCGCGGGCGACGAGGCCGTTCGGGTCGTGTTTGTTGACGTGCAATCTCTCGAGGGTGCGCTGGGCCTGCTCGACCCGACCCTGGCTGACCAGCCACCTGGGAGATTCGGGGATGACGAGGATGATGAGGAGCAGGAGGATGACCCCGAAGCTGGCGGCGATGATGAAGTTGAGGCGCCACTGGATTTTGGCCGTCACGAAGCTGAAGCCGAGCGAGCCCAGCGACGCGCTCAGATAGCCGGTATTCAGCCCGGTCACATGGAACGACACCAGCCAGCCCCGGGAGTGTGCCGGCGCCAGCTCGCTGATGTACATGGGGGACACGGTGAGGCAGATGGCGGCTCCCATGCCGGCGAACAACCGTCCCACGAGGAACATGGGGAAGTTGACCGATCCCGCCTGCAGCGCTAGGCCCACCATCACGAAGCAGGCCCCGGACCCCAGACCGACTCTTCTCCCAAACCGATCACTCAATGGTTGCTGAAGGACGGCGCCGACGAAGCCACCGCCGAGAAAGCTGAAGAAAGCTGGTCAGTATATGGTCCTGTGTCTGTGTGTGTGTGTGTGTGTGTGTGTGTCTGTCTGTTTAATACATACATTCCAAGAATCGCTCCGGTGCGAGTAGATGGGTCGACCGCCAGAAACAGGTCGTTGAAGCTGGGGAGAGCCAACGCTCCCGCGATCACGGCCGAGCTGTACCCGTAGTTGAGGGAACCAAGAGTGAGGGCGAGGGTGATCTAATTACAGGTACATGGAAGCCTGTCAGCATTCATCACTCATCACTCATCGCCGTAGCACATAAAGAGTGAGTAGGCCGTCCATCAGCAAAGCATTGAACAGAAGACTTCGTACCAGGATATTGTAGGCACTGGTATGCGGCTTGATGACATTGCCAGTAGCATCTTCCAGTTCGAAGGCGCGCTGGCTATGGCCATGGCCATGGCCACCAGCTGCCACCGCTTCAGATTTGTCCTTCATCATACAGTTAGGAGAAGTAAGTGTAAGTAGGGGTCCTCTCTCTCACTTTCACTTTCTATCTCTCCATCTGGCCCAGAAGTGGGCCAAGGGATTTTATATACGTATTTATATATCTCTCCATGTCGAACTGTCAAAGTCAAATTCTCAAATAGTCGAATTCTCGAATTCTCAAATAGACCGAATTCAGCCCGGCCTGGACACTATACTAGTATACACTATACACTGTCAGAGTAAAGAGCACCGTGCCACAGTGCCACTGTTCTTCTCCGGACCCCAGGCTACACACCCCGGACTGAGGCTAAGCCTCTTAGGCTGGAACCGAACTCCATGGGGGGTTTAGGCTTAGGGGTTTAGGAGGTTAGGTATGTGGGTACAGTACTCGTGGAAACTGGACACCGGGTAAGCAATGGCGAGGGGAGGCTTAATAATAGGCCCTGCTGAGCTTAACACTCTTCGCTCAGGACGCCGGACGGGGTTTGCGTTGGGGTTGGCGTCGCGCGTCCGTAGAAGCTGAGGCCGAGGCTTCTGCTCAGGCTGGGGCGGGCAATGGCACGCAGGGGCTGGCAGGGCAGGTAGAGGCAGGCTGGGGCACCAAGGTCTTCTTCGACTTCGTCACCCCGTGTGATCGAGACTACAAGTACTCCGTACAGCCCACCATTTTGCGGGATAACTCCAGACCAGACTCGCTGATACATAAGCCGGGGCAGGCAGGGGCAGGCTGGGGCAGGGACTTCTTCAACTTGGTCACCCCGTGTAATCGAGACTACAACTATGGAGTACGGAGTACAGCCCACTGTTTTCTTTTTCAGACTCGCTCATAAGCCGGGGATATGTAGTGTCCACTGTCCACTCTGCAAAGCGTCGAGCTAGACGCAGGATCGTGGGTTCTTCACGCTTGTCATACTCAGTACTGTACAGTATACCTACGTATTTTCCAGACTGGCCGATGACATTTCCGCGGATAAGGGGACAATTCCACGGATATGGAAGTTGGGATGGATCGCGTTGACGTATTGTGGGGTCCCCTGTCCCCTTTCCAGTTAACGCGGGATGTGAGACGTCGAATGTGGGATGTACGGAGTACAGTATGATGCAAGCCTAAAGCCCCCACTGGACTTCGTACTCCGTATCCATCTTCGTATCCGTATCCATATCTGATCATGTATCGAGGTACCTGGAAGACGGGATACTAGATACTAGATAGTAGATACAAGTAACCGTGACTAGGAGATGGCAGCACTAAGGTACGGCGTACAGAGTCGACAGTCAACAGTCAGTCGACCGTCGAAGGTACGTCAATACCAGATACCAGGTAGTACTAGGGAGCAGATACCAGAAGTATTGCCAGATACTAGCTACCTAGCTAAGTACTAGATCCTCGTACTAGATAAGACACTAGTACTAGATACCAAATACCCCGTAGAATGTCGTTAGTTCCCCCGAATTTGTTCCCCGACTCACGACTCAGGGAGATGTGGTCTGTGCGTCTGTGCGTCTGCATGTACCCGGGAATCCTGGGGAATAGTCGGTGAGTCCGACTGGTGAGTCGGTGAGTCTGCATCTGGGATCCTGGTCGCACTTTTGTACTTTTGTTGTGGCCAGTGTGACTACGTACGTAGCTATAGCTATGGCTATGTTCCACGTGTGTCTGTGTCCCGGACGCCAGACGGACGTGCCGAACGTGGAACGTCGAACGTGGCACGTGGTATCAATCATTACAGTACTCCGTACTCCGTCCATGGTGCCTGGTAGGTATTGAACGCTAGGTATCGAACGGCCCAAGGCAGTGGCACTGTGCTGGCATGGTACGTCTCCAGGGATTTGATTACAGTTACCAGTAACACTCGACAAGACGACAGCAGAGCGGGCTACTTCAAGTCGTTGTTATCACATGTCTTGGATGGTCTACCTAGCTGGCAAAAAGATATAGAATCCTCATGTCGGTTTGTAACAGATATCGCATCCTCATGTGGGTTCTTGTTACAAATATAGAAACCTTATGTTGGTTCTTGTAGCAGATATAGAAACCTCATGTTGGTTTTTGGTTCTTATAAAAGAAATAGGATCCTCATGTTGGTTCTTGGCTCTTGAAACAGGTTTCTGCTTGGTACTGCAGCGTACAGGTACAGGTACAGTACATAACACCTACTACCCACCTGCACCCTTGCCATACTGTAAGCAAAGTAAAGCACCACTCAAGCACCAGTGATGTCCTCATGCCTACTACTCGGGATAGAGTATTCATCCATATATTGTGTATTCATTCGTTACTTCCCTGGGGCCGGTATTGTATATTCGTTATTTCCCTGCCTCCGCCGAGGCTTTTGTATAGTCGACCGCGGCGGATTTCCGTTTCAAGTGTTCTGCAATCGGCAGTCGCGGATCATCGTATTCCACCAACAGGCCAGACAGACCTGGATCGGCCTTGGTCACTGCTTGCGCATAGGCGTTCCCCGCGACCGTCGGTGAGGTCAGCTCGATCTTGCTCACAAAGTCGTGGTATTTTGCCGCTTCCTTCTCACCCCATCCGTCTTCTGTAGTTTTCCGAAAATGTCAGTCTCAGTCTCAGTCTCAGTGTCAAATCTCAATTTCAATGTCAATCGCTTGTCATCAGACACATGTAAACGTCAACGACTTGAACAAGACTGGGTCTACCAGGGGGTGCAGTGCCCCGTGGGACTCGACTAATCGCCTTTTTGAAAGAGACCAAACCCAAACCCAAACCCAAAACAAAAAAAAAACAAAAAGAAAGACTCACGGTTTCCCTTTAACAGTCCAGCCACCATCTGCGTATCGCACAGGCCCGGCGAGATACCGATGGCAGTGACGCCGTTTTCTCGCTCTTCGAGCGCCACCTGTTTGACGAGAAAGCCCACCGCGGCCTTGGACACCCCGTAGAACCCCCAGCGCTTGAATAAAGCTTCGGCTCCGGCCGCTGATGTGGTGCTAGTGATGCGGCCCTTGGTCTTGCGGAGCTCGGGAAGCGCGTATTTCAACTGTTTCAATCCATCATGTCAGATCTAGTCCTGTAGCGGCACCGGCAGTCTTCTTGGAGATATGGCCGGAGAAACCCTCCTTTCGCATTGCTCCCAGTGGCAGTTCAGTTCAATGCTGGAACTTAACTTACGGTATGAAGGTGCGACAGCACGTTGATTCGGAAGGCTTGCTCCCATTTGTCGACGGGCGCGTCGTCGATGGGATAGCCAGGGCCGAAAACCCCGGCATTCAGACAGACACCGGTCAGTTTTCCAAACTTCTGCACGGCCAGAGCCACGGATTTCTCCGAGATTGTAGGCTGGAAACCAGTTGGTTAGTTTTGAGAAAGAGAAATGGGGATGGAGGGAGATGGAGATGGCGATGGAAATGGAATGGAATGGAGATAGCGATGGAAATGGAAATGGAAATGGAAATGCACATGCACATGCACATGCAACTGAAATGGGATCCTTACATCAACAATGTCGCCAATCACCACCTCAAGTCGGCCGGGGTATTTCTTCTGATGGCCGTCCAGCGCCGCGCCTAATACGATGTCGGTAGCCACGACCGAAGCGCCCAGCTCCTCGAGGAGAATGCGCACAGTTTCGCGTCCAATGTCTCCCGACGCCCCCGTGACGAGGACAACATGCTGAGAGGTCATGACCAACGATTAGATTTCCTTTTCGATTGATTAGGTGGTATAGTCTGGTCTGGATACGAGGGAAGGGGTAGCCAGTGAATAATAATCAATCTTGTTCTGTTCTCTAACCTGGGTGAGGTGAGGGATGAGGGACCGGGATTCTATGTACCCAAGGCAGTCTAACTGAGGGCCGAACGGCCGACCGGCCGAACTGACTTGGGATACGCGTGTCTCAATGAACAAGAATAGTCAGAAGATACCGCTCCACTTCGGCTTGGAGTCCCGGAGTCGGTACGAATGACGAATGAAGGGGTCTTATCATCCCAGACGAGGTGATTGGGAGGATGCGGAGACGAAGACGGGGATGGGGATGGGGATGGGGATTGGAGTACACTGGTACAGAGTACGGAGTACTGATTCCTGCTCTGTCCAGTGTGCAGTCCAGTCCAGCGTCTCTCTACCGTAGCTGGCGAGAAAAGGGGCCTTGGTCATGCTATGGCGTCTACGTCTACGATCGAGGGGTTTGGTCCGGTTTCGGGCCGAGAATTATTGATGGAGCACTGTAGACTGAGAGATACGACGAGTACATATATACCTCAGTTTGCACACATATAGTTCACACAGACCACTTTGGGCTCCCAGTCCGGAATATTAAATGGCCCCTGGCCCTACATCACGTCAGTGAGTGACAACTGGAGGTTCCTGGATAGTAGATGGTAGATAGTAGATAGTAGACGGTGGTAGATGGGTTTGTAGATAGTAGATACTACTGCCCCTCCCACTGTGCCGGTATACAGAGTACAGGATCCCCTCCCCACTCGGGTTCGGCGACCGCGGGCAAGTTCGCCGAAGGGTATAAGAAAGGCCCAGCTTAGCCTAGGGGTTGGGGTTGTACACTATCTCCGCCCCGAATAAAACGGGGAGGAGGGGAGCGGGGAATAAGGGCCCCTTCTGTGGAATTGTTACTTACTGCGTACTTATTACTTATTTACCTACAGGAACAAGATCCCTGGCTTGCTAGCCTCATGCAGCTCCGGGTTTGAACTCCTCAGCCGGGGAGCGAAATGCGGAGGAGACCAGACCTGCTCTCTAATTGTAAGCGATAGATACCTAACTCATACTCTTCAGTAATGGTGGGTGGAGAGTCAAGTTCTAGCTGTAACTCGGTCCTCTTTCTCTTTCTCATCCTCTTTCTCATTCTCTTTTCATCAGAACCTTCAGCTCCAGTCCGGAAAGAATCAAAGAACATGGCTACCAAACAGCGGCTGGTCCGACTTTCCTTCTACGTACAACGCAAAAAGAATCTTAGCGAGGAAGAATACGAGCGCCACTTGTCGTCGCACCATGCAGAATTGTGTGCCGAACACCTTGCGAAGCACGGCATCTTAAGATATACTCAGGTGCGCACTCCTTGTCTTCAATGTCGCAAGGGGCCATAATCCCACCCAAGCTCGATGCTGATCCTGGTACTGCTTGGTGCCTAGTTCCACACTCCGGCGTCATTTCAAGCAGTCGGCGAATCTGGATTCCCCGGTCTAAAGAAGATGAAGAGGCTTCCCTTTGACTCGTCGGGTGACTTTCTCATGGCCGATTTCGCCAGCTTTGTCAAATTCCAGGAAGACCCTTATTATCTGTCGCATGTCTTCCCGGATGAAGCCGGTCTCTTCGAATGGGACACCGCCTGTTACGCGGTAGGATGGGAGGAGGTTTATATCCAAGATGGAAAGGTCGTCAATCTGCCGTACCAGGACCCTACGTACCAGGGTCCTACCCAGGCTACTGGGACTTCAAGTACACCTAGTAATTAGGTAGCCGATGTTTGAATGATCCTAAATTCGGCCAAGGTCGAAAATATACTGTATCTCGTGCGAAAATATCAGTCACCTGAGAGTCTCACCGCTTCACTGGTCGACAGAAGATGTTTGATCGAGCCTCTTCGAAGGTGGCAAAGTGACGATGGGGTCCATCACCAAGAGATATATCATAGTGAAAGGTGCGAACTTCGAACGTCTACGCGTGGACCGGTCTGGGAAGGTATAGATGCATTCGTTCAAGTAGGATGGTAACTGGCTATTTCATGCCAGGCAGCCAAATCCAAGACCACGGGGAAGTACATGGATCCGGCACGCCGTCGCTAAGCCTTAGCAAGCGGGGTAAAATTTCAAGTCACGTGCCAAGACTGACTTGCCGTTATAGCGTCCTTGGCAAGCGTCCTATTCCGTTTCGGGCATCATCTCAGCCTGGCCCGCCAAACATCCTGGAACGTATAATAACTGCGACATGTTCCATGTTCGCCTCTGGTCTGAGCCCAATGCATGACCCGCCACACTCGTCCTCGCTATAATTAAAACCTAAGTCTCCAGAGGACAATTTACCAGTGACCAGTGACCAGCCAGCAGATATCCATCATGTCGGACAAAGACTTTAACAGTATGTGTCCCCGATCTGATCCAGCCATGTGGACATGCTCGAGGATTCAAGGCTCCTTCTGCGCAGTCCACATTGACTGACAGGCAATTAATTGATTGTGATCCTTAGGCAACGATGACCTATCCCTCCCCAAGGCCACGGTGCAGAAGATCATCACGGAGATCCTGCCACAGCTCTCGCACGACCCCAGCACTCCCGGCAAAGATGGCGAAATGAGCTTCACGCGTCCGGCGCGGGACCTATTGATCTCGTGCTCGCTGGAGTTCCTGCGCATGCTGTCGTCCGAGTCCAACGAAATTTCCGAGCGCGAATCCAAAAAGACCATCAGCGTCGAACATGTCGAACAGGCCCTCACCGATCTAGGCTTCGGCACCTACATCGAGGGCTGTCGCGGCGTCGTGGGCGAGTGGCAGGAAGTGCAGAAAAAGAGAGTCGGCCGTGGTGAGAAGATGCGGAACTTTGGAGGGTTCGACAAGATGGGTGAAGAAGAGTTGCGGAAGATGCAGGAGGCTCTGCTGGGTGAGGCCCGCGGCCGAATGGAGGGCCACACCGAGCCACAAGGGGAACAATGAACAATGAACAATGAACGCCAAGCAGGCTAGGCTAGGATTGATTGAAACCAGCCTTGACCATGCATAACCCGATGAATGCTGCCGCTATATCTGCCGATCGGTGCGGCGTGGCCGCGAAGTGAGCCTCACGGTTTTTTGGCACGTCCAGCTCGGCTGAGACATGAGAGAGGAGAGCTACACACACTTTCACCAATGCCTACGCCTACACCTACCTACCTGCCATTACTGTCTTGCTGTGTGGGTCAGGGTCAGGGTCAGGGTCAGGGTCAGGAGATGGAGCAGTTCATCGCACCCCGCTGGGCCTCGAAGCTCGACGCGAAACCGGAAACCGGGGTCTGTTGCCTCATCCTACTCTTGCAACCTGATCCAACAACAACATGAAGGTAGCACTCCACAACATGAAGGTAGCACTCCTACAACCTGAAAGACAGCACTTGTACGATACCTACATCAGGACCGCGACACTGGCCGGCGATCATACAGCATCACCGGACTCGAGTACCTCGGGCCTAGCGATTCCGATTCCATGATGCTGATGAGCTCAAAAATCATACATACATAAATCGACAAGTCCAGCATCCAGCATCCAGCATTCCACCATCTCGTCGAGTCCAAACTGCGCCGGGCCCATCAATCGAATCCTAATCCTACAATCGAATCCCAATCCCACAATCGAATCCTAATCCATCAATCCCCAGCGAGTGCGACTGGCGGCCATGCAACAATGCTCCAATGCTGCAAGCCAGCCCGGCAATCTAGTGATATGGGGTATGGGGTGCGGCAATCCAGCGATATGGGATATGGGGTGCGGCAATCTAGTGATATGGGACATGGGGTGCTACAATGCTGCAAGCCAGCCCAGCAAACTAGCTGGCCATCCCGTCTGGTTGATTGATATTACAAGTTCACGAAACACATACAGATGTCGTGCCCAAGGTGCACTCTACCTAGACTAGACACCTCGTATGGGAGCAGTTCGCATAGTGGAAAGGCCGTGCTATCATTAAATTTAAACGTAAGCCTAAGCCGAAACCGAAACCAAACCGGTCTGACCGGTCAGCCCGAAGCCTTCTTTTCTTTCAGCGGTCAGGACACCTTCAGTCTGACCGCCTGAGTATTCTTTCTTTCAGCGACCAGGACAACTTCTAAAGGGAGCCACTGATCAATAACCCTAACCCTCAGACTGAACTTGGCCCATTTTCCATTTCTCTCTCACTTCTGCATACCGTGCAACCCTGCCCAGCTTGTGCAAGACGTCCATGTTGTTGAAATGGTCGTCTCTCGGCCGGACAGTCCCGCCCAGATCCCTCGTCGCATGACCAGTGTCATCGCTCAGTCCGTCGACGATAATACTCCATTCAGCCACGGTGGCGCCGCTGCCGCTCATCGAGCTCGCCGTGGCCGTACCATTGATCAGACTGCCCCAAATCCGGAGGGTGGCGTACCGCGCCGTATAGACGTCCTGGCCACCCGACACGTTGTAGGTGGTGATGTTTGATTCGACGGGGCCAATGTCATTGATTTCAGTGGCATTGTACGCGTTGGTGATGCGGACGCGGTCGTTGCGCGCGACTTCCACCACGCCCCGCGACGTGTTGGCGGCCAGCCCGCTCGGGTTGTCCAGGGACTGGTTGTGGAAGAGGACCGAGTAATTCCACGGCGGAGCCTGGGCCCAGTCGAAACGCAAGCCGGTCACGCGATGGCCGACAGGCAGCTCGACCGTGATGCTGGCCGTCTTGTTGGCCAGCGCCGGCTGCCACTTGGTGCTGGCGGCGCCATCGACCGCGGCGATCGGGAACTGGCCAGGCAAATAGTCGTCGGGCGAAGTGACGGGCAGACACTGGGCGACATTGCCCGCTGTGGTCTTGATCTGGCCGATCCGGCGGTTGGCGATGGTCACACTGCCGTTGGGCGCAAGGCTGTAGTTCGCCAGCGGCGGCGAGCCGATGGGGCCGACATGCACAGGGATCGGGACTGTCGCGTACGTGACGTTGGGTACGGCCCCTTCATCCGGAATGACGCTTGCATTCCGGCTCAGCACCGTATGCGTCTGATTCGAAAAGGCAGAGATCGGCCACCCGTGCCAGTAGAATGTGCGGTACCGAATCTGTGGAATCTGGGGTGGTAGTGATGGATCGACATGCAGGATGTAGTCCGGGATCAGACGCAAGCCCAGATAGCCAAACAGCACAACCTGGTGTGAGCCTCCGTGGCCTGTCAGGAACGGGTACGCCGGATGTGTGTTGCCGTTGACGGTCCAATTGTCAACCAGCTGCTCCGATAACTGGTACCACGGCGCCCGTAGGTACGGCTGTGTCGAGTAGTGCTGGTACGTGTAGCTCGAGCAGCCCGACGGCGAGACCTGGTTGGCTATGATGGCGAAGATGGCGTACGTCATGGCCGGCCCGTTCACCGATTGCTTTCCTGCGTAGTAGTCCAGGTCGCTCAACGAGCGCTCGGCCGTATAGTTGTCTCGAGTGAACGAGAGTGGATAGGTGTTGAGGACGACGTCCGCTTGTTTGACAGACGTGCTGCCGTTCATGCCAGGATACTCCAGAATCACGTCGGCCTCGTTGTCTCGGGCCAAAAATACGTTCGCAGCCTGCGACTCCCAAGTCGCGTTCGGCGTGCCGTTGAATATGCTCCGGAACATGTTGGCGTTGCTCAGGTGGGTCGAGATCAAGGCCATTGTATACCCGCCGTTATCGACATGGTTGGCGTATTCGTCCGGGTCCGTCATATTGCGCAGCCACCAGCTAGACCCATTCTTCTCGAGCAACTCCGAGTAGAGCGTGGCCACTGAGTCATAGATCGGGAACAACTCGTCGCGGAAATAAGACGTGTCTCCTGACGACGCCCAGTAGTTGACGAGTTCCAAGCCGATGTCGCCGTTGATGTGGTATTCATAGTCGAAGCACGGGCCGGTCGCCGTACAGTTGCCAAACCGTCCACCGGTCCAGGAGAAGATGGCCGCGTTTGAGGAGAAATTCGTGTGGTTCTGGGACGACTGAAAAGCCGTCTTTACATTGCGCTTGGCCTGCTGATACTGCCCGAGTCGATAGTTGGAGATTCCCCTTGCAGCTGAAGGAAACGCCGCTACCAGGCCCGGCTGCATCCAGATGTCGGCGTCCCAAAAGATCTGTCCCGCATATGAATCCGAACCTAGTCCTCCCACGGCGATGCTGTGGCTGTTGATGGAGGCGTTTCCAGCGGCTGCCACGGCACTGTCGGACAGTGTATTCTGGAGTAGGTGGTATGTGTTTGCCACAGCCGTGATGGCGGTCTCGATAATATACGGATCATCGGGCAGAGTTCCATTCTCCGGATAAGAGAAGTCGTCGATCGAATCGGCGGTCAAGTCTTTAGCCCAGGCTTTGACATGACTCTGTAACGAAGCGTTGTACCCTGCTTTCTGTGCAGCGAGGGCTGCTTGTCTCGCAACGGCTTGTGGATGAGCAAATCCGTCGCTCGAGGCAATGCCGACAAATTTGGTGAATGTTGCGACTTTCCCGGCCTGTAGAGTGACATTAAAGCCGCTCGCGATGGAAGACTTGTTGCTACCCACGTAAGGCCGATCCCCAGTGGCCTGCTCGACCGGGCGAATAGTTGCGCCAGTGCTAGATAGTCCAGCGTAGACGTAAGCAGTCACGTTTTGGATGCCATCCGGTTGGACCGAGGTGAAGATGAGTCCGCCGTCGGTGCCTCTGTCTCCCGGGGTCGTCCGCACGGCACAATCCCCGTTCAGTACATTTGTGATGGTGAGGTTGGTGGTTCTTGCAGCGGTGATGTTCAAGCTGACCACCGCCTGGTTGATGTAAAGCTTGTGCGCAAACATTTGGTATGACACATTGAATGAACCATGGCCACTGGGAGACCAGGTGAACTCCCAATTCTTCAAACCCCTCTTCAGGTCCAGGCTCGATTGAAAATTGCTGATTGTCGAGCTGTTCGTTGACGCGGCAAGATAGTCATCTCCGCCTAGATCAGCAACAATGCCCGCCCAATGAGGGATTCCACTGATGACACTGTCCCAACCGTATTGATCGAGCCATGGAAAATTGCTTCCGTTAGTCGTCGCCTGCGAGTCCCAAAATCCTCCGATAGTAGCGAACGTCTGCCGTCGACTATACAGAGGCCAGCCATTGATGTTGTCGCCGTCCACAGGGGTGTCGATTTCGAAGAATGGCCCCAGAGACGCTACGTTGATTCCATGGTAGCCGTTCGCAACTGTGACCCGAGATTGGTAGTGGCCCTGGTCGAGGTTGGTGGTGGACAGGACCCAGCGGGCATTGTCCCAGGTGACGCCGTCGAACCGGGTCTTGTACACGGCGGACGACGCAGTGCTAGCTCCAGCCTGTATCGTGGAAGATAGGAGCGCAAGCAACAGGAGGCCAATCAGGGACAGATGTTTCGTGCTAGTCATCTAGATACCGGGCGTCAGTCCGCTGCAGTTGGGCATACGGTGAGATCCCAACCTTGATTTAACAGGTCGCAGCTGAGCGAGCAACTCGGAATGGTGAACATGTACGGAAACCGACCCAAGCTCTTCCTAAAATAGTGTATGCTCGAGTTACCGCTTCCTGCTTCTTTCTAAGGTGTAGTGAGGCCGCGGCCGAGCGACATGGACTTTGGGGTGGGTGAGTTGGCGATTGCGCAAAGGTCAATAAGGTAAGTTGGCGATCGCGCAAAGGTCAATAAGGTGCGCCGGCTCTACAATTGAAGGCATCAGTCTTGTCGACATTTTCACAAGCCGCAGCCTCCCCTCCATCCAGGAAACCGGCCAGTGTGCCTGACCAGGCAGACTTTTCACCCAAGTTACATTGACGACCTCGGTCCAAGCTCGACTTGTACGGCTCATTGGCAAGGTATTCCATGGTTACGCAAGTGGTGTACTCGTTCATAGGCTCGACGGAAATGCCTCCTCCGCCTCCGCCCACCGCCTGGTCCATGCCGGGGAAGGAGGCCCTTGAAATGCAACGTCATTGCGGGAGGGAGGATGTGGGATCAACAGGATGAGGCAGCGATTCAGAGTTGAACTTTGATGATTGACGGAATCGAGGAAGCGAGTTGTGGGGAAACGGCCAGGGCGCAAGGGCAGCTGGATTCTGGGGCAGCTTACACCGCTAGTGAACGCCACCGGTGTCATCTCAGCATCAGCATGCACCAGCATGCACACCTGACATTCCTGCTGCAGAGGAGAAGGGTCTGCCCGATACGACGCTGGAACTACACGCCCCAAAGCCCCAGACGGCCCGTGCGCCTCTATTGGGCTTTTTGTACCTGGCGATTGTCCGTGCTGCTTCCTCTTGCTGTTCACGGTATGGCTGGACCAAGATTTGGTCTGTTGGACCTGAGGAGTTCTACGGAGTATTATTACTGAATCATCACCAGGGCCGCCACCAATTTTCAGGAACCTGTTGTCCGAACCTCGCAGAAATCATGTTCGCCGTCGCTAGAGCTGCCCCGCCACCTCCTCCCTTTCAGAGCGTCGAAGCATGAATCAATTCAAGAGCAGGAGACGAGAGAACGATCGTGATCCTGGCTAGGCCAACAAAAGCGGTAATAGATTCGAGGCCATGAACAAATGTGAATGTGTGGGACATGGTCCTCGGATCTTTCCTATGCAAGATGGCTTCTGGCTTCTGGCTTCTAGCACGGCTCGGGTGGCCTGTTACACAGTCTAGCCAGGGTTGTATGGCATAGCACGACATGCCGTAGGGTATATTCAGTAGAATCAATCCTCTCCGCCTGTCTTTTTGTCTGCCCGGTTGGCTATTTCGGGGATTGATCCTGAATCACAGCCTGGGCGTGTACCGAATCTCATACCGGAGGTAGACTGCCACAATAGCATAGCATCTCGTGCAACCAGCATGTGAGAGGCCATATCAAACCTAATATCTGACCGTTGAGGTTCTGATTGCTCTATGCGGGCTTTCTTGACGCCAGAGCGCCGCAAGAGTTCGTCCTGGAACCGCTCCCCTTGGCAGATTGAAACACAAGAGCTGTATACTATGTCTGTGACACTGACATAGGCTCACAGGGGCGATGACAGTCGCCTCTCCATCTTGCATAGCTCCAGGATGATTCACCAGTGCCATGACGCAGGGCTGTCAATATCTGGACCAACAAGCAGATGATACCGCTCAACGGGGTGCAGGCAGTCTCAGCACTGGCGTATTTCCGACTATGTGGTTAGCAGAGTATGTCGCCAGCAAGGTGTGCACGCTTCATCTTCAATCGTTCCCGTCTCCGGAATGCTCTGCCCCAGGATCGACCCGCGGCCTGTGTCCACTTCGTCGCCGACCGGATTGGTAGCTTTCCGAAGTGGTGATGGCCTTCTCGCCGACATAGTGTTGACCATCCCACTCAGTTTTGCAGATAGGGCATGTCTGCGAGCGTTGCATGCGGAAGAAGTTCTGCGTGCAGATATCATGGAGACGACAAGAACATTCGCGGCGTGGACACCGTTGGCCCTTCACGGCGAGTTAGTCAAGCGCAGGAACCCGACCGCGCATATCGATTGTCATGAATCAATCTTACCACTGTAATGATTTCTTTGCACGCATGGCAGAACTTGATCTTGTCGCGCCTCTGGCCATCTTCGTCCTCCTCGTTGTATGTTTCGACCAACCAGCCTTTCAACTCCATCAACGCCCGTGGGCTGAGACTGTAGAAGCCCAGCCGGCTTTTCTCCAGCCAACCTTCGTCCAGCAACTTGTTCAGCATGGCCTCGGCATCCCTAGCACCAAGCATACCGGCGGCGGATGGCTGGGTGGCATTTTCATTCCCATCTTGTGTTTCACGTCGGTTCTGTGCCCGGCCCACCTGGATCGCCTCGATGCCGCTCAGACACATGGCTTCGCGCCGGCCCTTGTTGTTCTGGCCGTCGAACATGGCATCCAGCAGTTTCTTGACATAGATGATCTCGTCCGCGGTGTACGTGGTGGCCAGTTGCGTCAAGGGGTCGCTGGTGGTGTTGACCAGGCCGTACACCCGTTCTCGCGTTTGCTGGTGGAAGGTGCTCCGGATTTCGAGGTCGAGGGGGGACAGTTTCCGGTTGGCCGCGGAGATGTAGTGGTTCAGGTCATCCACCGTGATATCTTGAGCCTGGACCTCGCGCCCGTCTCGGACCGTCGAGATGGCTGCGATGACGGGTTTGGCCGTCTCCAGGGTGAGGACGCTGCGCGCGAGAAATGCCTGCAAGAACGCTCGGTTCGCATCGGTATAGCCCCCCATCGACATCGACACCGGCATCGGGCCCAGGTCAGCCATTTCGTCCACGGCACCAGAGGAGGTGAGAAGTGAAATGAAAATCGCTGGCCCGCAGTTGATGCACTCAACCGTGAACATGAACCACTTTACGCGTGGTTTGTTGACGCGACGGAAACTCACACCCAGTCCATCCGGTCTAGGAAAGACGGTGACGCCGCCCTATACTCCATACTGTCTGTACACGTCCTTTGACTACCTTACCACTTTGCCGACCTGTGTATACAACTACTTGGGTACCTACTTAGAGCCATGTCTCATCTGTATGTGTCTCATGTCTATTTATACCATACACTATGTCCGAGAGGTCCATTAGCAGAGAAGATACTGGCTAACGCTGTCGTCGTTCCGCCACCAACTACAGATTCCGCACCTCCGTCTCGAATTTGACCCCGACTTCTTGGAGGCGGTCGATGTACGCTTGCCCAAGACATGCTGGTGTGTAAATTCCCCCCGTCAACCTCGCGCTGTCATCTTGCAAGAGTGTGCCTGCGGCCTGGGCGAGCAGGGCAGCCGTAACTAGAACGAACGTTGGTGAGTGTTGAATTTCCAACATTGGAGGAATGCCACCGCGGTTGTGATAGTGACTGTGACTTGGACTTACGATAGTACATGCTCCCAGTATATGAAAGCTTGCCGAAGACTTGGTTGCGGGTGTTTGTTTCGTGATCAGGCTCAGCAACTGCTCGGAACTCGATGTACTCCTTCTTGGCCTTTTCGGTGTCCGGCCCATCCCCGGGCTTGAAGACAAGCTTCCTCGCCAGTGCTCGAACGGGGGATAGCAGGAGAAGCAGAGCACCGATGATCAAGCTATAGTGCATCAGGATCCCTGCCACAGGATTTCCGGCCTTCATCAGTTCTCGGTAGCTGAAATTAGGCCCGTAGAACTCTTTCTGCAAGCTCGGCTCCTGCTTGGTTAAGCCCCAGGTGCGAAACACGATTGCCGCATTGGCTTTCCCGGTCGCGCTGGTCGACAGCAGGCCAAGGCCTGGCACCTTGGACAGCCCCGTGACGGACGACCAAAAGGACTGTTTGGGACCGGCATGGTGATTGGCGACCGGGGACAGGGCATACGGCTCGATGGACTGCTTCAGCACGTGGAGAGGAAACTTCTCAAAGAGGTTGAGCACGGTGGCAAATGTCCCTCCAGATGGTATGGAGCTATCGAGGAAACGTTAGCCATGCTTTGCTCATCAATATATCCCGCAGTCCCGCGTAACTTACGGAAGCTCATGCAGGTCCATCACGACCTGGCCTATCTGGGACGAAAGCCTCGAGCGGGCCTCCTCCGCTAGCTTCCAGGTGAGCAGATCTGACGGTGCCGATTCCATGGCGCATTGAGGGAACATGCAAGCACCACTTGCCTTGGCCGCAGCCTCGTATTTCTTGATCATGGTCAACGTCCACGGGACTTCGGGCGTGCAATCCAGGTAATGGGTGCCGGTCTCGGCACAGGCCTTGAATGCATGTTCTCCAAAGAGCGCATAGGGACCGACCGTGGCGATAAGACAGAATGTTTTCCTGGCTAGCGCACCGAGGTCCTCGTCGCTAAGGCTGCAGACTTCGATCTCTGCATAGGACATTAGTCGAGTGCCGTCTGATACAACCTCGGGGTCAGTGCTACCTGGTGGGATGCGATCCGGCGTCAAAGTCTTGCAGTGTGAGACAAGTTGCCCGAGTTTGTCTGCTGACCGACCGGCGATAGCCCATTTCAGATCTGGGGGAAAGCTGGTCGCAATGTGCTCTACTGTCAAGCGACCGGTATATCCTGACATGACGGTAATCAGCGCATGATCATAAGGCATATGTCAAGAAGGTTGACGGCCGTACCTGTCGCTCCAAAGACCACTAGATCATACTTGCGACCATGTTGCTTGAACGGCATCTTCTTTGTCCTTGGGATCGACGGCTAGCAACAGACGCGAGCGGGATACAAGAAGAAGGAAGGGGTGAAGCAAGATATAAGAACAACGAAAAGGTGAAGCAAAAATGTATATATGTGTAACGATCAAGATACATGAATAACGAATATCTTCTTGCTATTCTCCAGACCTCTATTCAGAAGCAAATCCTTGCAACTTGCAGGGCCAGGCTCGTTCTTTTATACCACTCCCACCAAGGGAGTGGGTGCACTGGGCTTCCATAGCCATACTAGAAGTCTTGATCGAATATGAGATTGTGCAATATCAACTGTGCAGTTTCTGTGGTAAAAGCTGTCGAGCACCCCGATTATTTGGTAATCGTGGCCACGGTGAAGATGAAGCGGAACAACTTAATCGTGGATCGGACAGATCGATTGCCCGATTCCCGCTTCCCGCTTTCCTGGAACTCCACTTAGATCTTCCAATTCCTTTTTGAGCTGGCCCAGGCCACCAATAGTGGTGTTCAAGTAGACACGCGCTGGTCACCAGAAGGTAAAGCGTTGGCTTCTTTAGGCGAGAAGACACGCGCTGGTCAAGGTAAAGCGTTGCGAGATGAGATCGATTGTACTACCTTAGTACTAACATGTAGGATACAGTATCCGTGCTCTATACCTAGAACATAGATCTGCCAGCCACGACTTGACTGCACATCCAATTATCGGATTAACCCTAACCCTGAACCTAACCCTAAGTCTGAATTATTGGACCTAACCCTAACCCTAGATCGTGACGCTAGCCGCGCAACGCCGCTAGAAACAAAGCAAAAAAAAACACTGCCACCTCGATTGCTGTACATGTACTCTACTCCGTGCGTACCTACCTTAGGTAGGTAAGGTAGATGATAGGGAATTCAAAAACAAAATGCAACAAATACAAGACCCAAAAAGGCAAAAACAATCAACAGTCAGGATTCCCAAATGGTCACCCACTTCAGTACTAACTGACCGGCATGAGGCTTAAGTACGGCTGAGCGAACGGGAAGCCCTGTATTCCTCATCCTATGGTCGATTGCGGAAGAAATTGTGGTGGGTGTAATATATATCCATAACCAATGAAAGGGAGATACTATAATATATCTGTGTATAGGATGTCACGGTTGACCTAAACCGTTACACCACCACGGTCGACAAAAAGGACGAAGTAACTAAGTCACGAGTGATAGCCACTTAGTGTATATAACCGTCACATAGAGAGAGAGAGAGGAGATACTCATATATCCATATACACATAAAGAGTGGCATTTCTATCCATATATACAGAGAGGAGATACTCGAATCTATTTAATATGTTCATCTGACATCAGCCTTGTTCACGCAGATCTATCCCGCCTGCCCGTTTGCTGGTATTGTTGTTGACGCAGATCTATCCCGCATGCCCGTTTGTTGGTATCGTTGTCGACGCACATCTATCCCGCATGCCCGTTTGCAAGTGCATTGGCTCCCGCCCCGTCCCGACTGGCCAGCACCTCTTCGGTGGTCTGGACGATGGCGTCGAATGCTGCTCTGACGTACTTTTCCTCGGCATTGGGGTTGCCGCTGACGACGCGGATGAACGACTTGCCATCGGAAGTGCTGCAAGTCAGAAAGACCTCGCCGCGTTCGTTGATCAGGTCGCCAATGTGCTTGGACACGGCGTTGGCCTCGGCCTCGGCGTCGGCGGCGCTCTCCAGCCCCAGGAGCGAAGGCTTGACTCGGAAGCAGGTGAGCGCGAAGGCGGGCTCGGTCACCAGCTCGAACAAGTCGGACCGGGAGCGGACGAGGTCGGCAAAGACCTCGCCGATGCGCACGCTGTTCCGGATGTGGTTGCGCATGCCTTCCAGGCCGTAGGTGCGCATGACGAACCAGATCTTCAGGGCGCGGAATCGACGGCCCAGCGGGATCTGCCAGTCCCGGTAGTCGGTGACAAGCCCGCTGTCGGTGTGTTTGTTGGCGTAGTAGGCGGCCGACACGGACAGGGCGCGGGTCAGATGGTTCCGGTTCTGGACAAACAGACATGACGCGTCGAAGTTGACCAGCAGCCACTTGTGCATGTTCATGTTGAACGAGTCAGCCACCTTCATCAGCGGCGAGTATTTGGCCGAGTACTCCGGGCAGATCAGGGCGGCGCCCGCATAGGCCGCGTCGACGTGCACCCACAAGTTGGGGTGGGCGCGCAACACCGGCGCCAGTCCCGCGAAATCGTCCACCGCGCACGTCGACGTCGTGCCCAGGTTCAGCGTGATGTAGTACGGCTCCAGCCCTTCGGCCTGGCACTGGGCGAGAGTCGCTTCGAGCTGGCTGGCCTGCAGGGCCATCTGGTTCTCGAGCTTGGTGGCAATCGACCGGTAGCGGGTGCCGGCGATCAAGGCGCCCTTCTGCGTCGACGAATGCGCCTGGTCAGACGACAGCGCCACCAGCCGGCCGCGCAGATGGGCGATCCGGTCGTCGCGTTCGGTCGAGCCGGGCGCCAGGCCCTCAGCGTCGCACTTTGCGTGCAAGTATCGTTCCCGCGCAGCAACCATGCATGTGACAATGGCTTCGGACGCCGAGCCTTGGATGGTTCCGCCGCCGCCGGAGGCTGACGAGCTCAGGAACTCTTGCGGTAGGCCGAGCGCCTGCGCCAGCCAGTCCATCACCACCGTCTCCAGCTCCGTGCACGCCGGGCTGCAGAGCCAGTTGAACGCGGGCGCGGTGAAGGCGGCCGAGTACAGCTCGCCCAGCATCGACGGATACGTCACTCCGGCCGGGAAGAAGGCCATGAACTTGGGTGACTGCCAGTGTGTGAGGCCCGGCACAATCTTGGACGCGATGTCCGCCTGAATCTCACCCCATGGCTGCGGCTCTTCGGGCGCCGATTGCGGGAGCTGGGGTGCCAGGAATCCCGGCTTCACGCTGGGCAACACCGAGTATTTGGTGATGTCCTGATTGTATGCAATGACTAGCTACGTCAGCTGGGTCGCTCGCTGTGCCTGACAAGCTCATGCTTGAGGCTGTACGTACTTTCTTCGATGGCCGCGTGCGCGGCCTTTCTGAATCCATCCGCGTCCATATCTGTTCTTGTCGATCGGCTCAAACTGCGGGAGAAGATGCAACCAGAGAAGAGTGGGTTTCGCAGTCTACAGGATGATTGTTTGAACATATATACACTTGAACGATCGTCTGCTTCGCGGATTTAACGCTCGCAGATACGGGCAGTGAGCGCGCCACCACTAAAGCCGACAGTCGTAGTCTTACCGATGTGCGCCCTTCGTGTAGAGTGGTCGGCTCTGTTCTCGATGCTTTGCGAGAGAACTCCGCCGCTGAATAAGACATAACATGCGCTGCTGTAAGATTTTAACCTGTATGTTGCGGCTGTGATTGGTCGAGTGGCTAGAGCCTTGCCACAGCAGGGTCGGCTACTCCCTAGTACAAGCAGAAGCCGTACGTAAGCAGCATGCAGGGAAAAGGCTGGAAAGGTATCGATATATTGATTCTATGTGTACAGCGGCCACCTGACAGGTCGTATCCTGTTCACATCGACCAAGAAAATCGGCTGCTCTGCACCGTGCTTTTTATGCCTCATCAAAAACAAAAACCCCCTTGCCCGGCCTGAAGCCTCCCAGGGTGCCTTGCACGGCCTTGCTAAGTGTGTCGACCTCGGTCTTCCACCCCCAGCGGCATTCTTGCACCGGGATGTCCTTGAATTTGCCCTCCCTTGTGAGCCGAAGGACGTCATCAACCGTCTGCTTCTTTTGATCAGGGTGCCGATCACTCCATTTGCTCACCCAGAAGCCATTGAACCTGATGTCCTTGAAGATCAGCAACGAGGCAGGAAGCAATAGAGGCTGTTTGCTCATGGCACCATAGGTGACCAACGCTGCTCCTGGGCTCAGGAACTTGGCAAGGGCAGTTGCATTTTTCCCCCCCACACAATTCAGCCCGACTTTGATCGGTTCTCTTCCGCCCTGTGTCCATTCCTTGATTTGATCCTTGATCCCCCGTCCCGTCAGTTCTTCCTCGGTGATGACCTTGGTGGCACCAAGGTCCAGTAGGTCCTGACGGAGCTTCTGTTCCTCCTCTTTGTTTTCTCGTCCCCGGATGACGTTGATGCTCTTGATGCCCCATTCTCGTGCCAATTGTATGGCGGCCCGACCGACACCGCTATTGGCCCCGTTTTGAATGAACCATTCGTCCCCTCGGAACCCCCACTGGGCGAAGTCTAGGAGCATGCGGTAGGCGGTGCAAGGGTTGACCGACACCGTTCCCACCTGTAACGGAGTCAATCCTTCTTTGTTGTCGATCTTGAGCAACTGGCTTTCATCAACTGCCATGTGTGTCCGCCATGTTCCCATTCCCGTACTCTTCATGATGACCCAGTCCCCTCGTTTCAGGTCCTTGACGCCAGATCCAGTGCTAATGACTTCGGCAACTCCTTCATTGCCAGCGACTGCCGAAGGTTCAGAGGTCCCGAGTGCGATTGTCATTTCAGGTTTTGCAGGATACACGCCTTGGATCTGATTCACGTCTGCGGGGTTGATGGGGGCAACGAGGGTGCGAAGAACGACGCTGGTCCCGGCCGCGGGAGATATAGAGTGGCGGTGCAGAGACAAAACATCTTGAGGCTCCCCATATTTGGAATAGACGAGGGCCTTTGCCTGGGTATAACCATAGCTGCTGATGGTCCGTCTGCTGCCGACGGCATATCTAGATAATCTCTGGCTGTGCAGACATAGCGGTCGACTCTGAGTTATTATGGTGCGCAAGCTTGTCCGAAAGGAAGACTGAAAGCAGGAAGACGAAGCCATGTCAACTGTACACGGTCGAACAAGCGCGGACTTTCACGGCAAGCATATTACTCGGCCGGTGGAAGATGAGATTCGACCAGCATCCGACTTTGCTCGGTTCGGCGACACGAGCTGCGATGTCATAGCTCGGGGGACCTTCCCTTTCTGGCCTGAAACTCGGGCCTCGCAGGGCCTGGCGTCACGTGGTCTCAGCCTTGTCACGTGCACTCTATGTCCCTCCCCGATCATGTCCGGTGTTTCAGATTCGTGGCCTGCAGGTCTTACAGCAAGAGGCGCAGGCCTCCGCTCCTCCAGGAAGAATGGCGCCCCTGGGGTGAAGTTTAGATGAGTCGCGCACTCGATATATCGCGCATATTCCCAGGACACGGCATGAGGGAGTGACAGACGTGAATCTGGAAGACGAAGCCTGCTGCCCCTCTTGTTCATCGCACTCGGTTTCCGACGGCCGACTCTGAGAGTTCTGGCGTCATTAGACGACATCTGTCACGATCGTTGCCCAGCCCTGGATCTTGCTGCGGAAAATGAACGTGGAAGAGTTTCGACATGAACGTCTGAAGCTGCCGGGAAGTTTTATGCGGCTTCTGCAGATCCAAGGTGGGACGAAGAAGGATGGCATCAGTTTGCGTATCACACAATATGCCGTCCACCGACGACCGCCCTACGCTGCCATCTCCTACACCTGGGGCAAGGCCGGGGAGACCCGACAAATCCGAGTTAATGGCCGTCTGTTCCATGTTCGGGTCAACTTATGGAATCTGCTGCTTCACCTGCGACAGCGGGGGGAAAGTCGATTTCTGTGGATTGACGCCTTGTGCATCGACCAGCAGAACCTGGAGGAGCGCAACTTCCACGTCCAGCTGATGGGCAGCATCTACGAGAAGTCCGACAAGGCTATTGTTTGGCTGGGCCTCCCGTCCGAGGACAGACGACAGGCGCGCGTCATGGACTTCATCATCGAAATGGCCGCGTTTCGACGGGAGCACACCTCCATGGCGTTCCAAGAGACGTATCTGGGCAACCGGTCGCCGCAACGATGGACGAATCTGCTCGAACTGTGCAGAGGGACCTACTGGACACGGACCTGGATCATTCAGGAATTCGTCCAGGCAAGCAAGGTCGAAGCGCTTTGCGGTACGGCAAGTCTGGACTGGAACCACTTTGAAGAGGTTGTGCGAGCAGTCCAGGAAGTCTTATCTACCGCGCCGACTCCGTCGCTACCGTCATTTGTGCAGCAGTTCACGCAGACCATTCCGTTCCGACTAACGTCACGCCGCCTATCGCACACCGAGTCCACGCTGGAAGAGCTGCTCGCCGAGTTTTACGATTCCAAGTGCGCAGAACGCCGCGACAAGGTCTACGGCGTGCTGGGCATTGCCGACGACTGCGGCCTCGAACCCGAGACAGGTCTCTTCCGGGGCCCGCAGCCAGATTACGCAAAACACATTCTCGAGGTGTACTTCGAGATCTTCACGTATCTGCGCCCATCCGCTACGCGAGAGAGACTGTCTGTGCAGGCTGCACGCCTGGCTCAAAATGCTCTTGAGATCACCCAGGCCGACGTGGCGACCTACGTGGCCCTTGCGACCAAGGATGGACAGGACACGTCCACTCTCGACACCAGGTTGGTCGAGCTCAGCTGTGCTCTGGTGCCGGATTACGTGAACACCATCGACCTGGTCCTTCCAGGCTGGACAAGCCTGCGCGACCTCCGCCAGCGGCTCGAGCAAGTCGACTGGGCCAAGTACGTGGGCCACCAAGTGAGACGCAAGACGTCGCGGCCGACACCGTTGCAGCGGAAATCAAGCCCTGCGCCGCCTTCTACCGGGGCCAAACAGACAGAATACATCCGCACCCCTTTGCCCACCGACTTGCTCGACAACGTGCTCCACGCCGCCGAGCACAGCGACGACATCCGGCATCTGTACAACTACCCGACATCGCTGGGCTGCCGGGTTCCCGTCGAGCACATTCTTCTCCACCATGAGGACAAGCAGCGGGCGAACAACCCGCAGCTCACGAAGCCGTCGGTCATCATCGAGTCGAATCCCACTCTAGGCGTCGATCCGGTCCGGGTCGGGTTCGCGTGCACCGATGCCCGCGCGGGCGATCTGATCTGCCAGTTCCGCGGCGTCGATGTCACGCTCATTGCCCGCAGGGTGGGCGGTGGTGGCGCTGGCTTGAAGCTGGTTGGCCGTGCTAGGATGGTCACTCATCAGGCCTTGAAGGAAACTCATGCTCATCCTGGATGCAAGGCCGGCCTTGGTCCCGGTGCAGACAAGCAGTGGTCCCGCATCGTCTGCCCACCCGAAGGAGGTCAGCCCAGCAACGGGAATGAAGAGCAGTGGGAGTTGCACACGGATCCAATCAGTCTGTGGGAGGTGCTCGAGGGAGGGTGAATTGGAGCCATTGATCCAGGAGCAACTGACGACTAGCGGTCCTCGAACTAAGAATAGCTACCTCTCAACCTTGGTGCATATCCTCCGTAGATTCAGTCCGCGTAGGGCCAGGCTTCCCTGATTCCCCCCACGTCCACTGCCCAAACGGCTCGTCATACCACACGCTACCAGTCCATGGCGGCCCTAAATAGTCCCGAAAAGGTGATTCCATCCCCAGTGCTGTCTATCCAGCATATTTGGGCAAGCGGACGGATTGGGATGAGGTATCTAGGAGGATATCGAGGAGATACGGTACAGACGGACAGACGGGCCGGCTTGCACCAAGCAAAGCACAACGCCAGGAATATTGAAAATTTGCCTTGTGAAAGGCGAGTGCCAGAGCATGGAGTGTGGGAGACAGACTTTTCCATACCTGCATACTAGGCAGACCGCGGTATGAGTTATTGGATCATATGCATCACAGAATATTCTAAAGCAACGCCTTTCGTCAATCATGAAGGACATTTACAATCTGGGGAGACTCAGGTCAACTTTATAGCGTGACGTCCATGGTGTCGTCCCCGTCATCTCTTGCTTCTTGGTCGACAGCCATATCAGCATCATCCTGGGCGGCGCCGCCCCGATTCCTGCCCGCCACCAGCTCGCGTCGAACCTCCGGCCCGATCTCCCTGTGACCCCTCACGAGCAGCAGGTCCAGCAACGCCTCGCGCTGATCCTCTGTGATTTCATTCCGGTAGGTCTGCGCGAAGACAAGCAGGCTCTGATGCCATAGGACCGGCAGCTTGGCCTCCTTGGAGCCCAAGCCTGCGTCCGTATCGCTGGGATCTTTGGAGGCTCGAAAACGGAGGAAGTGAAACACGAGGGCGTCGACGACCTTGTACGGCAGAGCGTATTTCTTACCCAGGAGGACACGGATGAACATGTTCGCGGCGCCGGCGGCTTCGCTGTTGACGTTCGACGTTTGTTCGGCCGAGATCTCGCACAGTCGCAACAGGGCGGCCGCTGAGTGCAGGACGGGGATCTTGATCTTGGCCAGCACGGACGACACGATGTGTGCTTCACGCAGTGTGCAGCCCGACTGGACCAGCGGGAATAGAAAGCCCTTGAAGAAGGCAGAGGGTCGATAAAAGGTGGCCTTGAGGGCGTTGTACAGATGCACGTTGAGTTTCTTCGTCTCTTGGATGTCGTCCCGGACGCGGTCGAGGAGCACCGTCTCACAGAAATGTTGCCCTGTGGCAGCAGGGGCCGAAATGAAGATTTTCGTCGCTCGATACACTGCGTGGGGAGTCCAATTTTCGGGCCGTGTAATGGACAATAACTCCGGCCATTGTGGGAGGGTCGGAAGTACTTTGAATGGTTTCGGGAGAGGTCCAGACTTGTAGCGAGTGAGAAGCTGGCCAACTTTGGTGAAGGTTTCGACCACTTTCATGGGTAGCTCGACGGCGTCGTCTGGCGGGCCGGATCCCATGAATGCAACTTGTCGTTGGCCCCCGTCATCGCGAGACGCTTCCAGGGCTTCTTTCTCTGCGATCCGACGCAGAATGAGCTCTGTTAGATTCGTGGCATGGCCTGCTTCTTCCTCTTCTTCTACCGGTCCAGAGGAATCTCGTTCAGGCTGTTGATCCGCTGTCGTCAGCTTCGCTATCGAGGGTGTGAAATCGGCCAGCTCCTCCCCGGCCTGGAGAAATTTCTTGTACACTGCCATATCTTCCGGATCCACGTCCTCGTCAACCGCGGTCTCCTCTTCCTCGGGCATCCACTCCTCATCTTCCTCGTTGTATGATTTTCTCACGCCGCCGTCTTCTTCATCGTCATCCTCTGCCACAAATCTCGAATCGAAGCCAAACGCTGCGTTCGGGGACAAGAACGACTGGGCGGCAGCGGCTCTTTGGTCTTCGGCATCGTCGTCTGCAAGGTCCTGTGCAATGGCTAGGATTCTCCGCGACGACCGAGCGTCGATGTATTCGTCGCCTCGAGCATTCTCGTCGGATCTGAACTTTCTCTTCCCAGAGATGGATTTGGTCCGCAGCCGACCACCGGAGGTCGCGATATCGTCCTCGAGAGGGTTGTGCCGTCGTGCAGCGGTGGTTTTAGACATTGTAGTTCCTACCCGTCTTCGCTTTTTTTGCGGTTGTCTGCGACAGCTACGAGTGGCAGGCCCAACATGTAGATTTGAAGAAATGGCCGTGGCTGTCAAAGGACCAAAAAATTATTGGAGTGCGGGCTGCGATGGAATTTTACGCGGGAGGGGCTTAGTCAGCCTCGGTAATTCTTGCCTTTTCATTCTCGACGACATGTCTCCTGTGTTCACGACAAGGCGACTCGATGGCAACCTCAGTGATCCAAAACGACCGGAAGAAGCCTTTTGGGCCTTGGCCATGTCTTCATCAACTGTCCATCTAGCCCGAGTTTGACCCATAAATCCTGCATAGAGGAGGGTTGAACCGTACAGATATCAAAAGGAACGGCTAGGTCTTGAGATGAACACCAAGGATGATTCGGTGGCCATGACTGTCCCCCTGACGGATCCCGGTGTTGAGAAAGAAAAATGGATGCGGCTTGATGAAGATCTAGATAACAACCACGCTTCCCATAGCCGTATGGTTTTGGAGGAGGCTTTTTGTCTCATTCTCGCGGATAACTCGATCGGTCCAGCGACCTTGTCGTGGCCCACGTCGCAACAAGGAGCCATGTACTATTAGAGCGCAAGATTGAAATCAACCAAAGTACGAACCTCTTCCGGCAGGCTCCCCGAAGACTATGACCAAAGGGGCCGACAAGCTGATATGTGTAAATGAATATTGGATTGTATGAATGCCACTGACCCAGAACCAGACATATGACATGGGGTTCCAGCGTACGGACAGGAGAGTTGACATAACACTGCTCATTGTAAAGCAGCCGACAGGCCCCTAAAGCCCCTCGACTCCGCCTTTAGGCGAGCGACTGAGGAGTGATGGTGGTACCAAGCACCAAGGCCGCAGTTGGCTTTTGAACTTGGCTGACAGGAGTTTGTGCGGATGTGCTGGTGGAACCAGCAAGTGATGGCTGCACATGGATGGAGCGAGTAGCTGCTTTGGTCCGCTGTCAGGTCCTGTCAATCACAGCACGCTGTGTCGATGGTCCAGTCGCTGAGCAAAGCCGCCGGCTTGGGTCGCCCATGCTCGTGGGTCAGATGCGAGGTCAATCTGCATCCAGTCAAAGGTCCGGGGCGGTTAAAGTACAGTACCAGGTGAGTACTACAGAGGAGTACTCGGTAGGTGGCAGAGCAGGTGCTAGAGCAGGCTTTAGTTACAGTAAGAGTGGCGGAGGTAATAGAGGGTCTAGGTACCTACTAGGTGCCTAGGACTACTCAGTAGGTACCTAGGGATGGCATCCTCGGCGCGAACCAGATACCAGATAGGCGCCCTCATGGCAGAGGTGTCGCCTACTAGTACCGAGTACCTCCCTGTACCTCCCCTAAGATATACTAAATAGGTAGGCACGTCGCCTCCACTTAGGCACCGATTCAGTACTATTGCACTGAATTTCCCCCCTAAGCCGCCAGTCCTCTCCCAATAGGAGCCAGCCATGCCTCTTGCAGCCTGCATCTGGCGGCCTGCCCCTACCAAATAACATGCCCTACCCAAGACTGCTCCCCTCCCCCCCATGTTCCTCTCCTTTTCCCCTACCGAATCTTCAACCCATGTCCATTTGATGCATGCATGCATGGCAGCTATGTCCCTGTCTCGAGTCTACCTTGCCTAGTCTCGTCAGTCTATCATTCGGTATCGTATATCCGTACTGCACCTGCAATTTGATTGTCGTTTATCTTTTCAATGCCTGCCCTGCCCCTTCCTGTGTCGCAGCGGCCTCCTCCCAGAATATTGAAGTTGTAGATGTGAGCCTGTGCCGGCCTAGGCATCTTCCGTCCCTCCTGCACCAACGCCCCTCGGAGAACCTCCGCCTGCGATCCAAGGCAAGTCACTTGTCTTGTCCCTTCTTCCGCCTCAGCCATCGGTCGCCAGTCCGTCTTCTTCGCAATCCACAACATCCCTGCGCTCCCTCCCCCTTCTCAATCCGGCGCTCCCGTTCTCCTCCGGTCGAATCACCACCCACTGGCACCCTCTCCAACCCCCAACTCCCAAGCCACAAAGGATCTGCTCTATCTTGTCCCTCACACGGTCCGCGATCCTCCCTCGAACCCTCAACACAATCCCCCCCCAGTCGCCCTTTGTCAGGTCCTAGGAATCGTCACACCCCCTGTCCCCAATCGCAGCACCGTCCAGGTCCTCGATCAATCACGCGCCAGATCTTGGTGCCTCGCCGAACGCCTCGGCCTCGTTTACGCTACCTCTCCTTTTCCTTCTGGAACCCGCCCTCAGCCTGGAGCCGTAACCTACTCGCGACACCACCTTCAATAGCTTTCCCACACCTCCCTCCCGTGCCCTCACTTCACGGTGGACATCAGAATATCCGATCCGAGATCAACAAGATCACGTCAACATTCGTGCATCGACCGGGCAACTCTTCGTGGTGCGTCCTCCTTCTCCCGACCACACCTGCGCCGAGCAGCCTCAACTGCCAGCCAGCAAGCCAGCCAGCAAGCCAGCCAGCAAGCCAGCCAGCCAGCCTTGAGCGCAGACCACCCCCGGAAAACGACCTGTACCCTCCCAGGTCCTCCCAATGTGTGGTCAGCTCCACTCACCGTGCGAAATATTGGTGCCTTGCGTGCCTGGGAAATAGGACCTCCGTCCATGCACACCAGAATTCACGAAAATAGTTTTTAAAAGGAGCATCATGAGTACCCTTCTTCAGTCGACCCCGAGAAATCTTTTTAGCCCTCCTGTCGAACCTTCACCCAGACCGAGATCCATGGCTATCCTCCCCCAGAACGACGATACATCGCCCAAATCGACCCAAGAAGATTCGATACAGATAACCTCTCCGGCTCCTCCGAACATGGGTCCTCCTACCCAGGGCAGTCCAGAAGTGGAACAAGGGAGTAACGCGAATGGAAACAAGGACCACACCTCTAGTTTCGCAACCAATGCGCCGTCAGGAGCAGTGGGAGCTTCACAAGGACCCAAAGTTGTACAGACTGCCTTCATTCACAAGCTCTACAGTATGCTGGAGGATCGAACCATCCAGCATCTAATCTCGTGGTCCAACACCAACGAGAGCTTTGTCATGTCCCCCTCAAACGAGTTTTCGAAGGTCCTGGCTCAATATTTCAAGCACACCAACATCTCGTCCTTTGTCCGGCAACTCAACATGTACGGATTTCACAAGGTCAGCGATGTCTTCCACACCGGATCCCCCGAATCCGCCCTGTGGGAGTTCAAACACGGAAACGGCAACTTCAAGAAAGGCGACTTGATGGGGCTGAGAGAGATCAAAAGGCGCGCCTCGCGACACACACTGATCCATCGCGATTCATTCTCCAATGCGAAACCCGGCCTCTCGCAACCAGGAACGCCGGCCGAGGTCGTACCCGATACCGATCAGCGTCTGGCGGGTCTGGAACAAGCATTCTACGATGTCCATGCCCGGTTGCAGAGGACGGAGGAAAACTACGCCTTGATGAGCTCCAGGTATCAGGCGCTGACTGAGAGTTTGGTCCGGTGTCACCAATGGGCGCACAGCGTCACCGGTGCAATTCAGACCATGTCCTCGCCCGAATCTGCCTTGTATGCAGACATCACCAGTATGCAAAAGGAAATTGCGCGACAGCTCGAATTCGTCCGCACCTTGGACATGCCGCAAGACTCGCTGCAAAATGGCCGACAGGCATACTATCCCAGCAGCGCCGCCCTGGAGCCCCCTCTTTCTCCACGTGGATACAACTATCCTGACAGCCGAAGATCGTCTGTGCAGATTGAACCCCAACATGTGGGATTGCGGCCCCCAGTACCCCCTATTCCACCTCATTTTTCCTCGTCGCCACGACGTTATGGCTCGATGAGCATCCCTCATACTTCCCCGGGCTTCAGTCGTCCTGCACTCCCCCCGCATCTACCACAGAACGCACATCCTCTGTCGTCGGTAGCGACCCCGCCTCCGCTGAATCTTGCCCGACGACACACGTCGGCTGATATTCGAGAGCATGGCTGGCCACCGGCCAACGCAAATGGGTCTCCGCATGCTTCAGGGCACTCGTCTGTGCATTGGCAGCCGTCATCGCCGCAGCAGGCACCTCAGGCGACTGGGGATCAGGCGATTCGAGACCAACTAGCTCAGTACGAGATCAACGGTCCCAGACGACAGACCATCACGGCCAATCAACCGACGCCTCCACTCATTTCCGAAACCCCTCCAGCCGGACTTGGGGTGGAGAATGTTTCCTGGACGTTGGGTGGGAGTAAGTTTCCTCGGCCGAACTTTGAATTGCATTCTGCGCCCGCCACGCGCAGGGGAAGCATGGCGACATTGCATTCGCTGCTAAACCCTGCCGATACGGCGGAAGAAGAACATGAAGACGAAGGTCTTAATGAGGACCGCAAACGGAAACGAATGCAATGAACCTTTGCCATATAACAAGAAACAATTGAGTAGATAATGAGACCAAAAAGCAGGCGTCGGATGACTTCTTCAGCATGAATCTGGAGGCGGCTACTTCTGCGACAGGCCTGTGTAATTACACCTCGTGACAGTCGAGAAAATTATTGGACAATGCACGACGAGGACTGGCGTATTCCGTTGGGAGGTTCTTTTGGTTGTGAAGAGACGTGATCCAACTCGGTCAAAGAGGGACAAACCTGCACAGTCGCATCGAGATACCTTGTGTATATTTTGCATAGCCCGCAGCTTTGGCTCTGCTGTTGCCCGACAAAGGGATCAGGAACAGCTGCATTGTCCATATCTCCTCACCCCATAAGTGCGCATGCCTCGCTGCTCAATCCTGTCAGATCCTCAGCCATGGCAGCCGGGGCTGGCTTGTTTAGGGGTGTTTTGCTATCTTTTTCTTTTTCTTAGCAGCCCTCGATGCCAGCACCTCGTCCAGATAACTTGAACCACGCTTTTTAGCCGTCCGAGATGGAATAGGCGAAGCCACAGTCAGTGCAGGACTAGTCGTCCCATCTGCCGCTGGAGTGGCAGTCTCGGACATCGGGTGCACGGACTCATCGTTCACCGAGGAGGACGCCGTCTGACCTTTGCCCTTGCTTCTGACCTTACCGAGTCCTGACCGACCTTCTTCCTCATCTTCGCTATCAATGCGCTTAGAAGACAAGGCTTGCGGTCCAGGTCGCGGCCGGGGTTTCGCCGTGACATGAGAATTGTTGTGTCCGCGGAGTAATTGCTTGCGCAGGAACGCAGTAGTTTGATCGGAATTGCGAGACGAGGTGGTCGCATTAGTAGCCGGTGTTTCTTGGAACCCTACTCCGCCACTACAACGGACAAAGTCAGCGCAGTCATACAAGAAACCCACCGCACCGCACCACAACAACACAACACAACACACACTCCGGGATGATGGAGTCAGAGGGAGATGTCACCCACTTCTCAGAGTGCGGAACCGCGGTGGGGCCAAACAGTTCTTGTTCTTTCTGTAAGGCATCGTCCTCGTCGGCTTTGTTATCATCGTTGTGGTTGTCGTCACCGCCGCCACCAAAGGCACCGCTTAGCCATGATTTTGCGAGTTTTGCAGCCTCTGCATGCAGAAGAAGAGCTTCATTGGCAGCGACATCAGCCTCCTGGGCTTGGCTCTTCGCCGACTTGGGGCCCACGACCATCCCGCTACATCTCCAGCAACTGAGCAATAGCACGATGAGTGGCGGTGTGGTGCGCAGCAATGCAGTGCAGTCGCCATGGTCCGCGCCATAAATTTAGAGGGGCTGAAATGGAAGGTTTTCCGATATTTACATAACAGCACCAAGCCGCCTCCTACAACGGATGCGTTGAAGTGATATTCTATCCAATCCTACGGAGTACTCGTAAAGACTGTCTCATGATCGTTTTCTTTTGAATTGTGACTGTCATATCATACATGCAGCCTCAGATATGAAACCTGGCCTCCTCTTCTACTCCACGTAGGCGGCATAGACCGACTGTTATCAAAACAAGGAAATATTGGGTCATGGTCAGGATTGAGACGTAGGCTCATCAGCGTCTAGCAAGAACGATAAGAAGGCTTGAAGTATACACAGTATCTCCGTAACACGGACTTTGCATAGGAGGAGCAGAGCCGAGCATTCCGGTTTCAAGTTCTGTGAATCAGTACGAAGTACCTGTCGCCTAAAGGCGGTTGGTCCTAGCTTTGTTGCAGTAGGAGGACATGTAGAAGGACCACGGCTCGCCGGGACTGTCGACTGTCGTGGCCAGCGTAATGTCAACTCTCAGCCCAATAGTGAAATCGTAGAGGAGAGACAATCGGAGAGGTCGTGAGCAGCGTCTCTAGAGCGGCAGGGTCGGAGGACGCCAAGAACCTCGGCCGGCTGAACTTGCTGCTTGCTGCTTGCTTGCTGGCGAGTTGACGATACAAGCTGCGCCGTATCTTTTGTCTGGTCTCGTTCCAGTCTTCCCACCTGTCCACGACCGCATCCTGCATCAATTCGTGGACAAGATGTTCAAACTGGGTCGCTCCAGCTTGGCCCCGGCCTTAAAGGCCTTCAGGGTATGTTGAACAGCCCGCCCCTGACGGATTGATCCTGACTGCACCTGACAGGATACCCCCATGCGGAGCTCAATCCAACAACGGAGGAACTTGAGCATTCACGAATACCTCTCTGCGAGACTATTGAAATCTGTACGACCGCGTCCGAGCATCAAACCTTCCCTGACCCTAAACCACGGCTCTAACCGGTAGCAGTACGGTATCGGCGTCCCCAATGGCGAGGTTGCCAAAACACCTGAAGAGGCGGAGGCCGTCGCGAAGCAGATTGGTAAATACGCACCTCCCACGCTCGGGGATCCTTCTAACGGTCTCAGGCGGCGATGACATGGTTATCAAAGCCCAGGTACTCGCCGGTGGCCGCGGTAAGGGCACATTTGACAACGGCTTGAAGGGCGGTGTCAGAGTCATTTACTCGTAGGTCGATCAAGGCTCCAGAGGCGACGGATGGCTTCTAACTTGGATGCAGGCCCACGGAAGCAAAGATGTTTGCCGAACAGATGATCGGCCATAAGCTGGTCACCAAACAAACCGGCGCCCGGGGCCGTGCCTGCAACTCCGTATACATCTGCGAACGGAAATTTGCACGACGCGAGTTCTACTTGGCCGTCCTCATGGATCGAGCCACCCAGTCTCCCGTCATTGTCGCTTCGTCGCAGGGTGGTATGGACATTGAGACGGTGGCCAAAGAAACTCCCGATGCCATCATCACCACGCCCATTGACATCAACGTCGGGGTCACCGATGAGATTGGCCGAAACATCGCAACTGAACTCGGCTTCAGCGAACAGTGCATCGAAGACGCCAAAAATACTATCCAGAAGCTGTACCAGGTCTTCATGGAGAAGGATGCCACGCAGATCGAAATCAACCCTCTCAGCGAAACCAGCGATCATCAAGTTCTGTGCATGGACGCCAAACTCAACTTCGACGACAACGCCGAGTTCCGCCAAAAGGAGATTTTCAGCTGGAGAGACACTTCCCAAGAAGATGCGGACGAAGTCCAGGCTGCACAGTACGCTCTTTCGCCCCTATGCCTGACCCAACCGGCGCTAACCAGGTTTCTAGGCACGGTCTTAACTTTATCAAGCTCGACGGTGATATTGGATGCCTGGTCAACGGTGCTGGTCTCGCCATGGCCACCATGGACATTATCAAGCTGAACGGTGGCACGCCCGCCAACTTCTTGGATGTTGGTGGCGGTGCCACTCCTGAAGCCATTCGGTCGGCATTCGAGTTGATCACCAACGACCCCAAGGTCACGGCGATCTTTGTCAATATTTTCGGCGGTATTGTCAGATGTGATGCCATTGCGCAAGGATTGATCCACGTGGTTCACGAGATGAACTTGAGACTCCCCATTGTGTGTCGATTACAAGGGACCAACATGGAAAAGGCGGCTGAGCTGGTAAGTGGCGACTGTTTCGGGGCTTCCTGGCAGAGACTGATGCTATCTTCCCAACAGGTCAACAACTCTGGACTCAAGATCTTCTCCATTACCGATCTGCAGGACGCGGCCGCCAAGGCGGTGGACTTTTCCAAGATTGTCAAGATGGCCCGGGATATTGATGTCGGAGTCGAGTTTTCTCTTGGTATCTGAGCCCCCAACTGGCATGCGGTCGATGGTTGATAGTCACGCAGGGTCACGTCCCTAGCACCTTCTTGTACTCGGCATGCGGCAGAGGTTCCAACATGACCGGCTCGCATCTGAATTTTAATTCGACACTGATGAATTAGTACCGTCGAGTTGAGGGATCTTGACTCTTTCCGTCTTGTGCTGTTTGTTCTTTGCACGATACGGCTCTGTTTGGGTTACAGTCAATTGAAAGCCGAGTAGCTGTACATGTAGTACGAGGATCTACGGTCGAGGACCTGCCGTAACCTGCATCTCCGTCATCTACTGTACCGTTCACGCAGTGTATTATGTACAGTGTTGGTGTACCACTGACTGCTGCCGTTCTTGTTCTTCCCATGATGCCACGAAGAATGCAGACGCAGATGCTGTAGACTTGATTACAGTGGGAGATGCTAAATGATAAATGCCAGATGCCAGATGCTAGATGTTAGGTAGGATGGCTCGATGCCATGCCTGAGGCTGCGGCCTAAAGCAGCCGGCGTTCCCGCCTCAAAAGAAAGGGTTACTATTCCATACAGCAGCACCTGTCAACTCGGCTCATGCACGAGCGACTACAGCAGCAAAAATAGATTGGACCCAGACAGTAGATAGCAACACATCTCAACTCGAAGCCTGCAGGCACCAGCGACCACAGCAGCAAAAAAGAACTGGGACAGCCCAGCAAAAACAAATTGGACACACGGGGATTTGAACCCCGGACCTTTCACAGGCACATTTCAGTAATTAATGCGAAGCGAAAATCATACCCCTAGACCATGTGCCCGATGCAATCTGGCTGCCACCAAATGATGTTGACCTGAGAAAATTTGCGACCACAAATTTGCTTGATTTGTGGCGTTTATAATATATAATCTTTATTCAAAAGGCCCCTGTGAAATCTTTGTGATAGGTGGGGATATATGGGAACATGCATGCCCAAGGTAGGTAGGTACCCGTCTTCTCTATTCTCTACGGCTCTTACCGCTCGCTCATTCCCTAACTTTTCATATTCTCTATGTCTCTCACCGCTCGTTCATTCTCCCACTTTTATTACTGTATTCTTACTTCTACAATCACTTGTGAGGCTCGCGCTCGCTGTTCTCTACGCAGATAGTGTCAATTAATATTTATTTCTCCTCTCCCGCGAGTTATCATCCATCCTCAGGGTCTAATTCTAACTTTAAGCCTGGAGTGCCAGAGTATCCGAGGATAAACTATAAACTATGAACCTTGGTTTTTCGCGGAGGAGCAACCCGGTTGTCAACGCATCGTCACTGACCATCGAAAACCGTAGGTTTTTTAGGGTTCGGAACTCACGCCAACTTCAAGCCCATCACACCAGTCCAGATTTAGGATAATACACAAGACTGGGGACTACTACTATTACTTATTACTCCGTACCACTACTCTTCCGTCGTTTGAGACCTTGGCGGCGAGAAAGAACGATCGAAACCTAGAACAAGTATATATATATCGCACGTTGAGGGGTATGCGGTGGTAGTGGTAATAGTACTGGAAGTCGCTGCTTCAATCCAGGCGTTAGATCTGCTTCAGGAATCATGCCACAGTACCAGCACACTCTCCGTGACAGATCACAAATACCAAAGAAACCCCTTTGTCTTCGCCACACGTTCAGGATTCCATCGGGGTGGGATCTCAGATTTCAACAAGGTTTCCTGGAAGCTTGTGAGTGGATGAGAATAAAAGATCCCGCCATTCGCGGATCTGACGGGCATGGGCGTGGAGGAGCCTTAGCCGGGAGATCGCTTGGGATTTATTACGCTCAGACCCACGACGGAAACACGGCATCGGCAGCATCACCGGGATTTCGTGTTCCTGAACTCTGACGACGTTTACTCTGTATCTACCACCATGTACAGAGTACGGATACACGGAGGACTGCGCGAGTACTGATATCAATAGGACTATCTACTATTGTAGGCGAACTCCCATCCAGTCTTTCTGGATAGCCGTTCGACTTGGGCGGGGCAACGACCTTGGACATTGCCTATTGCTATTACTTGGACATCCATCTACAGTACCACACTTTTCTTCTCTCTCGGCGCCTGGCAGACGCTCATCACTCTCGCAAATCGGGCATCACTCATCACTCGTTCTTCATATTCTTCCCGACTCCACCCCGGCTCTCTACTTTGGTCATCCTGCTTCCCGAGCTCATGCCATGGCTGGTGACAAGAACAACAACAACAACAACTGTGGCAGAGCGTGCGGCAAGACCCCGCTGAATTATTGCACGAGGACCGTCTGACACTCAGCTCGGTACAGGAGTCAAAGTATCTAAGGACTAAACATGTCCTCTGAGCCACGGCAGCCTCAGCTTCAACTAGGCGATCCTCAACACGGTGGGCCTCATCTCCGACGGACTCAGACTGAGACCGCAACCCATCACTACCCCGGTGATAGTGATGGATGCGAGGACCCGGGCGTGCGGAGTTCGATCAGTGGTAGCAATGAACAAGGCTGGCGCAGATCCGGGGCCGACTCCCATCAACCCGTGCCCAAGCCGCCCCGGGGCATTGGCCTTGTTCGCGATCATCGTGAATCCGCGAGAAGACGGAACCCAGAGCAGGCACCACGACCAACTGGGTCCGAGGAGAAAGTCGAATTGAAACGGCGTTCGCCAGGGCAAGGGACCAGTCCTGAGAAAGACGTTGAAGAGGAGAAAGAGATCCCCAAACAGCTCTCGGTCCGACAGCGTCTGAAACACGTCACCTGGGCATGGTTTACTCTAACCATGGCTACGGGAGGCATTGCCAATGTGCTTCATCACGGTGAGCATGCGACCTTTCTTCCCTTCATTCTTGTTGTTGGCCAGGAGAAAAAAGGAGGAATGAGAAATGAGAACTGGTTGGCGATGGAATGAAATGAATGACCGAGGTTATGTTTGGATTGCATATGGTATACTGACATTTCACCCTCGCCGTGTCTAGTCCCCTACCGATTCCCCGGCCTGTACGCAATCGGGGCCATCTTCTTCCTGCTCAACATCGTCTTCTACGTGGTGCTCTGGGCCATGATGATCACGCGCTTCACGCTGTACCCCTGGACATTCCGGGCCAGTCTGACGCATCCGACCGAGTCGCTGTTCGTGCCAGCGTTCGCCGTGTCGTTCGGCACCATCTTGATCAACATAGTCGAATACGGGTTTGGACGGGTGGGGGAATGGCTGAGCCACGCGGTGCTGGTGCTGTTCTGGCTCGACGCCGCGGTGGCCGTGGTGCTGAGCATTGCCATCTACCTGATCCTGTGGTCGACGCTGACCTTCACGATCGCGCGCATGACGCCGATCTGGATCTTCCCGGCGTACCCGCTCCTGATCATCGGCCCGCACGCGGCCAACCTGTCGGCGCAGGCGCTGACGCCACACCAGGCGATCCGCGTCATCGTCGGCGGCTTCACCATCCAGGGCATCGGGTTTCTGGTCTCGCTGACCATCTACTCGGCCTTTGTGTATCGGCTGATGACCCAGAAGCTGCCGGCCGAGCCTCTCCGGCCGGGCATGTTCGTGTCGGTCGGCCCGTCGGCCTTCACCGTCAGCGGCACCATCGGCATGGCCAAGAACCTCCCCAACGTCATCGCCGCCACGCCCGGCGCCACCTTCATGGCCGTCCCGGGCACGCTGGCCGCGCAGATCCTGCGGCTCGTCGCCACGTGGATGTCGCTCTGGCTGTGGGGGCTGGCCTGGTGGTTCTTTTTCGTCAGCCTCGTCTCCAATATCGACTGTCTGCGCGACGAGCACCGCATGCCCTTCTCCATGACCTGGTTCAGTTTCGTCTTTCCGCAGACCGCCCTGACCACCGCCACCTTCGCCGTCGCCGAGGCCTTGGATGTCGACGCCATCCGCATCATCGGCTGCGTCATGACCTGTCTGTTGGTCGTCGTGTGGTTTGCCGTCGTGGCCTTCATGGGCCGCGCCGTGCTTCAGAAACAGATCCTCTGGCCGGAAAGGGGTGAGGACAAGACCGAGGGCGGCTTCCATGCTAGGCAGGAGGATGCTTTTTTTGTGTCAGCCGCTGTGGCGAGGGCCGAGGGCTTTGCGGGAGCCAGGGCTGTTGCCGAAGAGAGGGACTTTGACGCCGCCGAGAAGAATGTCTGACATGAGACCACACCGCCTATACCAACAGCCTGTTTGAGCGCCTATGTCTTTGTTGGAGATTGCATCCGTACTTGTACTCCGTATATTGTACATACTATAGCACCGTGTGATGCCATTGATCCCACACTCCAGACTGTAGTCGGTCACTGTAGTCTGCATCTATCGATAGCGTCTATACTCGAGAGCATGTCGAACTTGCGGAATTCCCGCTGTGGTTCGAGATTAACTAGTCGCACGTCCCCCAAAACCTATCTACAAAGACCCCTAGTCCTTTGAGGCTGCGAGCCTTGCGGGCTTCGGGCACCTCGCGGAGTCGGAGAAATTATTTTCCGGGTGCAGTCCTACTCCGAGTCCATGAAATTTATATTTGTCTGGACACCAGAGTTGATCAATTACTCGACAACTCGACATTGGGCACCGTGACTACGACGCAGTTCTCTTTCCGCAAATGTAGGCTATGTGCCAGCTATCCATATAAGACCCTGCTTTCTCCACCTCTTCCTGATCACACACTCACGATCAAATGCCGCCCTCGCCCTCACCATCCAAGTCTTTGGCTACTGCCCTCCAAACCTCACTTGTCCTGTGCGAGCGGTTCGCGTCGTCACTAGCACCAAACGCCTCGGTCGACATTCCTCCCTCGGAATCTAACCCTGATGCACCCTCCTCCCTGAGTCTTTTAAATGCCGCCGCGACGTCGTTGAGGTCCCAGGCCACCAAGTTGTCTCTCCTGTCTATCACGGCGCCGTTCACCCCGAGCGCGGTAGCGACATGTCTCGCCCCGTTAAACGAATCCATCCTCACGTCCCTGGTCACGGCAGCTCTCCTCACGACCCCGGAGCAATTCACTCCCTCCTTTGCGGCAGAATGTCGGTCAATCGCAGCCGCCGCGCTGCGGGACACGGAGAGCGTGCTGCGGCTGTTGGAGAAACGAAGTCAAAAAACAAACCCCAAAGCAGAGGTCACCGAGTTGGAGAAGAAGGCATTTACAGAAGCTACAGGACGGGTATGGGACGACTGCGACAAGCTGACTGCCTTGGCGGACGGCGGTGTCCCTGGATACGTAGTCCACAAGTCCCAACAGTGGCTCGAGCTGATGAAAGACGCGGTCAAGGAGTTGGAGGACTGGGATCCCGAGGAAGATATTGATGACGAGGATCTTTTTGGCGAGAGCCTTAGTGACGACGAGGACGACGAGGACGACAACGATAACGACACGGACAAGGACGACCACAAGCACGGGAATCCCCAGAACAATGGCCGTGCTGCCATCTCCGCCGGGGTCAAGGAACAGGCGCTCAAGGTCCTGAACCGCATCCCGCAAAGCATTCACGTGGTCATCAAGCAGCGACTAGAAAAGATGGTCGGGTCGACGACAGCCATCGATAAAGACCAAATCACTCGACTGGACACCCTGCTCACACATCACCGCCACATCTCGGAACTGATGGACGAATCTGCCGAAGGCATGTATCTGGGAGACCTCGAACTGTGCCTCAAAAAGGCGGGAGAAGCCCGTGCTCTCACCGTCCAAGTGGTGGAAGCCGTCATCCGGCCTTTTACGCCACCAGACCGCGGCGGCACGGATGTCGAGACAAAGGAAGCTCAGTATATCAAGCGAGCGTTGCAATGGATTCAACAAGTCGACCCGGGCGGGGTTTCACGGCCGACTGCGTCCGAGTCTAGCGCAACAAAAGTGCATGAATGATTCCGTCGGCTGGGTTTACACATTACACATTAGACATAGATCCCGCTCTCCGCTTGGGGATCCGATCACCATCAGCTATAAGCCAGCTTCAGAGACTCAAGTTGCTCCGTGGAGCCGCCAACTGATATCAGAGGCTCATTGTCAGCCGTAAGGGCGGTTTATCACTCGATTGACACAACCAATGACAATGGCAGTTGAAACCATCCAAAAACATTTCATTGCATTGCGGCATTGGCATTGCGGCATTGCGGCATTGCGGCATTGCTTCTGGCTTCTTCTTCTTTTCTTCTTCTCTTCTTGCCGCCTCGTCTGTAGACAGCACATCACATGCCCTTTGAGCGGATAGAATGTGAATGGAAGAGACGCATCTTGAGCGAATAGAATGTGAATGTAAGAGCCACGTCTTGAGCGGATGAGTTGTGAATGGAAGAGACACTTCTTGAGCGGATAGAACATGAATCGAAGAGACACTTCTTGAGCGGATGAGACGTGAATGGAAGAGACACTTCTTGATTCTGCATATCGTGCAACAACTAAAACATAACATCTTCCCATCTTCCCAGCATTGCAGACTTCTGACTTCTGACTTCTGACTTCTGACTATATCCTTGCTCGCACCGATATCCCAAGCTCTGCTCTAGACTGGCCTGATGCTACCACGCATAAAGTGAATTGAATCGGTCAGACGGCTATGACCTGATGTTACCACGCATCATTGGATTGAATCAATCAGACGGCCAGCCCAGCCCAGTCATCGCTGGCAGGAGCAACAATCCACCGACTGAGCCCTCCGATCACGATAATCACAATCACAGTCACAGTCACAGTCACAGTCACAGTCACAGTCACAGTCACAGTCACAGTCACAGTCACAGTCACCACCTGTCCCCCTCCGCCGAACAGTCACCACCTGTCTTTCCACACCCGCCGAATTGTTCTGTTCGGCGACGAGGCAGAGACGACAAGGCAAACCTACACCACCCGGCGAGTGCGGCCGTTTTTGTTCTGTTTGGCGACCAGGCAAACCTACACCACTCGACGAGTACGCCCCGTTTCAACCTCATAGATCCAGCCGCTGATGGTCACGCTGTCCGGCACGAGCTTGGTGTCTTGCAAATACTTGATGTCGACCTTGATGGCCTGTTCGAGGTCGGAGAAGGGAAGGAAATCGACGTTTCGGGACTTGAGTTCGGCTGTGGCTTCGGGACTGGGGAATGAAGGTGGAGGTTAGCTGGGTTGATTTAGTGTGGAAAGGGGGTGAAGATCAGCTGGTAGTATGGAAATGGGGGTGAAGATCAGCTAGTTTAGCAATGAATGACTGAATGAACGAATGAAGAATAGATCGATTGTGGCCAGATGTTTGCTTCGTGACACCGTCTCCTTGCACGTAGAGGTAGAGTAGACGTAAACGTAGTAAGGAGGTAAAGGAAGAGGTAGAGGTAGGCGTAGAGGTAAAGGTAGACGTAGACGTGAAGGTAGACGTAGACGTAAAGGTAGACGTAGACGTAGAGGCAGTGAAGGAAGATACAAGGTAGAGAAACCTACCCAAGATTCTTATCCACCAATCCATAAGCATCGTCATTCGTAAACGTCAACATGCCACAGCCGGTATGCTTGACCAGCACGATCTCCTGCGTGCCGAGAAGTTGTTCGGAAATTACAATGCTGCGCAGTGCGTCGCGAGTCGACGCGCCAGCCTGTTGGAGTGAGTGAGAGTTAGTATAGTTCTAGTTCGAGTTCGAGTTCGAGTCTTGAGCTGGCCTTGAATGATGGGGATTAGGTCGTGGTGATGAGTGTAAGTATGTATGTAAATGTGAGTGTGAGTGTGAGTATGTAAGTATGATGTATGATGTGTAGGTATGGGTCTCTCTCTCTCTCTCTCTCTCTCTCTCTCTCTCTCTCTCTCTCTCCGTCTCCGTCAATATTATTTGGTCTATAGTATCTCACATTTCGAATGACATGGGCATCACCCAACTCGATGCCAAAAGCCTTGGCCGGATCGATCCGTGCATCCATGCACGTCAGCACGAGATATTTCTTGGCCGGTGGAAGGGCGAGGTGGCCTTTGGTGAAGGAGGCCGAGTGGGTTTCGGAAGCGGCTTGGACGTTTTTCTGGATGGGAGAGGGAGAGGCGGACATTTTAGTGGTTGATGGGTTGGTTGTTGATGGGTTGGTGGTTTGATGGGTTTCTTCCTTTGCAATTAGCTGTCTTGACTTCCTTGACCTTGTGCAGAGAGATAGAGGTAGATACCTTTCGTATACCTTTGGTTGGAACGAAGTATGGCAATGTATGGCAATGTAGAATGAGGAGGGGTAAGGCAATATGGTGCTGGGCAATAGTGTAGGGCAGTGTAATGTAAGGCAGTGTAGACAGTGTAGACGAAGAGGGGCATCACTCGTATTTATATCACTGGACAGCAGCTGGATGGTGATGCCATAATCCTGGTTCTGGTTCTGTCTGTGTCTTGCGTATTGTCCAATGCCCAGACGGCTTAGGCCCAAGTCCCTTGAACCCCGACGATCTCATACACTGGACGCTGGCAACCCTCGATGGCGTGCTTTTTACCTTTCTGACCTGTAGCTGTGCCTGTGCCTATGCCTGTGTCCGCCGAATCACATCCATCGCATCGGCGACGCCGCGAGGCTTGGCTTGGCTTGCTGTGATGAGTGTGTCTTGAAACACCGTCACCGTCACCGTCACAGTCGCTGTTACTATACGGAGTAATCGATTCAATTCGGCATTCCTGGGGGAGACGGGAGACGGAATGTGGAGATGGGATGTTCTCAGACGAGCGAATCGCTGTCGTCGGCTTGGGGCTCGGTTGGGAGAGAGCAATATCAAGAAGCAATACTAAACTTGGACGCCGTGAACTAAAGTGATAGTAGAACCTAGGACGCTATACTAGGAAGTGATACCTAAGATAGCGGTGAGAGGTGAGAAGTGTAAAGTAAGAAGTGAGAGGTGAGATATAAGATATGAGACAAGTCGGAGGGTTACGAGGGGTATCTAGCCTTGACCTTCACCTTGATCCTAACCCTAACCCTAACCCTGACCCTGACCGTGACACTAGCACCGCGCACCGCACTTGTTGTAGAGCATAGATGGATTAATATCCATGCCACTGCCAGGTGTAATGTATGTGTATGCAGATGTGTGCGGATATGGATGTACTGTACGGAGTACAAACCCCCATATACGATCATGTAATGAATGTCTGTCGGCAGTAGTGCCACACTGCCCATAAACACCATCACAGGCACCTACCTACCTTGCAGTAAGAGTTGGGGATACGGATACGATACAGTAAGTGATGCGGATAGGAATACGATGTAGTAAGTATCTTAGTGCCGTGTGCTGCATTATCACCAACACCATCACTATCACCATCACCGTTTCACTTGTCCCGTATATTCCGACATCACGGTTTCGATTTCGGTTTCGGTTTCGGTTTCGGCTCCTCCGGCCTGATATCAACACAACACAATGGAACTGACACTGCACTAGGTAATAGGTATAGAGTACGAATACAGGGTCCGCGGTAGGGGTACGGGATAGGGGTACGGGAGGTATGTATGGTACGGAGTTGGGGGTACGGGGCAATGTACGGGGTATGTGCTATATACTTACCACAGTACTCCGTACTCGTACGGATACTCCGTATCCGTATCCGTACACTTTACACTATAGTATAGTATTGCAGATCATAGCCTAAGGCCTAAACTAAAGCTCTCCACCTCGGCCACCCCGCGAAACCGAGCAAGGTTGAAATGTTTCATGTTCGCTATCAAAGGGGTATGGGGAGAGCCCAGACTATCTCGACCAAAGTCTCGTCAGGACCGAATTGCTACAGCATGGCGCATGTCAAGCTGGTGATCGACGTCCTTCTCACCCACCACGGCTTGGACTTCGAGCCCACCACTGTCCCGATGCCGTGGAAACAAGTCCCGCCAAGGGAAGGAAAGCTGTGCTTCGGCTTGATCATCACAGACGGCTGTGTCGACCCTCAGCCGCCTATTGCCCGGTCGTCATAGGAGACGGCGGAGAAATTGCGCAGAGCGGGTCACGAAGGTATGGTATGGTTCTCGGTGCCAGTACGGAGTATAGCTCTGGATTTGATAATGTGATTTTCCGTGTCAGTATAGCTCCGGATCTGATAATGCCATCTCCTTGACTCTGACACTGATATTGTATCGACACAACAGTGGTTGAATGTCAACCGCCCTTGGATTGCTGGGAGGTGGCCCAGCCACGGTCGGTTGTACCATTTAACCGTTGTTAGCTTTCCGGTCTGGTGGGGATACTTCAGCTTGTGGAATCTTCTCAACTACCCCAACCCCGGCGTGGTCCTTCCTTTGAAGGAGATGGGCGTCGATGTAGTCAAAGACGCCAAAGACGCCAAGTTCACACCGAGGGAGAATGTGTTCGACAAGATGCGAAATACAGGCCGAGGAATGTGTTTGACATGATGAATTGGGAAATTTGTGAGCTCTTTCATAATTTGTGAGCTCTTTCTTCTCCCCGAATCCCAGCTCTTGCAGAGTAGCTGATAACAGGACCAAACAGATGACCCCGAGCAGCTGATACCAAGACCGAACAGATTACCCCGAGCTGTGGAAGAACCAGCCCCTTACGGTGCAGGTCGTAAGGCCGCAGTTTAGCGATAAGGAACTCATCGCCGTGGCAGAATGCATTGACCAGGTTGCAATGGTCAAGGGGAGCCGGTGCACAAGCCGCTCGCGGCAGACTCTTCCTGTTCATCTGGACAGGGTTGGTTGCCTAGGATATTGTGGAAGATCGGGGGAAGTCCACGCCCGGTGCAACGTAGAAGTATCGATATCTCAGAGTGCGATTGTATCAGATCAGGACTCGGCCATAAGTGTTGGAGAGCATCAAAGTTGACAATGACACTGACAGGTGGGTATGCCATGATATGTAAATCCACCGTCATAGGTAGGTATACCATGATAGGCAAGAATTGCCAGGGTGGTGGATGATGTTGGATGTGTTGTATACTCCCTTTCCCTGGCTTTCAAGAGAGGAGGCAATCCTGCCCGTCAAGCGAGGCGATACTGCCCTTCAACCGAGGTGATCCTGCCCACAAAGACATGACTTCCACCCTATATTATGTTTCCGGGTTCGTCCAGGAGTCCAGCCAGATGTCCGCCTCGTCCAACTGGTAGGGCGAGGGATAACGCAGTATTTCTTCCCAGTTGAGATCCTGCAATGCATCGATGTTGAAGCTCTCGCGCCGAGGGGGAGAATGGTGTTGGGTCTCGACCAAGGCCTTGAAGTTCTCGACCAGGTGGCTGAACAGCCTCAAGACGCCCTCGGCATTCGGCCAACTTTCCGAGAGCGCGGTGGCGATGGGGAACAGCCGCTCCAGGTCACGGATCAGATTCAGGGCCACCAACGTGGACCGCTGACGGAGCGAATGCTGGATCTCTTTCGAGAGCTGAATCGCGGAGGCGGTCAAGGCCATGACGCTGGTCGAGGAGCATCGATCCATGACTTTGGTGGCCATCATGGTTTCGAAAATGGCCAGGATGGCTCGGCCCGCGCCGTTGCACAGCTCGACCCAGTCCAATGGCAAGGGCGTCAGCGGACTGGCGCATTGGCCATTGGGCAGCCTGAATAGATGCAGCACAACACAGTGGTAGTGAAGCTGCAGGTGCAGAGACCAGAATTCGCAGTCTGCGTCCCTGGGGAGGTCCATCGCCCAGGCTGCCAGCCGCGAGTGGAACGAGTCCAGACCGATCGGGGTGTCGGGCCGCACAAAGCCAGGCGAGGTCAGCTTCAGGATGTCGAGGACAATGAAGCATAGTTCGATGTTTTTGACCGAGTATTGGAAATTGAGCCTCGAGTTGACCACGCCGTCGGCCTCCTGGAAGTCCTGGAGCTCCAACAGGGGCTGGTCAAAGTCTTCCAGCCGGATCATGGAAGGTCGGCCATGCTCCAGAGCCGACAGGACTTCGACCTGAAACAGTGTCCACCACACACGCCGGTACAGTCTTCGGTTCGCAAAGGGCATCCTCTCGGGAGGATCCGACAGGATGTTTCTGTGCATCGCCATGCCAAAGGCTATGCGACACGCCACCCCGGACCAAAAGTGGCCGTTCATGCTGACCGTGTCGGCGTTTTCTACATGCCACGTGAACAGCAACGCTGCCTGAACGAGGTGCTGTCGGTCATTTTCGTGCCGCGTGTCGAAGAGCCACTTGCCCTGCCGGAAAAGGAGTGACTTGATCATGGATCTAGACTCGGCCACCTTCTTGTGCTGCGACACGTGCGCCCCGGCCATGAGGATGGCCTGCAACAGCAGTAGAGGCGGTGGAGCTTGGCTTTCATGATATCTGGACCTGAATTGGGCCTCGTCGACCACAGGGAAGATGGGGTTGATCTTCGAGAAGAAGGACTCGACAAGATCGTCTCGAATCTCCTTGGAGAGGAAGGCGGCGATGCCACGAAGTTTGGAGCTGAGCCCCTGTCCCTGGCCCTGGCCATGACCACTTGGATCTAGGGCCGGAGGGAGCGATGGTGGAGATGGATGGATTTCCGGATGCGGGTAGAGCAAGAAATGTCGGGACGACTGGTCCAAGTTGATCAAATGGCTGAGGTTGGCAACGTGGGTTCCGATATACGCCGTCCTCATCCTGTCTAGAGTGTGGAAGACCTCCCAGTGGGCTGAAGGCACGCCGCGCTGGAAGAATTGTGCCAGACTCGTCCGAGCCAGGGTTTGTGAGGCTGAGACATCGTCTTCGTCTTCGATCGCCTCCTGTGATTTCCCCGACGATTGGTCTTCGTCGACCACAGAATGTACCGATCTTGCTTGCCTTGAGTGTGCTTCAAGCCTGCCACTTGTACTTCGCACTCGGCTCCTAGGTCCTATGGGCCGCCTCCAGGCCATTGTGAATCTGCACAGGGTGTTAAATCCAACCAAGCGGGCTTGATCCAGGACGACAACCGGCTTACCTACATTCTAAGCCAGCTCTGGTACAAGCACCACAACGGGCCCTATCGATTGAATCACATCGAACTTTCCTCCGGCGACAGTTGTCGCATGAATGCATCTGCTGCCGCCGCGGAGGGGAGAAGGAATATGTGGCTTGATACATTCTGTACTAGGGTGTCCGGTGTCAGGACAGTGGAAGAGGTCAGATACAGCAGAGCAAGATGACCAGGGCGGCATTGTGAAGAAGCGAGCGTGAAGCAAGAGCCCGCAGTTACCTCGATCGGCGTCAGTCCATGGCCTGGTAGGCATGGCGGTGCAAAGTGGTGGAAGGGCGTGCCGAGGCTATGAGGCTGAGAAGCTCAGTGATGCCAAGAACCGCAGTTGGGTAGAACAGCGGAGGAGCATAAATCCGCTGGCGCACTTATATACTCCGCCGTATTCCAACCGCAACGCCGTTTTGTGTCAACATATGCGGGTAGAGTGCGACATTCCCTAGCTGATCGCAGCAGTTCATATCAACAAAGGCCTCCAGGGGAAACATGCAGACCAAGAGACGTCCAAGCCACATCCAGTAAAGGTAAAAGAAGCTTCATCAAGCACTCGCACTAAGGAAACAAGAGTCGATCTCCCGCACAAGCCAAACTTTAGAATCACTCCCTCAGTGCTCAGCTCAGCCTGTGAGATGTGAGATGTGAGATGTGAGATGTGAGATGTGAAATGTTTGTAACCCAGCTCTGGAGATGAGAGCGCGGACGGGCTTGGAGTTCGGGGACTTCGGGGATTCGCCATTATGTAGAACAGGTATCGGCAGTCAGCTAGGGTCATGGTCACGGTCAAAGCAGCCTGCACACCGCTGCAGCATGGAGAGGGAGTTGGGGGGGAACACTGCTCGCAGACAAGAGGCAGTGGCAGTGGCACACCTTGCACCACCGTTCTTTGACACGCGCGCCCTCCCCTTCCCTGCTCCTGAGTGAATGTGACCGTTGAGCAATGGATACGATGCAAAAGAATTTCCAGCACGGAAGCTCCACCCAGACGCGGATTGTTGGCCACGCCAGCAAAGGTCGCTAAATCCAAGTTATGGCTTACATACTGTACTTTGCAGTATTAACCCCGGGATGACCAGCCATTACTGCCTTGCCTTGCCCTGGACGCCATGCGGATACGGGCATCGGTCAAGTGAAATAGCAAAAGTACCTATTCACGGCAGCGGCCAATACCAAGATTCATTAGTCAGCACTAGTGAGGCCTCGATGACGAGGCTGAGTGCCCCTGAGTTCAGCACTGACATCGACCTCGACCTCGACGTACAGTAGGGCCTGTTGGCCCGCCCTTCCGGTTGCTGCACATCTGTCATCCTAGGCCAACCTGGCAGGTTACAGGTGTGACAGGTGTGCATATCGTCGACGATAATTGCGCAATGCACTACAGGACCGTACAGGGCTGTGCTGCAATGTGTGCAGGCAGGCATGTGGGCGTCTCACTGAGCGTAAGCACAATCTCCACCGAAGGCCGCCGAGCCCTTGACCAGCCCTTGCTCCCATTGCCTTGGATCGGCCCGAGTCATATTGAGAAGCAGGTAGATGCAGTGCTCGACATGTTCTGGAGTCGTCACGCTCGATCCAAAGTGCCCCTGGCCGCAAATCTGGTCCACCAGCCGCAGCATGTTGAACGCGCAGTGGGCTGTGTCCTCCCTTCCGGTGGTGTGGTATTTCTCTCCGCTAGGCACCCGCCTCAGATCGATGGTCCGCGCCGCATCCCACGCCGTATAGCTCGGCTCGCCACCCAGGTTCTCGGTGATTTCGTCGTGTCTGGCAGAAGAACAGTGCCGGGGTAGCCACATGTGCGCCAGTCCATCCCACCGGCAGCCGAGCGTGAGTGCCTCGTCGACGGCTCGTCCACAAGTAGGACCCGGCGTCGTATGCGTGAAGGGTGGTTTCAACTTCATGTACACCAGCGTTGAAACCAACATGAATATAATAAAAAAGGTGGCAGGCCACACGTAGGTGACACGCAATCCTCAACAGGATGCTGAGATAGCAAGGCTGGTTCTTCCCCGGATCTGGCAAGGTGAGCTCCTAGCACATTGCGAACCATCGACGAGAATAGGATGATTTGGTTTCGTGTCGTTAATGTGATATCAAAACCGTGCTTGATATGTGGTGCAGCTCTCGTTAATTGGGAGAAGTTTCTTCTTCAGCTCGGCCCGTGGGCCGCGAGAAGAAGTCTGGTGATGCACCCCGAGTTAGCAGGCGGCAGAGTAGTGCGAGCCGTGTCCTACAAGTGTCTGCGCCTCCACCAAACATCGGCCGATGCATGTTGTCTTGAATCGCGCTTTCGGATGCGAGCATGTCCAGACAGTAAGAGCTGCCGGTGATGACTGATGTTTTGTATCTCGTGCTCGTCAAGATATAAGGTTGATGTCGTGCGCGAGGATAATCCGCATGCTGGGCGAGGTGGCGAGGTGGCGATGAAACAATTCTTCTCTTGTCACATCGTTCCATCCTTCAACTTCAATGCCACTGCAAGCTCCGTGTTATTACTGTGTCTCGTCCGGGTGTGATGGTGGTTGTGATGGAGCCAACTACTTCTTCCACCGTCATGACTGTGTAAACACCTCCCTTTGCATCTTCGTCAAGCCAGATGCCATGACTACACCACACTGTGCGCCTCCAACTCAACTTCCACAACGGCTGTGCCTTCGCTTTCGCCTTCGCGAGCGTGTTCAAGAATGCAGACAGTGTCGCGCACACTCTGGCCAAGTCGGGCGCGGTCACAGCCGGCCGCCGCAACTGAACCCTTGACATAATTGTCGTGCTCGACGAAGTCAGAGACAATTTGTGGTCGCAGGTGCCTGGCTTTGAGCTCTTGGGTTGCGCACACGCGGCCTTGGACGATGGGGGACACAATCTTGGTGCTGTCGCCGGTGTCAATATAAGTTCCGGCGGCCAATAAGTATACGGCAAGTGCTGCACCACAACCACACACCTTGACCATTCATGAGCTATCCTCCAGGTGAAGCCTGCGATGCATCGTCAACCTGGCACCATCTCTCTTTTCCCTCCACCCTGAAAGCGAGTAGTGACATGCCGCACTTGGTTGTATCATGGTACTAGAGGAATGTCGAGATACAGCTTCGGGGAGTTTGATGTGGTTTGCCTTGTCGACATCGACCGTCTGTCTTTGCTCGTACTTCTTAGCACTGAGTCTCATTATGACCAGCGTTGCTCTGACCAGATTTGATTTTGATGTTGATTTGGAGAGGAGATGGTCGAACATGGAAAAGGAACCGACTAGGAGTAGAGAGTTGGAAGGAGGGGAGGGGAGGAGGCGGGTTGAGCATTTGCTGGACAAGGCCTCGCAGATACCCAATTTGGTATCTGTCGGAAAGGTTTCCTCATGGGGATTCGCAATCCTGGAGCCTCTGTGGCAAAAACATGTACGGCCGACCCCTAAAAACAACCGCCTGTTTGTCCTCTTGCTTAGCTGCTGAGTGGTACTTGGGAGGCTTAGGGGAGTGAAGGAAACAAGGTGAAAGAGAAGAAGAAAACGAAAAGGGTTGGGTCAGGGGGGGCTGGAGGGGGAGCAAGGCTCAGGGGTCCGAGGGGTTACAATCGAGACGGACATGACGTCGCTATCCAACAAACAAGTTCCAATCCTATGTGCATACAAACTAATATCCTCCGACCCCAATTTGAACACCCAAAATCCTAGAAAAACGAACTGGCTCGGTCTGCCCGGATTGTGGCCAGCGGCAACTTTGTGCAGTAAACATGGCATATGTCTTCTGCGCAGTTGCCAGCTGTATTGCTCCCGTTTTCCTCCAATTGCCCAGACTCTTCTGGGCAATTGTAGCCGTAACATTTGCGGCACTTCTGGCATCGCCGGTAGGCGTGGTAGGCGGCCTCTGGTCCATGCATCCCTAACTTGAAGGCCCCACCAAGCTCTGCTTGGTGGTCCCAAGGTATGCTGTTTTGGTCATTATTCTTGTCAGTTATCGCATCCAACTGCGCACGGTTGGGCCGGTCTTTGTGTAAGGACTGAAAGTGCTTCCTTAAGTCATGACATCCATAATAGCGTGGTTGAGATGCTGCGCATATGGGTCCTTCAACATGCCCCAGGCAGAAAAACAAAATAATCGGAAAACCAACAACATGCTTGGAGTTGCCAGGCAGCGCCTTAAGCTCTCCGAGCTGACTGATAATATGATCCAGCAAATCCTTGACATCAACTATAATCAAGTAGTTAGTATCATGGCTTCAATCAATGGGTCCTAGGATCATTCCAACCTAGCGTTCTCAAAGGCTGATTTCTCGTCTTGTATAGTAGCACTACAAGGAGCTCTAACTCAGTCGCGAGAATTTCTTCTTCCTGTCCACCGCTCTGTGTGTATCTTTCAAGCTTCTTCAGTTCCTCGTCCCACTCCGACAAGACTTTTTCCAGCAAAGTGTAGTTGTTCCGGGTCTTTGGATCCTGGTCCTCCAATCCCTTGCTGGAGACTGTCTCCTTGTACTCTTTGTGGGTACGGTAACTGGAGGATAGACGACTTCGAAGACGGTGGAACACTTGGTATTGGTTGATGGTATCTTCCTTTGCCTGGCCGATAGAGAGGGCAAATTCTGCAACCCTCTTGAGGTTCGTGGCCGTTGCCAAGGCTGTTCCGATTTCGGTATCCAGATGGGAGATCATCTTGAATAGATTGGAATACCATCTTTCCGCTACAGAGAGCAATGACAGCCTTTTAGGCATTTCAGGATCTAGCAAGAGCAACATGGCTGGGCTGAGGACAACAGGCAAACAACTGAGGCTCTTGGTACAAAGCAGCGCTTTGAGAGAACACGAGAGGTCTCATAAGGACAAAGGATGTGAGTAAGAGACACAACTACCTTGAATGAAGCCTCTGCTGGTGGACGCCCAGCGTGACAAAGATAGCCACCTTAGGCGAGGATGGTGGTTGTCCGAGGCTGAGACGCCCCGAATGGGACGTCCGTTGAGGCATTGCAGGACAAAGACAAATGCCTGATGTGGAGATATTCAACTTGGTGGCTGAGGCTGAGCCCCTGAACTGGCGGATCTCAAACTTGGAGAGAAAGACAAGTCATGTTCAAACAAAGATCGGCGCAGACAGAGGCAGATCCCCTTGAACAACGCGGGCCTCTTGGCCTCTATCCCTTTCTTTGAGCTAATCCTTCCTTTGGTATGCCTTGGTGGGAGGTGCTAGGAGATCTGACTCCACGATTAGATGGACCGTTGCAAGATATTGAGGGTGAGGCTGGAATGACTGGCACTGGTTTGGAACGTTGGCAGGCGGACATCTTCGCCCAGAGACTGTAAGGCTCTCTGTGATCAGTCTCATTCTGCCTCTGTTGATCCTGGACATGTCTCCTCCTATCTAAAGGAACCTCCTGTAGTGGGTTGCTGCAACCACCAAAGCACCGACTCTATTGCAGAGCTAGTCGAGATCGGCCCATCCAGAATAATGGTGATGGGCAGCGGACACAAACAAGCAAGAATCTCCCTTTACCATCCTGTACTATCTAGGCCCCCGGTTGGTGGGCAGGTACATAGGTCTCCTGCTGTGACAGTGAGTGCCTCATACGGCAGGGCAGTCGAGACGCCTCCTGCACACTGAGTCCTGTGTCTTGCACGTGCAGGCCCGGCCTGAAACCCTTGTTCGTCTTTCTAGCAACCGTGGTGTTTGGCTCCTGATTACTGCAAATCTCATCTGCTCCATCCAACAGAGAAACACCGCTGCTCACCGCCGAACTGTCCACAGGCCCAGATGTACCTACTCGTTATCAGATCAAAGGCGGCGGTTAGCTAGGATAGGGGTTGCCGGCCGATTCCCCACCTCTCAATTGTACAGGCCAGTTCAGGGCTTTTTGCAACACCCAGTCACTTGATTCTTGTTGAACACTTTTCGGTAACACTAAGCACCGGCATGGAATAGTCCAGCATGGCATTCTTGGAGCTTTCACAGGCGCTTGGACACAGTGAGGGCGATATAGATATATTTGCGCGCAAAGCGGACGAGTCAAGTTGTCCAGTAACGACCTCGACTTCAGCTTTAGCTCACTGTGGGATCAAAATCAACACTTTGAGATTATGGCCCACATTATCACGGGACACGCCTAGTTCTATGCAGCCTTCTGGATGCTGTTCAAGGACTACAATATGGCCAGGAATTGGAATTCCCTGAGCCACTCGTCATTCCTGTCATGGCATGTGCCAGGTGGAAGCAACTAGGGATACATTCCAGTCACAGAAATTTGACGTAGACATTCCAGACAGATCAATAGAATTGACATTCCATAGCAAGTTCCAAACAGTTGTCTGTGTCTAACGGTTTATAAGTACTCGTTCAGGCAGACAGACTTTATCCGCCTCCATCTCGGGTTTATCAACATTGATCTGTCCAGCCGCTCGCTATATATTTGGGTTCAGCCCCAACGAGTGAGGCCTAGTCAACACCATATTGAGCGACTTTCAAAGACCTCGAGAAGTTCTTGACTGAGCGTCCCCCTGGCAGCGCCGAGACCATGGACGAAGCGGAGAAAAGGGAGTTTTGGCTCGTGCGTTACCACGAATGTGGTAAGTCTACTTCATACTTTGTACGATGGCTTTCTATCTAATCGAGTACTAGAGCATATCAGGGAGTATGTGATTAGCTTCTGGCCACCAGCAAAAAGGTCACGATATCAACACTGGCTGTCTCTCAGAGCCGGGCATGCCAGGGATTGGGTGGTGCCCTCCGACATGAGAGCTCTTATCAGGCGAGTGAACTTTAATGAAAACAACCGGCATCGTACATGGGGCGACCCCAGCAGCTGTGTCAGATTCCTGATTCAAATGGACGAAGCCCATCCCTTGCATCCAGAGCCGGTCTTCCTTTTTCGAATTGGTGAAATTTGTTTTTTCCTCATCCCCGAACACCGCCATTCGCCTCTCCACCGTTACCACTACGAAGTGGAAGAGCACAGGCGACACCCATCCTACACTGGATATGGAGTGTTGTATGGCAGCGAAGACGGGGTTACAAGTCCTCCTCCAAGACCTGATCGCAGCCTCTGGGTATTCCATGACCACCCCTCGCCATTATATTGGCAACAGATGGAGATTTTCCGTCCTCCTCTCGAAGCTCCTACCGCATACCTTGATGGTTCCTCTCCCCGCCCAATCAAGGCCTTGCCTTTGGAATTCGGCTTCTTCTTAGGAACCTTATGGGGTAGGAAAAACAAGCCGGAGTATGAGGCCGCCCGTCGGGACAAATACGATCGGGATTGGATGCACAACTTTGAACCAACTCCGCTTGTGGTCTTGCTTCATCCAATCGACAAGAGCTATTGGGTGCTCTTCAACTACCTACCCGGTAAAAAAAGGAGTGGGCCATGGACCAAAAACTTGTCGGATACTCATCATAATACTCATTCTGATAATTGCGACCTCTGTGAAATGTGCTGTGAACGATGTTACGAGCCGACCGATCTCTGGACGCACGAAACATGGCGGGGATACCGGTATGAAGAACAAGTCCGAGAACTTTGGCGAGTGGAACCTATTGAACGACTCGAAGACTCGGATTTTTGGGAGCGGGCTGGCATCACTCCATTTTCGGTCCTCCGAATCCCACCCTTGGGAGATGACGACGACTCCTCTGAAGACGACTCCTGTCCAAAATGGATTTTTGACGAAGAGCTGGTTGAAACCGAACCAGAAAAAGAAGAGGAGCAAAGCAGTCGAGACCATGGGCCATTTATCGAGGTCGTTCAGAGTAACTGCGAGGAGGCGACCGCTTACAAAATGTTCTCGGAGGCTACGAATGTACGTCCCAACCCATTCAAAGCCAAACATGCAGAGTGGAAGGAGTACTGGGACAAGTATGTATCTGTGCCAGCTCCTGGTGCCTCGCCCTCCAGTGCAGCAAACCAAGAAGGTCAGGATCAGGGTCCGGGTCCGAGCGAACAACCGGTTGTGGAGGAGTGGAGATGTGCAAGTTGTCCAAAATGTCGTTTGCGCAACCAACCCACAGGTAACGAGGAGGATAACGAGGATGAGGAGACTGAGCGGTGGCCTGAGCCTGAGCGTGAAATGATGCACATGCCGAGGGTGAGGCTGAATCCGGGGAAAAGGCGGAGGAGGCCGAGGGTGAAGCCGGGGCGAGGTGGAACCAGCGCCAAAGTTGAGGTTGAAGCTGAGCCCGAGCCTGCTTCGGCGTCCAGTCCAGAACCACAACGTCCAAGCAGCACCGGAGGATCTGGTCAACAAGAGGGAACTTGAGGCCATTGGGATCAGTGGTCGACGACCGCCGTCTTTCAGGTTCCGAGCACTGCTACCTTATGCCAGTATGGCACTAATTTGGTAAGTAGGAACTGGCGGCAACTTGGCGTTTATCATTCGAGAATATCGAGGATATGATTGTGATAGTGTGTCTCTTGACAAGGCACGGGACCACAGAGAAGGAAGAGTGTTGCGTTTTGGAAGGACGAAAGGGCGGTTCGAGTTTGTTTCGGGTAGTTTCTTAGTTACCTTTGCAGTGGCTAGGTATTATTGATTGTTCAACGGCATTTCCAAGGGAGGCTCGTGATCAAGGTCTCTGTTCTGCTGCCTACTTTATGAAGGTGCTCTTTGGGACGCAACTACGGTGCGAGTGGTATGTACCACAGTAAGTGTATGGGGGATAGGGAATAGGGGATAGGGGATGGGTTAGGTTGAATTTCCTGCCGCTCTTACAGTACTGTAGCCGTAGGGCCTCTTGCCGCTATTATTATTGTGCAGTCCGTCCATACTGTAGTGTACATTCTGCTACATTTAGGTACCTCGAGGTACCTACTAATATAGCCATTATGCTACCTTATCCCTAGTACCTGCGGGTAGGTATCTGGGTACCTGTAGGTACCTAGGTAATACTATGTACAGAGTAGAGACCTTATGTATCCCGTCCGTGAGAAAAGGCTGGCTTGCTGTCCCTATCACTATCACCGGCTGTGGTTGTAGTTGGCATTCCATCCAAGTCCTGTGTATCATGATGTAATGCCCACATCACACCGACAAAGGCTGGTGTTACTTGTTACCTATATGCTCTTCCTCTTGCTCAGTCATCATGTATCCGTACACTGTACCAACTGCGCTGTGCAGCTAACATTACCCTGCGCCAGAGAATGGCGAAGTGATAAGATTCCTCACATAAAAGCGACAGCACTCCTCGCCTCAGCTTCACCTCACCTCACCTCATCCACACTGATCTGATCTGAAGTGCAGTACAGGTGTTCTGTTTCCTGCTAGACCTCAGACACTACCCAGAAATCAAAAAGAAAACAACACATGCTGCATACCAGTAACTAGTCGGATATCAGTTTCAACTTAACTACTAGCACAGTCTAGTGCCACCTTCCTCCTCCTCCTTCCCTCCTCATTCGGAGCGACCATGTTCCCAACCAGAGCTCGCTATATCGAAGACTCAACCCAACTACGATGACCTTGAAGAGCGACTGCACGAGGAGGATGACACTGACATTCAGAGGTGGAAGAGTCGATCAGACCAAAGCTTCCGACGGCTTGTGCGAGACATCGTGTGTCTATTGGCAGCCATCGCCGCCACGCCGCCACATTGGTTGTCGGTGTCATTCTGGGATGTATGTGCACAAGATGCCGCAGATCCTTGGACACAGCACGAACCAGGGTCTGGGGTCTGTCGAGGACGGTGCAAACGAGGACTCGAGATATGCTGGAAACAATATAAGCCAGTATCGGTACTGTATATATTTAGTGAGGTCGGTAGTGTTACTCGTCCACGCTGTTTCCGTCTCGATGCGCAGGCATGTTGAAGCTCAACGGGCGGAGGACGGATGGCTGTCCATGTCGTTACCGTAAGTGGCTGACGTTACTGATAGTCATTCAGTAAGTTCAAGGTGATTGGACGTTGATGCACCACCGGAGCGCTCTTCTACTTCCTTGCTCCTTGCAACGAATTATCTGGCTATACTATATAGAATGGTGGAAGTAAACTGCAGAGGAGAAGACTTGTTGCTTAAGATGGGGCCGTACCATACACTGTGTGGTGGTTTGAGGAGAAACCTAGCATGGTGCTGTGATCTCGCTGACATTGCTAGTCTATCGTCCATCATATATCAGCTCCCTCATGAGTGTTGCGGACGGATTCGTCAAGTTCAAGTTCCGCCTCCACTTTATGAGTCATGGTCCATCTTTTGTCCATTTCAACAACTCGTCCCTTCCCTGATGCTGCTGTTCTTCCAGCCCTCTAAGTAGGGGACGCCATCTCAGACGTGTAGCGGATCCACGCAATCCCCAACCTACGGTAAGATACTTCAGGTGAGACCTCCCGGCCCAGAAACCCGACCAACGTGGCCATTTCGTCCTGGCTCGCGCCCGGCTCGAGCACCAACTTCCGATATCGCCGGCTCTGGGAGGACTCGATGGCGTCAGGACCGGTGCCTGTGGCGAAAGCAGTACTCCGTAGACTCAGACTTCGCACTTACATTTAGCAGTACAGTAGGAGTAGTATCCTGCCTCATAGTCGCCCATCAGATGCCCAAATGTGGCATACCAGTGTCCCCACTCGTGCGTGTCCATGTCTCCGCCCAGCGCCTCGGGACCGTCGAACAGCCTCAGTCGCCGACGCAGAAGGTCGTACTCTACTCGACCGCGAAATCCATGGCTCGCACTTCTTCGGTACTGGAAGCCTGGTGGATCTTCATGTCGAACATAGCCAAGTGCAGCTGCACCAGGTAGAAGACAGGGCCGAAAGTCAAATGGCTAGTGCGCAGGAGGCCGTCGATCATTGCAGTGGCCCATACACACTCTCCGCGGTGTTTGTCTGGGCTATGTAACGCCTTTTCTGTACCTGCATCTGTCTTTCTTGCCTGCTTTTGAGCTTTCTCTGCAGTGCTTTGCTGGGCTTTGCTTGTATCTATTTCTGTCAAAAGTGTCCCTTTTGTCTCTGTCTTGCCCAGGTCCTGGCAAAGGTACGAGTGGAGTAGTCACAACTCAAGTCCCGCAGGTGCGACGCTGTCCAGCACCAGTTTTCGAGGAACTTCCTGGGAGTCTCGCCGAAGTCGACCGTGCCTTTGGTGCCGTGGAACCGTGCGTAACGGGTGCGTGACACCAGATCGTGAATGGCGTGGCCGAGCTCGTGGAACAGGATGACCACGTCGAAGTGTCTGGGCAGGCTGGGCTCGTCGAGGCTAGATTTGGGGAAGCAGTTGAGCACTGCTGTGAATGGATAGTGATGGGTGCAGTCGGCAGCGAGGAAGCTCTGCAGTACACAGTACACATCGGCGTCAGCGTCAGCGCCAGCGCCACGAAGCAGGTTGCACAACACGGCCATCTCACCAGTTTCGCACAGTTTGTCCTTTGCAGTCCGCTTAATCGGCAGATTCGAAGAGGAGTGAGAAGCGAAAAGTGAAAAGTGGAAAGTGATCTTACCGCCTGCAGGTTGTGCTTGTCCTCCCGCTGGTACAAGTCGAGATAGAGATGGCCGACAAACTCGCCGCCCTGCACTTCATCGTTCCACACAATCAGCAATTCGACGTCTTGATGCCCTACATTTTCAATTTCCATCTTTTTATCCCCACGGACGTCTTCCTGCCTTACCTTCTGCGCCGTCTTGTCCTTCTCAACCACTGGCAGCGGGGCAAATGCTAGGCCGAAGATCTTCTCAAGCATGTCCGACATCCCCTGAATTGTCGTCTGCAGAGGGAAATACTCGGCAATCTTGGGTGCGTCCACCGCGTACTCGATCTGCAGCAACGACCGCTTGTAGAGGTCATAGTCCCAGAGGAAGAAACGGCCGTCGAACCTTTCCTGCTGCCCATGTTCTTGAAGGCCCAGCTCCTTTGTCCTCCTGAGCTTCTCGACAAACTCACCAACCCCATTCAAGAGACGGGTTTCAAGGTCGTCGTGAAAGTGAGTGACGGCTTCGGGAGTTTTGGCCATTCTGTCCTCCAGCCGCAAGGCAGCATGGCTGGGGTATCCGAGAAGACGGGCAGCTTCAAAACGCAGCTCGACTGTTTCCTTCAGCAACGGCGCATTTTCATTGCATTTGTTCTGGCTGGCCAGATCCAATCGTCGACGCACCTCTCTATTGCGAGCAAACGCCAGCACTGACGAGCTTGCCGGATCTGCAAGGCGGATTTTGACTTTCCCTTTCCCCATGCTCTCGTCAAAACCCTCACCCTCACCCTCACTATGGACTTGGTCGGGCTCATGGTCGTGCTCAAACTGGCTAATCAGGTCATCAGACACTCCGTCAAGCTCATCCTCGCGAACCCACTCGCAGATATCGGTCTGTTTCAAGTTCTTCAAGAATTGGTCTCGCAGCTGGCTCAGCCGGTTCTGGATAACTGCGAACCGATCTCCGAGAGGGCTAAGGAGGCCCCGGGCCAGTCGGATGCCTCGTCGAATATAACCTTTGTGCAAGTGCTCCATGAACCGCCGAAACTCAGAGTCCAAAACCTTATACTCGTCCTGGTGCTCGTCGGTCCCGGCCCCGGTCCGGGCAATAACAGCCAACCAGCTAAACAGCTGCTCACGCTTTGCCAAGTCTACGTCGACATGGAAGGCATTCAGCAAGGTCTGAGCCTCGCTCGGCGCTTCTCAGCCTTTCTATCTGGCCACACGTCCCGGTAGAAGGTCAGAATGGTGGCCTGAGTTGATATCGTGTTCTCCAGCTGGGCGAGAGGCAAGAAAACATTTCCGAATGTTGCCTCGGACGGCCGCACTGAGCGCACGATCTGATCCTGCACCTCTCGCATGTGTGTGACGAGAGTCCAGGTGTCGCCGACAATTCTGTCGGGACTTCTGGTGAATGTTGGAGCTGGTTGGGGCGGCAGCGCGCGCTTTGAAAGACATTGTTCTGACAAACCAAACTTCAGGAAGAAGTCAAAAGTGGGTGAGAGGTTTCCCTTTTCTCTATCAAGAAAATTAGCCTGGGGAGTTCCTTGACCAATGACACAGTATAGGAGAGGAATGCAATAACTAGGTAGGCGAGAATACCAATTTGTTTTATTTCTCCTTCCAATGGCTCTCGTAATAATCCAAGAGGCAATCTGACTACTAGCTAGGAACGAGACAACTGGCGGCAGGGAGGATCTTTCAGGCCTTTGAACTAGGTTGAATCCTATCAGTACTACAACATTCCGGTTGATATGACATGTGGACCAGCATATCTCATAGCATCTACTGTATGTCGTGGTCGTAAGTAGCTGGCTGACGTTACCCTGGCTTATCCTCAGCCTACTTACCGTGTATGTGGGTATGTAGACTCATTGATGATGAGCCTCAAAGATACCATATTTCCTTGCCCATCTGCCACCCTTTACCAGCCCCGATGACGATCATGGTCATGACCACGATCGCGACCATAATCATGCAATGGCCGCCTCGTCGCCGGACATTCGACGAACTTGGTGAACATAGAGACACTGGTGTCGTTCAACCGTCCCGCCTCCGTCTGCGTCCGCGTCCGCCCGACCAGTTGCTGTTCGCAATGCTCGGTACGCCGCAAGCTGCCGATATACCCTTCCAGCGGAAGGTCGTTCAGCACCGCGCGATGCATCCTCCGCCACATATAGGTGCAATGGTACAGATGGTACTCCTGGGTCATGAAGAGCTGGTCGTAGCTCCCCGTCGTAATGCTATTCAGGTTGACGGGCTCGCGGCCCTCGGTGTCGCGGAACCACCGCCAGTTTTGCAGCGAGAGGAACTCATTCACAAGCTCGGCGTCGAAACACCGCACGGGCAGCCAGGCGAACGACGTGGCATTGAACCGACAGCGCAAGGCCACCGCCTCGGCCGCCGAGCTGCCGCTGCTGTCTAGACGCATAGCGTCGCGGGCGTCGCGGATGGATAGAGTATTGTCTTCAGAACATACTGTATGAAAGAGTCCATCTTCTCTGTAAGACGTCTGGGGATGATGGTAGCATAGCCTCAATCATATGCCAACATTGCAATTCAAAGAACCACCTAGGAGAGGAGGATATTTGCCCATCTGTTCGACAAGTAGATGCTCTAGTCAAGGCATCAGTTGAATGTCATGTAATCCCGGTCTAGACTCACAGTAGATAATGGTCGTTCCTGGTTGTTGTAGATATCCTTTTCCTCCGGCCTGCCCATGGTTTGGTGAGATCTCTTGGACTGTCGTACGTATGCTGAGACTGTGGGAGTGAATGGTTCTTTGGACTAAAGTAAAAGGAGGGGATCAGTGGCTCGCAGGATCTTTATACAAGACTTCTGGCGGGATGAACAAGCATGCTTTTTTGTCGCAAATGGCCTCATCGAGTCGTGGCAGCGGCGTCTTTGTTTGACCTGCATGACCAACTCTCTTTGGTCAGCCAGAAACTCGAGTCAAACATGCAAATCAAGTTTTACTCAAACCATCGAAGTAATAGTTTCATACACCGCCGTTAACCTTGGTAGCATGCTTCCTAAGCCTCCAACGTGGCCGCACCCAGCATATTAGGCAACATGGCCCAACTGCGCTGTGCACTACTGTATCTACACTGCGCCTCAATCGACTCACTAAAGGCTATACCACTGTAGTCCCGAAGCAATGTCCATCTCCCAGCAGACTCCATTTACACGGTAGTGGCCTCTCACCTTCCAGCTCGGCTTGCAGTGGCATGCCGGACTCGCACAGCTACTCGCTCGCTAATTTGCTAGTTCTAGTTCTTCCTCGCTTCGTCAGTGGCGTCGAATGGACGTCGACCCTGACAATACAGCACACATATCAACCGCTCGAACTCGATCCGGTTAGACGTCAATTATGGCTTCCTTACCCATGCTCTCTTCTCTCTTGCTCAGCCACTTGACCCCGCGGTCGCCTCCAGCTCGACCTTCAGCCTCACCGCTCACCATGGCTGCCTGTCTTTCTTCCTCCCCGAATCTACCTTCCCATGCCTCTGAGCGTGTGTAGGCCTCATGGAGCAAGCGGTCCCCAGCGACCGAGCGATGGGTGCCTCCCCGGACCCTGTCGATCACACGGGGCTCTGCTTGCTGTCGCTTGATGGTGGTGGAGTTCGGGGTCTATCGAGTCTCCACATTCTCAAGAGCCTCATGTCGCAGCTCAACCGCCAACGTGAGGAGAATGGGGCTGCGCCTCTCAAGCCATGTCAATTGTTCGATCTCATAGGAGGGACAAGCACGGGAGGGTTGGTACACACCCCTACTTGGTGGATAATAACTGTCACTAAATCATTGTCACAGCCTGATTGCAATCATGCTTGGCCGGCTCGAGATGGACGTGGACGAGTGCATCAACGCCTACAATCGACTGATCAAGGCTGTATTCAAAGAGAAAGCGCACCGGATACCCTTTAGATTCTCAGGACGCATCCAATCGCAATTCGACAGTGCCAAACTGAAGGCGGCCATCGAGGAGGTCATCACTAGTCGAGGTTACTCTCCAACAGAACCGTTCAATGATAGGAAACCTCGCGGGTGTAAAGTGTACACACCTACCTGAGTGTTGATATGTTGGTCTCCTGCTGACAATAATATAGCTTTGTATGTACGGTGACGAAAGACCTGTACGGCATCACACACCTACGAAGTTACGACCTTCCTCAGAAACCTAGTGTGCCTGCTACTATCAGTGAAGCCGCCCTCGCCACGGCAGCGGCCACTGGCTTCTTTGTTCCCGTCTCGATCGGAGCTCGACAATTTGTAGATGGTGCGCTGGGAGTGAACAATCCAGTGGAAGAGGTGGAAGCAGAAGCATCAGACATTTGGTGTGCTGATACAGGAGATGTGAAACCGCTGGTCAAGTGCTTCGTCTCGATTGGGACGGGCAATCCTGGCAAGAAGGCAGTGGAAGACAAGCTGTTGAAGTTCTTGTCAAAAACCTTGGTCCAGATCACGACTGAAACAGAAGAGACGGCTAAACGGTTTGTCGCGAGGTGGAGACAGCATTACGACCACGGTCGTTACTTCCGTCTTAACGTCGAACAGGGCCTCCAGGACGTTGGCTTGGCCGAATATAAGGAACAAGGCCGCATCGAGACAGCCACTCATCACTATCTCGACGACCAGCAGCAGATCTTTCGGGTAGGAAAGATAGTGGGAAATTTGGAGCTGAAGCAGAGTGTGTACATGGAAGATTTCGCTTAGTTGGCGATCGTTCTCCAGCTGACGCCTCGCCATAGGAAGCGCCGAGGTTTCCTTGGTCCGTGAAATTCAAGTCAGTCGAGTTACTCGTCGTTAGTGAGCCTATATTGACTCTGGCTAGGAATACAACATTGATCGTATTCGCAATGAGTTGAGTATGGAGACAGCCCTGTATCCGGGACAGATGATTGATCCTTGCTCACACTCACATTCAGATCCAGATCGCGCAATCCTTCCCTGCCATTACATTCCCTTGCCCCGGAACGAACGCTTCGTGGGGCGGGAAAAAGTGGTGGCAGCGCTTCGCCAGCAATTGTTCACATCAGAAGCGGGCCGGAAAGTCTCTCTTGTTGGACTTGGGGGCGTAGGGAAGACGCAGGTGGCTTTCCAAATTGCATACTGGACTAAAGAACACAAGACAGACCATTCCGTGTTCTGGGTGTCGGCAATGAGCGATGCAAGCTTTGAACAAGGCTATACCGAAATATCGAAGAAGCTCGCAATCCGAAAGAAGTCCGACGACGAGGATCTCCGGGAGTCCGTACGCCGGTCGCTTGAGTCCGTTGAAAGTGGTAAGTGGCTTCTGGTGGTCGACAACGCGGACGATATGGAGGTCTTGTTTGGGTCTTCCGAAAATCGCAATGGTGTTTCCGATTACTTACCAGAGCGGGATGATGGCCTGATCTTGTTCACGACCCGCTCAATGGAGGTTGCCCTCAATGTGGGAGGTGAGATAGCTGATCTACCAGAGATGAGCCCAGACGAGGCGAAGGGTCTGCTAGAGAAGTCGTTGATTCAGAATCACATCCTTAGCGACTCCGAGGAAGTGTCAGCTTTGCTCCAAGAGCTCACCTACCTCCCATTGGCCATCACACAGGCCGCAGCATACATGAACCGGAACCAAGTGTCAATTGCCAGATACTTGGAACTTCTCCATGGGACCGAACAGGACCTGGTGGGATTAATGAGTCGAGAGTTTCGCGATCCGACTCGGGACCAACAGTCACGACATGCGGTGGCCACCACATGGCTGGTGTCATTCAACCAAATCCAAAAATCAGACCCCGATGCTGCCAACCTGTTGTCCTTTATATCGTGCATCGAACCGAAATCCATTCCAAAATCGCTCCTGCCTCCACTGCCAACGGATGAGGCGATGGTCCACGCAATAGGAACCCTCAACGTCTACTCGTTCCTGGTGCGGCGCGGGGACGGCGACACATTCGACATGCACAGTCTAGTCCACCTGGCCACGAGAATCTGGGTGGCTAGGAACGGGCCTGACGGACGGGCGGAGGCAGAAGCTATCCAGCACGTGTCCCAAGTATTTCCTTCGGATGAGTGGAAGTACCGGCACCAATGGCGAGCATATCTACCCCATGCACTTTGTCTTCTCCACTCAGACAGAACAGTGGACATAAGCAAGAGATACAAGCTCGGCGACAAGGTCGGGCGATGCTTGCGGGTGGATGGTCGGATCCGGGAAGCGGTGAAGTACCTTGAAGAGTCTCACCGCTGGCGGAAGGACCACCTTCCTCCTCATGATCCAGCCCTACTAGCATCGCAGTACAACTTAGCAATGGCATATGAGCGAAATGGACAAATTCAAGAGGCAGTTCAGCTACAGAAAGAGGTGGTACGAATTGA